GTTGTTCACAAATTATAATTTGTTACTAGTTATATTAAAAGTGTCAGGACTGCCAGGGCCAAAGTCTTTCACTTTACTTTTTGAGGTAGTGTTATCAACTAAGACAGAGCATCTAGTACCTCAGTGTTAAGTGTCAAACCCATAAAGGACAACAGTAATGATTTACATTTATACAGGGTCTTTCATGGCAGGAGAATATCTCAAAGAACTTCACACAGCTGATCTGGAGCCTAAGGTGGGGGGAGCTGGGAGAGCTGGGGGGTGTGGGGGGGTGGGGTTGGGTGGTTTGGTAGTGGGGTGCAGGCAAGAGAGTTAGGTGACCAACAGCACAATTGAATGAATTAGGGCAGCTTGAAGGTGGGGAGTCAGCGAGCAAGGCAGAGGCACTCAAGGATGGAGGGCAGAGAGAACGAGGCAGAATTACTGAAAGCTCATTCACTGATGTGGCGGATCAGACAGAGAACTTGAAGCAGACCAGTATTTGCTGAGCAGTGGTACTGGCTGCTGTCACAGGAGGTTGCAGAGATAGGATGGGGTAAGGTGGTGGAGGAATTTGAAAGTTAGGACTTGGATTGTAAATTCAATCTACTCTGGGATGGTGAGCCAGAGCAGCAAAAGGAATTCACAGAACTGGTTCAAGAGAGGAGATAAGCTGCAGATTTTTCATGCTTGTGGTGGAAGCAGCTGGGATGTCTGGCAAGCAAAGCATTGGGATAATCAACAGGAGACACATTCAGAATGAATTGCTCACTCAGACACTAAAACAAATTAAACCAAATGTTGATTCATCAACAATTTCTAAACAACATTGAATAGCAGTACAGTAAATACACAAGTGTCAACTCCTTGTAGGTCCAACAGTTTTTTTGTTAAAGATGCTCTGTGTAATATAGCAAGAATGAGTTTAATTGGTGAAGACTTAAACAAGCCATTTGTAAGGCTAGACTTTTCACTATTTAGTATTTTTCTTCTCACCCAAGACCCACTGTCTAACAAATTTCTTTTGTTTAAATAATTCCTTTGGGTCATTGAGTTCCAGAAAAAACTCTTTTTGGTATTCCTCGGTCACTTAGTTCAATCAGTTGAGTCTATTGAAAATTTCAGGGGTAGGGAGTAAAATCACACTTTTCTTTGTTTAACAGGCTCTTTATTCTTCAGGGAGCTCCTATTTGATTATAAATTGTCTGACACCTTTCCTCACTGTTGGTATCTGCTCCAAAAGACTTGTCCGTACCTTTGTCTTTGTCATGTACCTAGCCTGAGATTTCAGAAAAAACATTTCATGAACTTTCTTCATGTTATCCCAGAGTGATATTTTATGATTAATGACATTACTATATGGTTCCTAAGTATGGTTTCTGCAAGAGAAGACATTGGGGATATCGATTGAAAGATACAATCAATATCTTCATCAGTCATTAGTCCCAATTGTTGTTTCTTATCAGTACCAAGGAGTCATGGTAACACTAACGTTTGCTTGAACAATGTCCTAATGGACACGCAGAGAAGGGGTGAAGAGCAAACTGCTCATGCTTGTCTCTTTTAAAGGACAGCAAGGTCCCAAAGTAGGTCAAGCTTGCGAGAAGAACAACAAAATTGCATCTTGGGGAGAAGAGGGAGACCAAAGGCACGGTCGAAGAGGAGGGTCTTGAGATGGGTCTTGAAGGAGGCAAGGGAGGGGGCGAGGCAGAGGGACTGCAGGATGGAGTTCCAGAGGGCGGGGGCAGAGTGGCTGAAGGCCCAACCGACAATGGTGGGGCAGTCCTCCTTTATGGATCTGAACTCCTGCAGCAGAGACTTCTTCCAGCCCATTTACAAAGTACATGATCAAGCAGTGACGTGGATTTGTCTCAAACACAGGACGCGGCTGCACAGAGGGAGGCTTCTGGCCTACACTGACCTGTCGCTAAGTACCTAGAGGTAGAGGCGATGTCACAGTGGGCATGTCTATTGGTCAAGACCCCTCACGTGAGAACCTGGATTAAACTGCCGGTACTGAATAAGTCTGGTATGCAACACTGGACTTGGACCTCAAGAGCATCAAGGTGGCAAATCGCACGCTATCCTGCAAAGGTCCTTCCAACTTGCTGAAAGCAGATGTCTACCCCTGATGAGGAAAGTCTGAGGCTTGGGGCGACAGTTGCTGGAAGGCATTAACTGGAGTTAGTGAATACTCGTTTGTTCATCTGTACATCCAATGCCTGGAATCCACCTTGATTGGCTTGCAGAGAGGTAAGCAGCTGCTGCTTAAGCTCCACATCTAAAATTTGTGGAACCATCGTTTCCAATGGGGATGCGTGTCCGAGCTTCAGACAGGAAGATGGTGCCAATGCTCTGACACATTTCATGCTGAGCTGTGTTTCCCACCAGGAAGCTCGCAGGGAGTTCCTGGTACCTGCCATCCACCTAGTGAAGGATCAAACCCACTCCTTGGGGAAAGTGGGGGGGGTGGGGGTCTACTTGGAGCTGAACTGGCTCCAAGCTAACATGTTTGACAACAGAATTTACGAATCAAACCCACCCTCCATGGCAGTCTTGGTGGCCCAGTTCATGAGCTAGGCATGTCTGCAGTAATCCAGGGCACTGCCGCTGGCTCATTGGCAGGACATGGAAGGGCAGACCAGTCACTGGGGGCAGGGTCTCTTCACACCTTTTATCTTGCGAAACATAGCCCTAATGGGTAGGGTTGTCCTGGCTGGATAAGCAGTGGGAAAGCTTGCCAGCCAGTGCTCTCAAAGGCAAGCTGTGTGGTCTTTAGCTGGTTAGACTCCGGCAGTACCTCAATGAAAACTGGGATCCCCAAGCCTTGGCTCTTGCACCTCATACCTTCAGGAATTAGGTGAGCATGGTGCATTCCCTCCAGGGAGAGAGTGCGCATCCCATTCCAACAATTTATCTCTGGAATTTCCATATGTAGGTGGGATGCACAGAACTCTCAGTTTGGTTTGGATATTCTTAAGCATGGTGATAGGTTTCCTCAGTTTGATTTTGATACTTTTAAGCATAGTGATGGGTCCTGGCTGACCAACGTAAAATGGACTAACAGATTCAAGTGGGAACTCTGGAAATTGGGAGCAAGTCACATTTGCTTTGACGTGAGGGAACTCCCCTCTGAATGTAGATTGAGTTGGAATGGTGTTCCAGCAAGTCAGCATTACAGACTTCCCAATTTCTTAAGAAGTAATTCAGAAATCCATTTTAAAATACTGCAGAATTGATAAACTAAGCCACATGTAATAAGTACACAAGATTGGTTTGGATGAAGTCAAATAGTTTGGTAGTGGATCTCTTGTCCCAATTTCATTAGCTCTGACACTTGTGTTATGTACTGATAGAGTAATATGACATGGAAACAGCCCATTCGGCACAAATCACTGATGACCCCACTGATCTCATCCTTCCAGAACCCTTACCCTAATATTCCCTCATCAAGCTGTTTTTTAAATGAGTTCTACAACTTTTCTGTTACTCTTTTAACCCTCTGAATGAAGAAAAATAAATAAAGAAAAACATCCTGGTCTGACCTGAAATTGGTCTTGAAATGGGTCTTGAAGGAAGCAATTTTGACTTACATTCATATGTCTCTTGTAGTACTGTCTTGTTCCATCCTATAGTATTGAAGTGGGTTTACATTTTCAAACTCATCGAAAATTGTATACGTCTCCATCGGGCCCCTTCTGATCTTCAAGATGTGAAACAACCATAAACAAGTTGCAGACTAGTACAACACGGATTTATTTGTGCCGACTGGGCTGTTTCCATGTCATATTACTCTATCATTACATAACACAAGTGTCAGAGCTGATGAAATTGGGACAAGAGATCCACTACCAAACTATTTGACTTCATAGATTTGTTTAGGCTTGAGAAGTTTGATGAACTATTGATATGAATATAATGAAAATTGTCTGCAATAAAAGCATGATGAATATTGTGGTTGAGGAAGCACATAACTTGTAATTGTTAACATAACTAAATAACGTTTATATCATGTCAACACTTGGTATGATTAACCTGAACAATTGATAATTACTATCACGTGTAATGACTAATTTCGCAGGCAAACATGGAAGCTAACTGAACCAACAAGCTCCCACAAACAGATGAACATGCTCTCTCTCTCTCTCTCTCCTCTCTCTCTCTCTATCAATCTTTCTCTCTCTCTATTTGTCAATCAATCTGCTCACAGGAATACCCCACAAATAGCCTTCACCTATATTTTTTGTGTGCATCTCCGGAGCTTTATTTTGGTCTCAAGCTTGTTTGTGATATATACTTTGTGTGTTATGTGAATCTTTAGTACAATAATTGTTCATCCTATAGGTGCAGTTCACCAAGTACAACTGTAAGAATTGAGCTTGCAAATTTGACACAAATAGGATCCAAAGTATCATCAAAGCTTCCACTTGCTGCATGAAAAAGTCCTCAACAATTGGGAAAATGTGAACATATCTACATATAAAATAATCATTTAATCTTACAAACTCTTGTTCAGTTTCAAAGAAACTGGGATTGGAGAAAAGATGACCGTGGTCACCGTGTAAAGCCAAATTACTGACATCAAGTACACAACGCTGCCAAACATTTTCTGGAATATTGTAAAAAATGTCAACTGGAAATTAAGCATTCAGCTGTTGTTGGGAATATTCGTGGATTTTCTCTCTTCCAATAATGTGACAAACTAACAGCAGAATGGTAACACTCCTGAGATTCCACAGATGTGGATAGATAACTCACAAAGTGGAGTGATTTATTTGTTGAAAAGTGTCTTGCTTATAACCCTATGAGCAATCAGTGTAATATGTAGTGAACATTTCAAATCGAGGAAAAGATTTTGAGGCAAGAAAGTGGAAGTTGCCAACTGTACTTCTATTTAAAGCTTTATCACGAGACAGGAGATTGCAGTTTGAGCTGGGCTTAAAGGATAACTGAAAGGAGAACGAACACATTTTGACTTGATGTTAGCAAATTAAGAATCACTCACCCTTTGATTTCCACAGAGAGTTCTGTGCTGAATACTTAGATATGGAGAGCTTTGTGCATACAGGGACTTTCCTCCTACTTGTAATAACACAGGTGTCATTAACAGTGGCACAAGAGGACACAGGTAAGTGTCATTCTGGATTATTTTTCTTTCAAATATAACCTCCTCAAGTTTGTGGTCAAGTTAAATCAAAGGTACCTTTAGTCTTGAGAAACGAAGTCCAGTAAATTTGTCTCGCTGAACAAATCTTGTGGACGTTTCACCCATAAATATACAGTCAATTCACTTTACAGTATTTTCTGTGAAGCACTTTGAAATGTCTTGAAGACTTGAAAAGCGCTATATCAAATGCAAGGATTATTATATTATATAAAACTATCAACTCTAAATCTTGTTATGAAAACTCTATTTTGGTGAATGGTGCAAATTCAGTGAAACGGTCCGACATATAACTTTACAGGTTCTTGGAGTTTAACACACATATTGAAACATAAAACAATTTCAAGCCAATATTTTACAGATTGAAGCAATGCTAAAGTCAAATAATTCCTCTGACTATCATTCATTTTTGTTACAACATTTTATTAGCATTTAGTAATGGTCCTATATCAAATTGACCATGTTTCACCATGTTAGGCAAATTTCCTTATTCCACATGCCTGTCTACCAAGCAGTAAGTAGGAACCCAGTTGTTAGTCGATTGGCAGATCGCTTTTCCAGGGGTAATAATCTCCTCAAAAAAAATAATAATTAGGTCACTCAATCCATGATTGTTCGTAGGACACTGTTATGTGCAATTGGCGGCCGCATTTCGCCCACAAAACATAGTCAATTCACTTTACAGTATATTTTGTGAAGCACTTTGAGGCATCCTGAAGACATGATAAGTTGCTATATCAAATGCAAGGATGATTATTATCATAATGGTCCTCTATCAAATTATCTATGTTTCACCAAACTATACCTCAGTACAATTGGGCTGTTAAGTAACACTCCAGTGAACCTGCAGAGAACATCAAACATAATGGACTGACTTTCATGGCAAGGAGATTCCAGCTTGAAATGTTACTTTTCAAATGTTTTCAAATCTTGCACCTTACTGACTTACTCAACAGAAAGCAGGTACTTCACAAAACCAAAAAAAGTACAGTTTCTAGAGGAGAGCCATTAGTAGTTGTATCATCATAATTGCTAGTTGATATTCAAAACAAATCTCAAACAGTTCTACTCAGCAGTATTCTTATCTAAGCATGCCCTGTTTTCCTATCTGTATTGTTTATAGTTTTTCATTGTAGTTCTGCAGTGTTTTCACTATTTTAATTATGCTCATTCTGATCTTGTTTAGAAGCCTTCATTCATCGTAAATGATCTATTTTGCCTAAAATGAGATATATTGTATGAGGAATAAAATTAGGAACGAGAACACAATGTCAGAAAAATTCTCTTGAAATCTTGGATTATGTGTTGCAGATAAACAACAGATAATTTGTTTTTGTTGCCTGTATGATTTAATTTCATCCAGATAATTATCTCTTTGTTTTAACTTTAAGTTCAAAATTAGATCTCATCAAACCATAAAATGTATTCAAGAGTAACTTGTGAGAAATGTCAGCAAATTAAGATCTAAATACTTTGATGTAATTTGGAAACTCATTGAGTTGTTCTGCCACCAAGCTTTTTGTCTTGATGATGCGGTTTGAAAGCTCTAACCTCATTTAAATTGCTTTGACTCTGTTTTAGTTTTGTACCTCCCATGATATTAATCCAAATAGTGATTCAGAGTCTCCAGGGTTGTACAGTTCTGCTACAGTTGTACCTTTGATGAGGAGGTTTAAACTTCCTATAGATGTATCAGGTGCAGAGTGGCTTTGATTAGTTGTAACATGTCGTTCACCTTGGAGAAATGTGACTCCTATTACAACAACAACAACAACAAGATTCCATTTATATCAGTGCTTTAAGATTTTCAATGTGACAATGATAGCATTATAAGCTGAGATGCAGCAGCACTGAAAGGAATAGTGATTCCACACGATGCATTGAGTTAGCATATAATTTCAGATGTGAGAGCATAATAAATGTGCAAATAAAGTGTATACATGTTACAGGTTACGTGGACAGTGTGTCTGCCTGCGACCTTTCTTGGCACATGACTTCATGCAATGCCAACACACGTATTTACCAAAAAAAAATAAAGCTTGGCTGTGCTACTTTACCCATCCACTCTATACCATTTATATATCATTTGCTTTTTCAATTTCACATTTTCTTATATATCAGAAAAAGCCAAATCTACTATTAACATATCATTAGAAGTCATACTTTCAGTCAACCCAAGTATCCACATGCATTTCCAGATCCACCTACAAATACATTTCCTGCAATGATAAGTACGCTTCAATTGAATCCCTTCATAACCTGCTGAATTATTTTCCTTTCTCAGGTCCTTCCTGCATGGATAATAACATAATACATGCGAACCAAGCTGTCTGGAAACCAGAACCCTGCAACATCTGTGTTTGTGACAATGGACATATCTTGTGTGACAAAATGGATTGTGAGATGTTAGACTGCCCAGATGCTGAGATCCCACCTGGAGATTGCTGTCCTGTGTGTCCACATAGTGGGCCAGCATCAAAATTCTCTGTAGGAATCCTTTCATTATTGTGTTTTCCAGATTTTGGTTTATGCAATGTTCAACTATTATTTCATGTTGTCACTTAAGGGTGTCTTTTTTAAGCTACGGATGAAGTACAAACTGACATTGGTGTGTTTTGTATATAGGGGAAACAATAAGACTTTCCATTGGCATCTTCAATAATCTAAACTTTGGGTTACATTTGAGTATATACAAGAGCTTATTAAGAAACCTTAGTTACATTTTTCTTCATTGTTATTTGTAAACCTTTTGAAGCCTTTTATTGAGTTTCAGATTAATATTAAAGAGTTTAGTCTTTTCAAAGGAGCTCGGTAAGCTATTTGGTTTTGGTCGTTTTCCTGGGCTAGATACAACTGTGGTTTTCGTGAACTACTAGATTATCAATCCTCTTCTGTTAGGTTCGGTAAGAAAAAAATGAATAATGATTGTGTCTAATGATACATAGAGTACAGTAATCTTAATGTCCTTATTCCAAACCCTATGATTTATACCTGGGCTCTAAGATTATAGACCATAAAAGTAACTAAGTCATTCTAAAGCTACCTCTTCCTCATCTATGGGACCATAGTGTTCTCTCGTAAGACTTATATAGTCTTATTTTACTGGTGACAGCTATGGTGTACTGAATGTCTCATAGACCTCTCGTGTCCAATAAATACAACAACTTGCATTTATATAGTGTCCTTCACGAGGGATAGCTTCCCGGAGAGCTTGACAGTGGCAGGTTCTGATGCCGAGCCAGGGGGAGAGAGAGGAATTGAGGGAGAGAGTTTCAGAGTTTTGGGGCATAGTGGCTGAAGGCACAGCCACTGATGGTGGAGAGGAGGGGACAAGGGAAAAACAGGACGCCAGAGCCAGCTGAGCATAGGCAGCGGGTAGTGGAGTGGGGTGTAAGCAGGTTGGATAGATAGGGAGGTGCGAGGACATGAAGGGATTTTAAAACAAGTGAGAGGATCTTAAATACTTTGGATCCCAACTCATTCAATGATTTAACAGAAGTTTGGTGTCAAATTCTGCATTCTTGATCATTCCTCAACTACACAACATACACATTTTTCCCAAATGCCACTTCTTCCCTTGGAGATACCTGGATTTCCCAATAATACTTTAAGTGACTGATACTTGCATACGCATCACTCTAATTGCTTCTCAGTCCTTTACACTTTTAATAGATATAAACTATTAACAAACACACGGATGGAGGTGAAGTAAAAAGTGAACCTAAAAAGCAATACAGTGACAATTGAATAATAACTGTGACTTCATGGAATTAATACACCTGCTCTCTGTATCCCAGGTGCTCAGTTAACATCAACAACAACAAAATTACATTTGTATAGCGCCTTTCACATCGGGAGGACGTCCCAACATCAAAGAACTTGCTTGACTTTCCCAAACAAATGTATTTCTGAAATTAAAACAAGAACTAAATTGTACTTGTCATGAAACTGTGATCTTACCATGTGGCACTTAAGATGGGGCAAAACTGATCTATGAGATGCAGTTATAGCTAGAGATCAAACAGTAATATCTAGATGTTGCATTGCTAAAAGCATTTTTGGCATATTCAGATAGGAATGGAGGGATTTCTGGAGAACAACTAGTAGCAGTGTATCATTTTGAATTGAAAAACTTGCAGAATGTTCAGATGGTTCAGTATAGAACACATATTGTTGATATCTTCAACAATAAAAAAAATATTCTTTGCAATGGGTCCTAAATTTTTATTGGCAAGCACATTTTGCAATATATGGTTCTGACTAAAATGTATATCCATCTTGTTGCAGAATCATGTAATCAAGGGAGAGAAGGGAGATCGGGTAAGTTTGATTGAATGGTGATTTGAACCCCATTTTAAGCGTAAGAGGGCAATGTGCAATAATTCAATCCTGATAAACTCGTCTCGTATCCATAGAACATTATCGCCTGCAATTCATCTCGTATCAATATCTCTAATCGTAAAGTGTGGATTAGTTCTTGATTTTCATTGTTATCTGACAGGGTTTACCTGGTCCTCCTGGAGCTGATGGTTTACCTGGGCCACCTGGTCCAGCCGGGCCACCTGGTGAAGGTTCCGCTCTGGTAAGTTGCTCGTTCTATGCACAGAAAACCAAACATGCTTTTACAACCTATCACAACACCACTGTCGTAACTGTCCGGATGGCGTCTCAGAGCGCTTAAATTATTGACAATGGGAACAGAGTACTCCTTAGGTTGTAGACGAATCTGCCGATCTTTAATCAATTTCTTCCCGGCACAAGTGGACAAGAAATGATTCCAACTTTACCACTCTGTGATCTTGTCTTGTTCTTAACAACAACAAGTTGCATTTTTATATAGCATGTTTCACATCAGAAGAACGTTGGAAGCGGTTTATAGCAATATCTTAAGAAAGTTATTCCTATAAAGTGCTTTGAGACATCCTCCCAACATGAAAGGTGCTATATAAATGTAAATTGTAATTGCATAGAGCAATGATTGAATATTAACAGTCATTTTACATGTCATTTTAAATACCGTAGGCACATATATATAAAATCATACAATCTAACCAGAATGACTTAAACCAATCCTTTGTTGAGTATGTGGCCTGTTTCCGTGCTATATCACTCTATGTAATTCTATGCAGCTCCTTGTAACCTCTAGGGTAATCCATATGTATTCCTGCCAAAACTAAAAAAAACTTTGCTGGTTTTCCGCACTTCTGATTAATAACAAACTTCAAACTAAACATTTTGAAGCACTTTACAATATAAGTGGTTACAAATTTAATGATGGTTGTATATAGGTAACTGGAGCAGCTAATTTGTATAGCAACATTCGATAAGTCACATTGAGATAGGTAGGTAAGTCGTTTGAATTTCTTTGTGGGATACTTACTTAAGAATAAAATGAAAGCCTTAAAAAATAAATTATAATGACTGGACTGAACAACCAAAATTTTTAAATGATTCAGCTCTGAAAAGGTTGAGGGAGGAACCAACTAAAATTGGGAGTGGGGGAGGAGAGGGGCTTTGACCCTACACCTGTTAGTAAGGGAAAGATACATTTTAAACTCATTTTCTCCTAGTGATGGTTCTCACCTCACCTCAATTTTCTCCCTAGAATAGTTCCTTAAAAAAATAGCTTTTTTGTTTATGCGTGTTCAGTGTTGTAAACCGCAGATTGGTAAACAATTCACAATATCCTTTTTTATAGACTTATGCCGCTCAGATGTCAGGGAACTATGAATCAGTTGATACGAAAGGAATTGTTCCTGTGTACCCACCTATTGGACCGATTCATTGTCCTCCTGGACAAACGGTAAGAGTTTTTTCTTTGGTTTGGGTTTTACTTCTAACATAATTGAAAGTTATGCATGTAAATAAAAAGTCTAATTTCTCTATAACCATATTTTAGGGCCAGCGAGGACCCAGAGGCCCCCCTGGACTGCCTGGACCATCTGTAAGTACTTGGTCTTCATGCCTGCTTCCTCTTTGTTGTCTTTCGGGATAGTCTCACTAAGTTCTGGGTGACAAATGGTGAGCAAGACATTTTGTTTTGGCTCTAACCCTTGTCCTGCTCTCAGTTGCACTGTGTGCAATTGGCTGCTGCGTTTCGCCCACAAAATCCACAGCCACTCCACTTTACAGTGTATCCTGTGAAGCACGTTGAGATGGCTCGAAGACGTGATAAGGCGCTACATCAAATGCAAGGATTATTTATTGCAAAATAAAGTGGCATTAATGGACTTGCCACTGTTGGAGATTGAATGTGTCATTTTAAACACTGTACTTATTAATATACAAAATCATACAAACTATACAGAATTGACTTAAACCAACCTTTTGTTGAGCATTAACACCAGCTGTATCACTCTATGTAACTCTATGTGACTCCCTATAACCTCTAGGGTGCTCCAGGTTATCAAGGCTTGACTGGTGAGACTGGATCACAAGGGCCCAGAGTGAGTATCTTAACCATATCTTTAAAGGATCTTCAACAGAGAACACGGTACAATTAACACTGCAAAGATGCTGACTTCTTACCAGATTTCTTTGTGTGATATAGGAACTCAGTGTTTTTAGGAATACATTTTAGCCATGATCTGAAAGCATGTTTGTCTGCAGTATAGCTTTTTTATATAGGGATAAATATGTGGGTATTAAGATCATTGAACAGACAAAATTTATAAAACCAAAAAGCAAAATTCAAACATTTTCTAACATTAAAGCTTGAGATGAAGTAATTCCTTTTTATCAAATGGAGAAAATAAGTCCAACTTTACTGTATGGTAATCGGCAACTATTTACCAGAAAATAACTGTCCTTTTATATTTTAATAGTTTTGAGATTTATAGATAAAATCAGATTAATTATATTAATCAATTTCCCTCTGTTGATATATGTTCAAATTTAATATATTGAAACAAAGCTTTGTACTTTGCTAAGTCATATAGTTTCTTTCTGTCAATTGTGCTCTAGAACAACTAGCTGTGAGCTGTAATTTTCGACAAGTGAGAAGCAATCCACCATGTAAGAAACATTCATGGTATTTTCTTAACTATTATAGGGTCCGTCTGGTCCTGTTGGTGCTATAGGTCCTCCTGGACTAACTGGACAAAACGTAAGTAATTCAGGCGATTGTACTTACTAAACTTACTCTGCTTTAAAATCTGGTTCCCTATGAAATGTTATTATTCCTTTTTCCTGAAGCCTTCTTGGCATACAGTGATCAAAAAAAAGGTGCCACTTTAAAGCCCAATTAAACTCCATTGGCAGTGTCTGGTACTGCAATAATGCAGACTTTGCAACAGTGAACAAGCGGACGATGCCCCAAGTCATCTTGTTGGAAAAGGGATAGAAAGTGCATTGCCGACTTTGAAACTCCTACTTCAATAAGTGTAGAGCCAAGAAAATACAATAGTTTCTAGAAGACCTGCTGTGCAGTATATTAAGCAATATCCAGCAGCCATTTATTGAATTAATCATTTATTCACGTATGTCACATTGTAAGCATTGAACATACTTTTTCAAACTTTGTTTCAAACTAGGGTGACCCTGGCAGACAAGGGAATCGTGGTGTGGTTGGGCCTACTGGTCCACCGGTGAGTAATCATTAAATGGAATGAGTAAATGTGAAATGGAAAAATTAGTAAAAGAATCTGTGCTAAAAATGATTTTACATTTACCCCGATTTCCTAATTTACATAACTATCGATTATGAATATAGTGATATTACAATTTTATGCATTTCCCAGTGTATTTTCTAACTGTGTTAATATGTACATTGTTAGATCAAGTTGAAGCTTGAGAGACTGGCAAACCTGTACATTTCATAATAACATTACGTTTGCTTTTTATTTAAGGGCCTTCCAGGTCATATGGGTAAGCCTGGTTACCCTGGTATGAAAGGTCACAGAGTAAGTATGTTGCTCATCTATTTGGGTATTACATATTAAGAATAGTCTGCATTACTGTCACTATCATTTCAGAAAAGAAAGCATGAAACCGCAGTTCAGCAGTAAGAAGTATATATCTCAACGAGGGTAATTTTCTATCTCTGCAGGGTGAGAATGGACGTGATGGGCTTAAAGGTGAAACAGGTGTAGTCGGCCCAAAGGTGGGTGTGCTTTCATTTCAGGTTCATTTCTTAAGAAAATGAAGTAAAATCTCCAAACTGATATTGCACAATAACAGGAGAATGCTTCTGATATTCTAACGGATTGTTTTTTAAACTCTAAACCAGGGTGAAAATGGTGATCCTGGAACCAATGGTCTGCCTGGTCTAATGGTAAACAGTGTACATTTATTCCAGTCTCTTAAGAGAGAATGTATCCGATGCTCATCCAAAGAGCAGTGCTTAATTGGTGAGAGGGGATCACCAACACAATAGACATAACTCTGGCTGGTTGCTTTCACTCTGGTAATATGGGGAGTTTGTCCCTTCCCATCTAAAGGAAATAATCATTATTTTTGAGTACTTTATATGCAATTTCATATGCATATCCCTAAGAGCATATCGGTGACAGCAACCAGAGGAGTCCATACATATCTATGAAATTGTCAACAATGTACATATCGCGGCTTCCTAGATGAACCCTTGCAAACCATTTATATTTGATAGAATTTAATAAGATGTTTGCTAATGTACTGTAGGACAAAGCAGCATTTTAATGTATTAACATTTATGTCTGATTCATATACCTACTAGGGTCCTACTGGTCTGAAAGGTGAAAAAGGACAAATTGGAAGTACTGGCACTCCTGTAAGTATAATCACCAACTGGCTAATTTAGAAAGTGAGTCTCTATTTTTATAACATAAAGCAATGGGCGCTGGTCGACATGACTTATAACCACTACACTTAAAGCAAACCTACGTTGCTTTAAATGTCGTGGTTAAATTGGTTAAAACATGTGCCAATAACTGTTCTCGAATCATGCAAGTTTAATTTGTTTTAACTAAATCTCATCAATTTCAAATACAGTATTTTGACCTGAAATTTGTTGTTATATGAATCAACTATAAATAAATGCAAAGCCACACCATTACTGCCACATTGTACAAGACATATTTTTGCTATCAGTACTATAGTTGACACCTATTGCTGATAACAAAGAGGCTATCATAATAACTGGTGGATATATTATCATGTTACTATTGATTCCTTATAAACCCACAGAATGGCATCCTATGTACACAGCTTCTCTTTAACTGTAAGGGGGCAGAAATGTCATGCGGTTCTAGATTTACTCTATTTACTTAACATTTCAGGACATCCAGATGTTGGCAAAGAAACTGTTACGAATTACAGAATTGAAATCAACAATTTGTCAAATTCTGGACATGCTAAAAAGCTAACAAAATAGAATAAATGTCTCCCCAATAGATGGTTTTGATTCAATTATTATATCAATTATTTTAGCAATAACACATATTCACAATAGAAAATATCAACCTTTTTTATATGAAACAAATTATAATAGCCATTTGACTTAACCATGAGTATCGCTCAAGGTTACTGGACAGATGTGTGGCTTTCTTACATATCTTGAAAAGGGAAGTTTACTTTAACTCAATGATTATTATTTAATATAATGCATTATGTTTCAGTATTCACCAACATATATGCATATTTTAAAGGGGTTTAGTGTTTCTGTATTTCTTAATACAGGATCGCTTAATAGGATGTAATGTTTGAATTTCCATTGATCTGGGGGATGTTTGCTCACAAAAAAGATCCCATCAGCATGAAATTCCCATGGGTTTGTGTGGCATACTTCTGGTACTGGAAGGAGTTCTTATTGTGTGACTTGGATTCATTGTTAAGAAATTCCATTGAGAAATATAATAGTTTAGACCCAATAATATACCATTGCTGATTTAATAAGTAGTCATATTATGAAATACAATATAAATTTTAATTTGAATTTACTCTTTCAGGTTTTTGTACAGAAGCACTTTTGACTTTGTCATGTTTTATTTGACAGGGTACCAATGGTGCTGATGGTCAGCCCGGAAATGATGGTCAGCCTGTAAGTGAAAAGTGTCTGAAGTTTATTTTACTTCATTTCCTCAACTTTGGTTGGTAAGAAAGGGAAAGCGCAAAATAACAAATGCAGCAAATGATTGTGATATGGAAAGGAGTAAAGTAACACAGAGAGAAAATGGAAGTCAGCCTAAAGTAAGAAGTGCACAAAGCAAGGCAAAAAATGCGTTTTTTCCCCTTTTCTACCAAATGTTCTTTTTCAATTTTCTCCCCTTTCCTTTCCTCCTGAAAGTGTCTGTAACTTATGTAAGATATGTTATTATAGAATAACAAGGAATGGTTTAAGTCAAAAAGCCATTGAATCTGTGAGTTTTATTCCTGTACTTTATTTTTAATATCTTATTTTTGTTTTTAAAAAGGGTTCCCCTGGTTCCCCTGGTAGTTCAGGCAATCCAGGTAACCCAGGTACTAAGGTAAGTTGGCGTGTTGCTTTATATTTTATGATGTCAGTGTCAAGAAGACTTGTATAGAATGTAGTGCTTGCATACACTGAACCTGCATGTACTTAAATATTATAAATGGAGAAAAGTGAGTGCTTGATGCTGACAGTGAGTTTGGAACAGATTAAATTCCTAGCACTTCCAGCCCTTGATGATAAAAAAAGAAAGAAATCGTAACTTAAATGTCACTTCACTAGTAAGCAGCGAAAGAGATGATTTTTTACAGAGAACCCTGATAAAATCCTCCGCCAATTGACTAAGGCCAAATTCTGATGGGTGATGTACAGATGAACCTTCTAACCAATGCACTGTCAGGTGTATATGATTGTTCCTCCCTGTTGCAGTACGTTCCTGGAAGAATGCTTTTGCTTGTATTCAAATTCGAGGTGAATGAGTCATATTATCAATATAAAGACTACAAAAGAAAATAAGAAAAGCTGGAGATTTTTCTTAAAGTAAAACAGTGGTGAGCGCAGGGAGCAAGTTACCCACACAGGCGGTGGGTAAAATTACAAAAGAAATTTAAAAGTTGTGATTAATGAAGAATGTACAAGGTTATTAGACTTAGAGCAAGATACATTGACCGACTCTTGTTGGAAATTGGGCTAAACGGTTCTACGTTTGACAAAAATGATTACTAGGTTACTATGATCTATAACATATAAGCTGCTACATATTCAGGCTCTAGCTGAGCTTGTTTGAAGAATGAAATGAACTCAACTCAAATGTCCTCTTTTCCAGATTCTTTGCTTGGCACTATTTTAGCTTCAGATGTGTAAAATTGTCCTGATGCTCATCGGAAACTTTTCTCCCTCTGGTAATGTCTCTCACAGGGTGAACCTGGCTCACCAGGAGCACGTGGTTTTGACGGTGTTCCAGGAATAAAGGGCGAACCCGGTCCTCAGGGCTCCACTGGCTCAACAGGCTTGCCCGTATGTAACTAGTTGTAGTGTTGATCCAGTTTACATCTTTTTTTTGATGAACGGATAGATATAACTCAACACAATTAAGAACTGGCATGTACAGCTGCCTTCTATTTCCTTCGTAGGGTAACAATGGGAAAGACGGGCAGCCTGGACTCAGAGGTTTCACGGTGAGTTACAAGAGAAAATACCACGTGTGATGATTTGATTCTAATGATAGTGCACACGATAAAATGGGATGAGGTGTTAATTGAAGATAAACAGGGCAAGAGATCAAATGTGAATGTCCCCCATTGAACACTTGTATTTTGATCTGATCTGTGTCCATCACAAGATCTGAGAATCAAAGTCACATTCTTCTACCCACAATAATTGGAATTACTTTCAAATGGCATCAGTCGTCTAATGTTTATAACACTTCTTTACACATATATAAAAAATAATGTTAATGCTGGCAGTGGAGATTCTTGATGAAACCCAAAACAATAATAAATTGGTCATTTTCAATCTACGACTGTTTGTGGGACATTGCTGTGCGCAATTGGCTGCCGCGTTCGCCCACAAATATACAGTCAATTCACTTTACAGTGTGTTCTGTGAAGCGCTTTGGGATGTCCTCCCGACGTGAAAAGCGCTATATCAAATGCAAGGATTGTTGTTGTTGTTGTTGTTGTGGTTCCAGTTTCCATTCCATGTGAGGATATGTGAGCTGGTCACTTTAATCACTGCAGAATTTGATAGCAAAAATAATCTATTAATATGTTAGTTTTTGATTGACAACCTTGTATTTTAACAGCATTTGAAGTCATTCCACTCTGCTTCACACTCTAGGGACCTCCTGGTTTACCTGGCAATCCTGGTGGGCAGGGTTCCGTTGGCCCAAGGGGTCCACCTGGCACTAATGGTATTCCTGGTAATCAAGGTCCTAGGGTAGGACAGTTAATATTACTCTTCCTCTTTTATTCTCATAACCATCACCCATCATCATCAATTAATCATTTTCTAACAAGAAGTCTCTCCCTCTCACTTAGGGTGAACCTGGCAAAAATGGAGACAAAGGTGAACGTGGTACTAAAGGGGACAATGTAAGTATTATTACTTTTGTATCCTTAATTTTAAACTAGGAACATAAATGCACTGATACTTAACGAGATTCTAATGTTCTACATAATATTTTAATAAGCGAGAGATGTGCTTCCTAAAATATTCTGTAGAACATTACAATCTAGTTTGCAGGTGCAGAAAACAGTCACAAAGGGAAACAGGAAGATGGACTGAATGGCCTAATCTGTTATTCTTTTCTGATATTCTTATGTCCTATATTATTATGTCATATCCTGTCTTGTCAATAAGCACGTTTGTCTTTGATGCCTGAAAAATAATGCAAATAAATCTGTATGAAGATATTTTGACAAATATATATTCACTATGTTGCTTGGTAAACCCTAGCTCAGCTCTGTCCTTTGCCCAACTATTGTAATACACGTCAATGCAAAAACTCCATTTATCTGTTTCTAAGGGGAGAGATGGAGCTCCTGGTCCTCCTGGTTTGAATGGAGAAGAAGGCAAAATAGGCCCTAAGGGTGAAACTGGAGGACCTGGTCAAAATGGTGCACCAGGCTTAAGGGTAAGACAATTAATAATAATAACTAGTAACTTTTCACATCATTGAAACATCTCAAAGCGCTTCACAGAATTTACTGTAGAGAATAATGACTGCATTTTTTGCAAGTGAACCTTTTACATAAAGATTTATTTTACTATTGTATCAAGTATTAAATATGTCACAAACTTCATCCCCTAAGTATGTACGAATTCTACCCGACTGTCTTACTCAACTTGAGCACCTTTGTGCACAATATTAACACTGCAGTATTGAGTACCTTCTCATAGAGAAGTCACAGTTCCAGTCTAATTCCAAGGCTATTGTAATTATGAAGAATGAATCATTCGGTGATTTTCCACTGAGTTTTAATTAACAGAGTCCACATGTATTCACAGATAACAAAACAAACGACGTGAACAAAAGTAGATCGAGACTGAGAGCTCAAAATTTTAGGATTGCCAACAGGATTTAAAAAGATATTGCCCACATTTATTGTTGTACTATGTCCACTGAGCAGTGCAAAGTACATCTATAAAGGTCCGTTCTGCATGGCGTGATAAATTAGTATCATCAAGGCAATCTACTTCCATATTGCAAGAGCATCATATGGCTTGTACGATAGTGACAGAGATGCATGAATACCTGGATTTCTGATTTGCAAAACATTGCATTTTCAATCCCAACCTTTGACGTATGTGTGCGCGTGAGAGAGTGCAACTCTAGGTTAGGAATAGGAAATGCCAGATAAAAGATGATTAAACTCCACAAAAGGCCAGAATGATTTGTGTTTAAACCTCTCAATGTTATTTCTTCTCTGTTTGCTAGGGCTCTCCCGGATTACCTGGAGTCCCAGGTATGGCGGGTTTACCTGGCCCGAAGGTGAGAAGAACTACTTAATGTGCAGTAATGTATTTCCCAGCATTGATTTGCTCAGAAACATTTTATTTTTAGCTGATATTATCAAATTGTTTGTTTAGATTATTATTTATATAATACCAGGGCGGTGTAGGAGACATTGGGCCACCAGGTCCCACTGGTCCACGAGGAACTTCTGGTGAACAAGGCCAATCTGGAAATCCTGGTTCCCCTGGGAAAGTTGTAAGATCATTTTTTGTACCTCACACATGAAAACTACACAACTTTACTTTTGATTTAAAGCATAGGTGTCATTCAATTCTAATAATAAGATAGTATATTTTAACATTTCTTTCCTGTGTTTAGGGAGACCCTGGAAGTCCAGGCAGCCCTGGAGCAGAGGGAAAAACAGGTTCTCAGGTATGTTTCTAAACATCATTGGTTAGAAACTGCTCTTTTAAGAACTACAAGCAACCCAGCTTCAAAGTTTAAACCAAATGTTGCAACACTCATATGCTACTGGATTCAATAAAGTAAATCTAGACCCAGGTGGAATTGCTACCCAGACATTGGTAGATATGCTGAATATTTCAACACATTGTCATTATGATCTTGTTGTCGACCTTGTTTAATAGTTATTATTTAGGACTTCCTTCCTATGAGTTAATCCAATGTGAAGTTCTTTCTGTCCTACTTCATCAGATCTTGGTAGCTCTCTGATTTCTTCACCTACCTTCTAGTCAAGCTTAAATGCTCCAGTCTTTGCCGTAAATGAAGCGTCATCCAGATTTGGTGTTACTCTAACAACAATTACTGACAGTTCATTATTATTGTCTACTTATTTGTGTGTTTGTGCGTTATGACTGTCCAGAGCCTTGGAACGTCCTCCCGAAGTGAAAGGCGCTCTACAAATATAATTTTGTTGTTGCTGTTGTTGTTGTTAATCTCGCTGAAGAGAAGAATGATGAGAAGAAATTGGTCATTGTCATATTTCCCTCCTTTTTGTCACCAGGGTCCTTCTGGTCCACGAGGTTTATCAGGTCCTCCTGGCCCAACTGGCCCAAAAGGACCACAAGGTCCGAGGGGTTTCCCTGGTCCAAAGGGTAATGACGTGAGTGCAAAGTTTATTTCAATCTTCTCCATCTTTGTTAGATGCACGTTAAGTGTTACGTTTGTCCCACTGTTGCTACTTGAAAGCAATTCTAGAGTGTAAACAAATTATTTGAACAAAAATGATAGATATTCTCATTCTAAATTACAATTTCTGTTTAATAGAATTTCACACGGCATTGTTTAAAATATTTTCAAGCATTTAACCCAAACTATTTTTCTCACAAGGGTACACCTGGTGAAAGTGGTCGGAAAGGGACCCCTGGAAATCCTGGTGGGCAAGTAAGTAAATGTATTAGCAGCGAACGAATAAATCTATCTTAAAAGAACTTATTAATAATAAGCAATGTATTTCTAATCCTTGCACCTGAACAATATCAACAGGGTCCACCTGGCAAGGAGGGTGAGAAAGGAGCTTCAGGAACACCGGGATCTCCTGTAAGTATGATTACATCATTTTGACATCTCACTCAAGTAAGTTATTCTTCATGAAGGCAGCCACCCAGTGAGAATTGGGGGGCTTTAGAGAAGTCTAGCCCTATCCTGTCCTCATCAAAGTCTGCAATATGCACACTTTGTACCTGGATCCTTTAGAATAGCAGTCAAGAACAGAAACCCTTGTCTATATGATTAGTACAGTACAGGGTTATGCCTTTACCTACCAAGCTATCACAAAGAGCATAATATACTATAAAATAATTGTTGAATAAATATCTGTAACTAAAGGCTATTATGCTCAGGTTTTTTTTAAGTCTTCACAATATTCCTAGATATTTTAGTTATGTAGCCACACCCTACCCTACTCTAAAGTTCCAAGCACTTCCTATTCTGATCAGTAACTGTACATCGGGCCAACTTTCTGACCAATTTGTTGACTTGTGGTGACCCAATTGATCTTTTCAGTTAGCTGATTTTGAGCAACAAAAGTTTTATGTGTCTCATGTTCAACCGCAAATAAATTGAAACAGAAATGGACCAGAAAACGTCTTAATGTAATCACCGTTACTCCTTGAAATATCCAAATATGAATTGATTATTTATATTTGTATCTATAAAAAACAATTGTTTTATTTGGACTATTTCATTGACTGACAGACATTCTTCAAATAAAGAGCAGTTATAAGGCATTACTTCTTCTCTTAGGGTACGGCTGGTGAAAAAGGAGAACAAGGACTTCCAGGTCCTCCTGGTTTCCAGGTACAACCAGTTTTGGTCTGTTTGGTCTAAAACTCTGGTATAATGAATTCAGCAATCAATGTGATTTAATTTGAACATTATTTACTTAACAACATACCTGTATGTAATTTTTTTTCTCAGTGTAATGCAATCTCTTAGAATCGCTTCACACTGTGTTCAATGGAATTTATCTTGTTTGGAGCGAAAATGAGTGAATAGACTTATCTGTGAACTATTAATAAAGCCTGTGAAATCTTTATTTGCCCTTAAAGAGCAGTGATGAAGAAGTAATCCAATGATTCATTTTATTTAGAAATATAATATTATTTTACAAGCTTTGTCAGAATATGACTAGATTCTCATGTAGCAGTATGTTGATACTTATTGCTTGGTAATAATGGATATATGCCTCTGAGTGTAATTCATTTCTTATTACCTAATAGGGTTCACCCGGTGTCATGGGTTCCCGTGGTGATAATGGTAAACCTGGTGATCCAGTAAGTCAGTGATCCATTGAAGCAGAATACATCTGTATATATTAACTATAGAATTTAATGCTTTTAATGGCCATTTGCAGGACATTGTCATATTCTGCTTCACAATAAATTCTGTAGAGCATTTTGAGACATCCTCCTGACTTGAAAGGCGCTATACTAAATGCTATGATTATTACTATATGTTCGTGGATATACATCCATGCTACGGGATTTTTTATTTTCGATATACCAACAAAGGAGTAGAGACCTTTCCCCCTGAATTTGAGCACTGAAAGTCCTACAATTCAAGTAGAAGTGGAACCCAAAGTGTAAGTGATCTAAATTGCCCCCAAATTAGTTTATTAACAAATCAGTTTACAAACTTGACTTTTCAATCCCTAATATCATCATATTGAGGTTAGAGTAAAATAAACCTTTCCATGGTAGTGCCTACCCAGGGACTATGAGTTATGCATCTAATAAATGATTACACTGTTCCAAACACATATTATCAGCAAAGTACAACCTGGCGCATCACCCTCTAGTCTAGGAATTAATGTTGTAATTATTAACATCCTCTGTGAATATGATACTTGTAGAGCTGTACGTTTATCTTTTGATATGTGCATGGAACATAGATTTTATACTAATGCGATTCTGAATCGATAGAAAATGCCTGCGTGTTTAAGCTCTAAGGGAACTCACCTGAATGCTTTATCAATATTAATAATGGAAAAAAAAACATTCAGAGTGCCAGTAGATAATGTTTTATGTGGTCATTTTTCTCACACCAGGGCATCCAGGGTCAAAATGGTAGTCCAGGACAGCCAGGAGCAAAGGTACATTTTGTAAAAAAAAATTCTACCAAATGACTTGCCTTTGCCTCATGGTGTTGCGTAATATTGAAGCTCTTTGTTTTCTCCAGGGTGAGACTGGTACGCCTGGTGAAGGTGGCAGCTCAGGTCCTCCAGGTCCTGACGGGCCACAGGGTCCAATTGGTATAACAGGAGCAGATGGACCCAAGGTACTTTAGGTTATGTCTGTTTGATGATTTTTGAAACGTTGGTTAATTGCTTCACAATTGCCGTTAATTGCTTCACAATTGCTTTTTCTTTAACATTAGGGTCTTCCTGGACTTCCAGGAAATCGAGGACCAGTTGGACCTCCAGGACTACAAGGTAGGATGGGAGAGAGAGGCAATCCCGGTGGCTCAGGTCCCAAAGGTGAAAAAGTACGTATGTGTTTAATATACACTAAATATAATATACATCCAGTATTTTTTTGAATAAGTGGTAAACTTTGGATTGTACTTTACTCTGACAGGGAGATGTGGGCCCCCCTGGTTTGCAAGGCAATCCTGGTAAAGATGGTGCTAGGGTAAGCCTTCAAAATCCTGTCAAGAACAATTTGTTTTATTTTGCTTTAGAAATCTTCCTGACAATATTGATTGCATTGCATTTCAACCAGTTGCTGCTTCTTTGTTCTTATATAGGGTCATCAAGGTCCTATGGGACCACCGGGTCAACATGGTATTACAGGAGAGAGGGTAACTTTGTGTTTTAATGTTTTATAAGTGTTGACAATAAAGTCTTGATCGCCAGCTGTCACACCAATATCTAGATGGAATTTAAGTCTCACCAAGCTGTGCCGTGACTTGGCTGTAAATTTGGAGAATGTACAATAACAGTGGATCCTCTGTCATAGATACATTTATTGGTTGATATTAACAGTAATCTCCACTAGTGGAATATGCCCATTGTTGCATGCCATCCACATGGTAGTTGGTAATTTTATTAGTTAGTAGTTTTAGTAACCACAGCTTGGAAATAGGCCTCGTGCTCTATATGTTAATGGTTTTTTCTCTCTCTCTCTCTCTCTCTCTTCATCCAGGGGGAGAATGGTCCTAATGGACCTCCTGGTCCTCCTGGTCCACCTGGCTCTTCTGTGAGTGAAGTATAACATTGTGATTAAACAGATAGAATACTCATGGGAACCAATAGAATATAATCTGTATCTTTAAACTGTGTCTAATTCAAGTGGAGGTTCTTACCTAATATAGTAAAATGTTCCAATTCTGTAACATTTGAAGTTGTTTCAGCGATAGAGAATACAAGATCTAAGGGGGAACCGTGTATTGCACAAAATGCGGTTTTGTAAATGTAGTAGAGAATTACTATTTACACAGTTGAGATTCAGAATGTATTTCAGTGATTGAATAAATGTGAAGAGTTGTAAGAATGTACTTTCATAATCTAGGTGCAGAGAGGAAAAAAAAAGCTCAAGAGAGTTAAGGCGTTTTTTGTCAGCTACTACAGTAGCACAAAACAAAAAAGTCATTTAAATAATGAATTTTATTGTCCTAGGGTGCACGAGGGGAATCTGGCCTGAAAGGACCGCCAGGGTTTCCAGGGCCACCTGTGAGTATGCATTTAGCAACTCATTTTGAGAAATAGTTTAACCATAATTGATTGATCGCACAAGCAGTTATATAATGTTAGGTATTGATCTATCAATGGTCAATCTTTTAGGTGATACAGACTTGTCAGTATAAATTTGGCTTTCTGATCACTTTATTATGCTACGAAGCAAAATGGTGTTTCTCCGACTATTTGATCCAAATTGCCTTAATAGCAAGAGTGAATTGGCTGTCTGACATTTAAATACAGGAATTTTTTGTTGCGTTGATGAACTAACTTGATGTTTTATAAAATTAGGGCCTTGATGGATCACTTGGTCCTAAAGGGTCAGATGGCGATGCGGGTGACAAAGGTGATCCTGGGCCCAAGGGTCCTACTGGCCCTCCTGGACCTCCTGGTCAAGTGGTAAGCAAACAGAGCATTCTCCATCAGTTTAATATCATGCACTGGGATCATTTAATACTCCTTATTTCTGAAGATATCTGTTCAAATCATAGCTAGATGGTGCAGTGGAAAGGGCTGATATGAGAAGGACGAGATCAAATGAACTGGAGAGTCTTACCTTTGTTTTTATCCTTTGAAATGGATCAAAAATGCACAGAATAACAATTTGTATTATGTAATAACTTGCCTACTATTCTCAAATGTGTAACAAATGTTTAACATTTTTACAGGGTGCTTCAGGGTTAACAGGCCCGAAAGGTGAGCGTGGCCCATCTGGTCTTCCTGTGAGTATCATGGTTATTACTCATCTTTTTTAAGTTGCTGAATTATACTTTGCTCATGAAGGTATAAAATCATCCATTATGTCATCTGGTGTGCTGAAGTGTAGATGTACATGCCTCATGTTTTGGGCAAATACATTTGAAAACTTTGAATCTTTTTTTCAGGGTGGAAATGGTCAGCCTGGTTTTCCTGGGAGAATGGGTCCACCTGGTCCAGGGGTAAGTTAAAATAATACCGTTTGTTCCTAATAGATGACCTACCTGTATCATCATTCCTAACAATCAACCCTGCTCAGTTTTATTTTTTTGCACATTGTCTTACAATTACAAAGCCTAATGACAAAAAGAGGGCAACAAGTGAAATATTATACAAGTATATATTCTAGAAACTCAATTTAGTGACAAATGATGTTTTACTGTGTAAGTATTTTCCCCATTACTATTGAAGAATTACATCACCGTATTACCATTTCTGTACTATTTTTACCTCCACTGGATCTTATGTTTGTAGCAAAAGAAAACAAGACATTTTTCAGGATGTAAGCAATCTGTCTCATCCCATTCTTCACCCCCAATATACTTTCCTGCACAATTACCCCAATAGTTCCCTGATTTACCTGGCGAGCCTGTGAATATTACTTGTTGGTTACTATATGTTATTCATTATCCTGGTGACACAATGAATTCTGTTCATTCAAACTTGCTTTACTATTTGCTTTGTCTGCATGAACTTTTGGGCGCATCCCTCTCAAACGTTATTTTGCAATGACTATCTGAATTATGCCAAAGGAAAACTCGTTCAAAGTCTGTTTTATTCATCGTTTAACAGGGTAATACTGGCCCTTCAGGCCCTTCTGGGTTGACTGGCAAAGATGGTCCCCCTGGCCCATTTGGTAGCACTGGCCCAACTGGCACCCGTGGGCCACCTGGTCCAAAAGGGCCACCTGGTAACGCTGGTGAAATTGGTTTACCTGGTGAAACTGGTCTGCCGGTATGTACGATATTTAAACGTCATTTCTTACTGGTTTATTCAATGCTATCTAGCTCTAATGCTGCTCACATTATTCTTGGAAGTATCTTATTCTTGAAATGCGGTGAATCGAATGATTTTGCAATAATGAAAAAATTGCAAAGCGTCGGAAAAAAAAGTCTTTAAATCAAGGTACTTTGTGATAAATAGTGACTTGGCTTAACATTACTAACCATGGGTCAATCTTTAACTAATCAAAGGATAGTGATGAAAACACAGATAGTTCTGAAAATATTTAAGTAGCAAAATCCTTGTGAATGGGCAATTTTGTATTTAAGAGATTAAGTATCAATAGAAAACTAGATCCATATTACATGTGAATTACTTGATTAATTGTAAATTATTGGTTATCGCACATGTGCTTGCAACATGTTTTGACAGTTTTGTTTAGAATTGCACAATTTTAGATATTAAAGCAGGAAGTTAGACTCATTGGTTTAAAACTAAAATAAATGCCAATTAATACAGTAGCTGATATAATCAATTAGGTTCTACTTAAATGTGTTTGTAGATACGAAGCTAGCATTCACAAGGAAGCTGAGTTTTAGGTTATTGTAATCTCTTTCTTAGATTTAGCAAAAGCATTGTGTTAATATTTTGCATGCATTTCTCCTTTTTTTACTTATTTTCTCATTCTGAAGGAAAATGCTTATCTATTGTATTAAATAGGGCCCAGTTGGTGAAAGTGGTCCTCGTGGTTTAAATGGAGGAACTGGTTTTAGAGGTTTACCAGGTTCACGAGGAATAATGGGAGCTATTGGTTTAAAAGGCGAGGCTGTGAGTAGTGTTTGCTTCATTAACTATAATGCTTAATTATAATATTATATTACAGTTCACAAGTTGTTCATCAATCACAAACAGTTAATGTGAATGAAAACTCTTCGGAAGAGTATCTTAACATTGGTTTCTTTCAGTTTAGCATTTTTTGCATTAACAAATCTATTGCGTAAGTCCTTCAATTTTTAGTCTTCTTTAAAAAAGCTTTTTTTTAACATATACAGGTATTTGATTTCCTTATGAAAACAAAATCAATGATATGTCATTGTTAAGAAACTTTTAAGTCATCATTAGCATTAAGTATCAAATTTAGTGGGTTGAACATACAAGAGAACATTGTAATTACAATAGGGAACTCAGTTCACGTGACTTCTTTTCCAAAAAAACAAGAAACAAAGGATGAATAATCTTTCAATAAAAGGACATTTTAGCATTTGATATTATAGGAAGATCAGAAAATAATTGAATTACAAAAGGTTCTTCCTAAATTGGAATATTGATGAGTTGGCAAGTTTTGTTCTTATTCAGTTGTTCTCAAGATGCAAATTATTGCAATCCTAATCCAGTTTCAGATATGTATAGGCAGTGCATTTATCTGGTTATAATAAATTAAATATATTTATTAAGTATTCAATGATAATAATGCCTTGTGTCTATCTGGATACACACGGTCATAACAGAATCATGTATCAATACTAAAATAATATGCAATGTAAACTATTTGATAAAGATTATTATCTTCAATGACTGGTCCTTGGCTGGTCCAGATCATATTGCTTTCACTGTACCATTTATTTGGTTTCCTATTCAATAATTCAACCACCTTGTTTGACCCAAATGCCTATGGACCTGAATATTTCAATTGATTTCAGCAGAAATTTACAATATAGAAAGTAAGTGTTACTTAACAGTAATTTACAACATGTTCATGACAGGAGATTGCAAATTAATCGCTCCCTTCCCACAAACCAAACTCTGTGAATGGTAGCACCCTGAAGTGTAAGACTCGAATCCAAGACATAGTCCGCAGGTTAAACAATAGCATCGCAGAAATTGTTTTCCAGTAATGTTACCAACTACATTTTGCAGCAATATTAAATGAAGTGGCCTTGTTTCAAAGAAATGTATATACTAACCACATTTTATATGTTTAATCCACCATATCAATTATTATATCAGTATATTGATGTTTTTCACAGGGTGAGCCTGGCAAACAGGGACAACCTGGTAGGCAAGGTGATCGAGGCTCTGATGGCCCTGTAGGGCCAATAGGCCTAATAGGTCCACCTGGTGAATCTGGCAAAGATGTAAGTGTATTGATTAACATCACTAAGTGTTTCAACTGTGAAACTAAATGCTTTGCAGGATATTTTGTGAGATTAAGTCTCTTGTTGACCGAATACTCCCGTTCCCATTGTAACTAATACATCATTTTTTTACAGGGTAACCCGGGCACCGCTGGTCATATGGGGCCTTCGGGTGGTCCAGGGCCTAAGGTAACAATCAAATAGTTGAATGAAAATTAATTGGAAATCATTGTACAATTCAAATGGTTTACCAAGGTTTAGTTTCTTTTACTTCTAATGAACTCTGTGTATTTCTGGCAGGGCGAACGTGGTGAGCCTGGATCCCAAGGCCGTCAAGGACCTTCTGGTATTCCAGGCTCCCCAGGACAGACCGGTCCAGCTGGGAAACAAGGTGAAAGGGGAGAATCGGTAAGTTTAGGAAAATGATCTACTCACTGCACCATGGGGGCCAAAATTGATGAATGTTTACCAAAAGAATTATTAGGCCTATACAATTTACATTTATATAACGTCTTTCACTTTTGGAGGACATCCAAAGATGCTTAACAGTTCTGGCTTGGCACTCAGAGCTGGTGATGGAGGCTGAGGGACTTGGGGAGTGAAAAAACATCCAAAGCAAAATAGTGTGATATAGTTTGATATTAATTGTAAAAAGGAACAGGATTCTACCGAATTTGCATATAATAATGAGCACAACTGGTTGGGGAAACTTGCCAAACATAGTGATATGATCTTAAAGAGAATTTGTTTTATAGCCTGAGCCCTGAACAATTTAAATAGATTGACTATCCCAAGTGATGTTCTAATTTATAAATAAGCTTTCAACATAGTTGGGTAAAAATTCTACTAACATTCAACGCAAACCATTTATGGGATTGTCCATTTATGGGATTGTCCATTCCAGGCAGAGGGCGAATCCTTGGGCAAGTTTCCTTACTCCACACAGAGCCTAATAATAATCCCTCCAAAAAAAAACAGTAATAAATTGGTCATTTTCAATCCATGACTGTTTGTGGGACATTGCTGTGCGCAATTGGCTGCCACGTTCGCCCACAAATATACAGTCAATTCACTTTACAGTGTGTTCTGTGAAGCGCTTTGGGACATCCTCCCGATGTGAAAAGCGCTATATCAAATGCAAGGATTATTATTATTATTATTATTATAGTCATGCATCACCAAAGGGTCATTGTGTAACACTGATCTAAATGTTTACCCTGCAAACCTCAAAGTATTTATGAATGTATTTTTGCTCTCATTAGGGTACTCCTGGCCCACAGGGGGCCCCAGGTCAACAAGGGTCTCTTGGACCTAAGGTATGTTGATAACAGTCCATTGTATAAATACAAGTTTAGGTAATATAGATCCTCACATTTGATGTGATTAAATGCTTTACCCACTTATTGAGATTTATAATCAGGTCATATGTTACAAACATTGTGACATGACATGTTTATACTTTCATTTCAGGGTCCTCAAGGTCCTCGAGGAACCAAGGGTGAAACAGGGAAGAATGGAGAGAATGGTATCAAAGGCCATCAAGGTCGTCCTGGTCAACCTGGTCTCCAAGGGTCTCCTGTGAGTACTTTCACTTAACAATAATCTCTAGATACTAATCAGATGTAAAATAAAAATGGGGAGGCATGTTGTGGATGAGTTGCATTAATTTTTGATATACTAGAAGTATATTGAAATAAGTGAAGCATATATTTTATTGTACTTTTAATTAAACCTACCTGGGCCAGTCAAAGATCCCCATTTGTATCCCCTGTGAGATGCTCAATAAGGAATTATTGACTTATTATGAAAGGTGGTCAATGAAACCTAAAGCCCAAACTATTCTGCTTTATTGGCTAAAGAAGGGCCATGTAGCAGCAGTGAGACTAGGAGGGGAGATACAACTAAGGTAGTTATAGAATAAAATCCTTTTGTATCTTTGCCCATCTGTGCAATAGTTCTTTTTGCTACGTTCCTTCTGCAATGTTTTACTGAAAGGCGTGATAGCTGTTCTTTTCCTCTAGGGTTCCATTGGAGAACCAGGTGAGCCTGGAATCCCTGGAAATCAAGGTGCAGTGGTGAGTAAACTTGAAAAAACCTGAAAGAATGTCTGTACTTTGCTGGTTAGATTTTAACCTATAATCGAGTTCCATTTCTGTCTTTAAAAGTCATGTGGAACCTACAAGTAGTTGTCCATGGTGCTGAATGCTTTAATATCCTCTTTACCAATCTTTAGCTGCAATATCAATATATACACATACATATAACTAAAAAAAAATTCCTGTGAAACAATGTGATCCAATTTAATCTCCTTTGTTTACCAATTATACATTTTATATTTAATAACACTGATAATGGTGATATAAAACCTAAACACGTATATCATACAAAATCTGTGGAGATTGTATCCCTTTGACTTCTAACATACAGCATTTTGTTTAGCTAATGGTTGGCTGATAATCACTGTCATTTGGAGTTTCCAATTGGGTTTCCAAATGGGACTGAGAAATTGGGAAAAACATGGGCAACACCTAGTTTCACCAATATTTTGGAAGTTTAGCTCTCATTCCAAGTTTAATGGACTTTAGATCTTTCAAAATAAACCAGTAAGACAACACAAGCTAATTCATTCATTCATTCATTCATTCATTCATTCATTCATTCATTCATTCATTCATTCATTCATTTGTGAACTGACTTTCCATTTAAATCCCACACTAAGTGCAATGCAATATATTTCAGAGTATGTGCAAAGTATACAGTAGATAATATTGAAAAGGGTTGCAGACAGCTCTTCTTTTCCTTTAGTGTTTAGATTGTTCTATGCTTTTTTGTTATCATATAGAAATACATGTGCGTAAGTGTTGAATGCATCTTTCAGATGTTTCTGATTATAATAATTTAGAGTAATTTACTAGTCATAATTAAAATTAAAATGATAACTATAGAATCACCAGTGTATCTATGCTTGTTGTTGTGTATTTTTAGGGTCCTCTAGGCCCCATTGGTCCTGCTGGCAAAGATGGTGTCAGAGGTTATACAGGTCTTAATGGCCCTCCTGGCCCACGTGGCGCAAATGGGCCAAATGGTTCACCTGTAAGTAAACTATTTGCAAACATCCTGAGACATGCATTGAAATTATAATTGAATTGACTTTGATGAGAACTCATCTCGCAGGTAATAGAGCTTTGAACTTCACAGGGTTCACGTGGTGAAACAGGTCCTCCTGGAACGCCTGGTGCTGTGGGTCCTCCTGGTACATGCTGTTCTACAGAACCAGATAATGGGGGACCAGAACCATACAAAAGCTATCCATATATTAAGGATCAGCCCAGAGAATCTATTGTGCAACAGGATGCAAACATAATGGCTACTGTGAAATCACTTAGCAGCCAGCTAGAAGACATCCTGAGGCCTGATGGATCGCAAAAGAATCCAGCCCGCAGCTGCCGTAACCTACAATTCTGTCATCCAGATTTCAAGAGTGGTAAGAAAGTTGCATGTTTTGTTACAAATGCCTACCTTTTTTTTGCACAGATTATTTCATGGACTATAACGTACTAGAGAATAGATCATAGAAATCATAAATTGTATTACATTTTCCAAGTTACAATTTGAAATTACCTTTCATCATTTAGTATGTGGAAATGTCATCTTAAATGGATAGATTATGCTGCTGAAAGTTGTTAAATTGAGCAACTTGATTATTTGACTTATCTGTGAAATGTTCAATATCTTATCTTCCTTCAGTTATAATTTAGAATCTGTTGTGTAGATTGTTCTAATTGTACTTTATCTTCACAGGAGACTATTGGATTGATCCGAACCAAGGCTCTAAGGTGGACGCTATCAAGGTGCACTGCAACATGGAGACTGGGGAGACCTGCATGTACCCTAACCCTGTGAACGTCCCACGTAAGAGCTGGTGGACAAACAAAGGCAGCCGTGAGATGAAACATGTGTGGTTTGGAGAGTCTATGGATGGCGGCTTCCACGTGAGTGTCAGACTGCCGGACCACAACACCTGTAGGATATAATATACAGAGCACCTGCTCAGGAATGTTGTGCCTCAAATAGAATTTTGACATGAACTATCTTATTGTTATTATCTAATTCACTAGATGACGGAATATTATTATTAGTTAAAATACATATCATTTTATCAATGATCTAGATATGTGGCAAGTACGATAAATACACATGTGCCTTTTATACCCGTTGGAAACAATCAAAGCACCGTGTCACAGACTTTTGATAGTTTGAAAAATATTATTATTAGTAGTAGCATTATTGTAAGCGAATGATACTAAGAGGAGATGCTGTTTTGCATTTACAGTTTGGCTATGGTGACTACAATCTTGGGCAAGATTTAGCTGAAGTCCAATTAGGATTCCTTCGAATGCTTTCCACTAAAGCCTCCCAGAATATTACCTACCACTGTAAGAACAGCATCGCTTACCTGGATGATGAGACTGGGAATGTAAAGAAAGCTGTAAGACTCATGAGTTGGGCTGATGTGGAACTCAAAGCTGAAGGAAGCAGAAAATATATATACAGTGTTCTTGAAGATGGCTGCACAGTAAGTTGGCAACAAAAATGAGCGCTTAACTGAAAGACCAGTAACAATATCAGGTTTTAAAATCCTCATTTGTATAACTTTAATATGTGTATATTGTTCAATCATATGATGTTTTCGGAAAACCTGATGCGTTACACCCAGTTTCCATTGGCCTGCTTTTTCTGGGTCTTGAAAGCTATCAATAAGAATGTCGATTTGTGATCTCTACTGCTCATCCAATATAAAAATCATATCAACAATTGACAGTAATACTAATGCTATGATCCTTGAGTTTGCAACAGTTGTAAAAGTAGCCCAAGAGGCTGGTTAGGAGCTAAAGTAAGTAATGTCAGGATGACAACAGTAATCTTTTATTTTAAATTGTATTTTTGTATTCAAATTAGAGGTTTGACCTTAATATAGCAATAATGCTCTCCTGATTTTTCAGTGGCTGACACTCTGTAACTTCATTGCTTATTTAATATTCCCCCATTCAATAAAATCCTCAAACCAACTAGGGTAGGTTCCATTTAACTAACCAAGAAAAGCACTATGAAGTTTAATATAACTGAATAAATATTGCTTTGGTTTTGTTACAGAAACACACTGGAGAGTGGGGCAAGACCGTCTTTGAGTACAAGACACGGAAGACAATTCGTTTGCCTATTGTGGATATTGCTCCCATGGATATTGGCGCTGAAGATCAGGAATTTGGAATTGACATTGGTCCTGTCTGCTTCTCATAACATCAAACCATTGTGCATCAATAAAGGAAATTATGACATCCAAGTCCGTTAAAGGGAAAAATGACCTCATCAACCTTCACAATGCACTTATCCACATGCTTTTATTTTGACTTTATCTCTAGGTTGTGACAACTTATTATTAAATCTGCATAAATTGGTGGAAAATTTGGAATGTTGACACATAATCTATCTATCTATCTATCTATCTATCTATCTATCTATTGTTTACTTTTTTTTTAAAAATCACTTTTAGAAAAAATCATGAATGACCCACTGAAACCTTCAATATAAAGTTTTATCCATCTTTTTAAAATTAAAGTGGAGGTGAGAAAGAGTAGACCCAGTTTCATTATGAACAGATACTGAGAGATAAGATTGATGCTTGGAAGGAGCAACAGTACTGGTGATTTAGAAAAAATCAAGGTAGAATGGGTACATTGTTATGTCTAATTAGGAAGAATGTGATAACCCTCCCTCCAGATCACTAGTTATTTACTTGGTACCTCATCGTTCCTTTTCCATTTTGTTTGGTGCTATATTCACAATTGGCAGGTTAACAAGTCTTGAAGATCTTCTAGTACTAATACATCAACTGCTGTATGGAGATTCTATCATTGATCTCTTCAAACACCATGTTTAGTCAGTTTATTGTTTTAAACTTATGAGCCGTTCCTAACAATTTTCAAAATTAGTAATGTCTTTTGTTTCAATTAACAAACCCTAATTTTGCAGTGTGAAACATCAAATCTCTCATACATTGTTATTTCTATGTTTACCTGTCCTAATTCAAATAAATAAAAAAATGCAAAGTGCATTGATTTCTCTTCTCATTGATTTTCTGTTTAGTGATTTTAGCATCTTACATTCAGCACCATTAAGTTCAATTGTAATTACATTCCATTTGCTTCAGAAACCAAAAATAAATGTATAATAAACAAATTTGTGTTTATTAGGTCAAACCATATAATAAATACACTGACTGACAGAGAAGACTCATTCATCCATTGGACTATGTCTGGTTTTAGTCTAGGGATACCTACATAACTGCTCATCCCAAACCTCTCGGAGGATATATTTTAGATGTGCTCTCATTTTAGTAACCTTTTAAATGATATAAACCCAGGACTATCTGGTTTGGTCCCACAGAGCTACCTGGGATATTAGGTCAAGCATGTTGCCATCAGCGGTAAAATAAACATTCCTCTTTGTGAATCTGCCATGACTCAAAGATCAGAAAAACACTAACAAAGCAATCTTTTAATTTGATACAGCACCTGTCCTGAAGTTGTACTTTTACTTGGCTTTAACTTTATTGAATGTCCTCTGTCTTCCACTTTCTTCCCAAGTAGCTACAAATCTTAGCTGCATTTAGTGTCACGTCTCTGGAGCCTCTTGTGGCATACATTGCTTTCTCACCGTGAGGATAAGGGCTAGCAGACCTTTGAAAGAACATTTTTTCACTAGCTCCATGAAGTTCCATTCACACCAAAGAATAATAATAATAATAATAATAATCCTTGCATTTGATACAGTGCCTTATCACGTCTTTGAGACGTCTCAAAGCACTTCACAAAATATATTGTTAAGTGAAATGACTGTATATTTTTGGGGCGAAATGTGGCAGCCAATTGAGTACAGCAGTGTTCTCATTTTTTGAGGATGGGGGTGGTGATGGCTGTTTTTAAGGGGGTGGGAACGGTGCCAGTGGACAAGGGGAAAATCAGTTTAGCTACAAATGATTTATGGTTCAAAGAACTAAGTGTTGGTTATAAGCCAAATGAATAAGTAAATGTTTCCCACTGATCCAAGCAGATTATATTAGATCCAACAGAATATGGCACTTAAAAATGGAAGGGATATGATTACAGTTCAATGTTATTCAAACATAAACAATACACAATACATAGAGATCATGAATCGGATCCAAGGAAGGGGATGGTGTCTGATGTATTATAAAGCTGTGAGACAATATAGCTGTGTAGTTCATAATAATATAATAATAACACCATTAATAATTTTTGTTCTACAAGACTCGTGTTTCAAAGCTTTGTCCTGAAAAAGATGTAGATTGTTCCAAATTTAAAAATTCAATAGCACAAACAAATGCAACAAGAAAAGGCTGTTTACTCAAGCTTACGTCTTTCATTACGGAGAGGCTTCCTTCGAACCATCTGCAGAGTCTAGGATCAAGCAGTGAGGTAGATTTGTGGCAATCACGGGAAACGGCTACAGGGAGAGAGGGATCTAGCCTACACTGACCTGTCATTAAGCACAGTCATGTCTATTTTCCAAGACTCCTCATGTAAGGACCTGGATTGGCAAGTCAGGCGACTGACTATAAGTAGCCGAATAAGAGAAGTGGAAAGCAGTCCGGAATGGCGCCAACAGATGGTGATAGAAGATTGAAAGCCTAAATAACTGAAGCAACTAAGAAAGAACGCTGTTCCGGACTCGCAGCACTCGGTCTAGCGGTGTTGACAGTTGACTGCTGAAATAAGTGCGCTTCAATGGTATTTTTGTTTGAATAAACTTGGCTTAACAGATTTTACCTAAATGGAATGCTGGGTGACCTTTTCGATATCAAACAATGCTGAAGGCAGATGCCCGCCAGATAACTAATGAGGAAACTCTGAAGCTTGGTGCAATAGGTGCTAGAACGTGTTACCTGAAGTTCGAGTATTTGAACATACGTTCATGGGTCCAGTGACTGGAATCCACCTTGATTGGCCTGCAGAGAAGCAAGCAGCTGCTGCTTAAACTGCGCAACTCCAATTGGTGAAACCATCGCTCAATTGGAAGGGATATGTGCCCAAGCTGCGGACAGGAAGACGGTGGCAATTTGCAGAGAGGTAAGCATATCCCTTCCCATCATTCAATGGGAAGGGATATGTGTCCGAGTTGTGGGCAGCAGATCGTGCAATGCTCTCACACATTTCATGCTGAGCTGTTTTGCCCACCTGGAAGCTCACAGAGAGTTCATGGTACCTGCCATCTACCTAGTGAGGTTTCAAGCCCATGTTTATCTGATGTCAAGTGCCAATCATCTTTGGAGGTAGGTAAGTGAGGTCATTGGAATGTCACAATTGGTCCATCTCTGTAGTGGTCTTGATAGTCCAGAACCTGAGCCTGGCTCAACAGCAAACGCGAGGGCTGGGACTCTTCCCACCCAAGTCCCATTAACCCTGCAAGCCAAAGCCCTAATAGGTGGAGTGGCAGTTGCTGGATGAGCAGCGGGAAAGCTTTTGCCAGGGAATTCTTTCAATGGTAAGTTATGCAAGTTTATCGGGTTAGACTCAGTAGTATCCCAATGCAAACTCTGGGGTCCCCAAACTTTGGTTCTTGCCACCCCGCGTAATACCTTCCAGAATTAGGTAAGCAGGATGTGCCCCTCAAGGGAGAGAGTGCGCGTTCCAATCCAATAAATATTTCTGGAATTTCTATATATAGGTGGGATGTATGGAATTCTCAGTTTGGTTTGGATACTCGTACGTTTGGTGATGGGTTTCTACATGTGTGAGACACCCAGCTGACCCTCAAAAATTCCATTGTTGAATTTACTGCATGGAATCCTGGTAGGTAGACATGAACTTCAGGTCCATGGAGCATGAAGTGGACATTCCTGGGTCTGTTCAATGCTCCCCATGATGTTTAATCAGACTTGCTAAACTTTATGTACACTGGGACCGATATCTTGCTGTGGCCATTCCACTGAGGTTGTGGTTAAATAGCTTGTTGCACCTACCTACATAGTATGTTTGTGGGGCAAAAGTAAACTAACTGGCTTTTACTCTTGAAACGTACAGCTATATCAGAATTTTGAAATTGTGGGATTTCCTCCATAGATTTATTTATTTAGGAAACATCCAGCTGAAAGCTTTTATTATACAGTATGCATGATTGCACATGTACAAAATCTCATTCCAATGCAAGCTGTGCACAATTATTAACAAAAAAGATTCAACGATTTTGCAGCAATAATGCATCAAGGAAAGTGACAGCAAAACCACTGAAATCTATAACGTGAAGTGAAGCAACTGAGATATTTCAAATAACACATGATATTCAAAACATTAGACAAGGCGAGACATTCTCCCAGAAATGTTTTTCTAACCATGAAAAAAACCTTTAAAAATATGCAGATATAGTTTTGGTGATGGAAACAAGAAGTTTTGAAATGTTGACTTTTAGTTATGATTTTTATCTTGGTTCCCAGAAATTGCAGCTGCTGTTATTCACTAAGATTTATATTAGGGATTTAGAAAGCCATTTAGGTTAATTCCAAATGAGAACCAACAGACGTATCATTTAAAATTTTTTGCAGAATAAATGAATATTATGCTGTCCTTATTCCTTGTGTTGGGTAATGGCAACATGGTTGTGAATATCATTTGTATTGACGTTTTGCACACAAAATACACAGTCAATTCACTTTACAGTATATTATGAAGTGCTTTGAGATGTCTCGAAGACGTGATAAGGCTCTATATCAAATGCAAGGATTATTATTTATTATTACTTTATTTGGAATCATCTCTCACAAATTATTTGGGCGACTTTTTTTATTGCAACACATTTAACCCTCTAGAAGAGTTTCCGAGGGATGACTTTACGGATAATTTTAAGTCTACATGGAGAGGTTATCCATGTTTTTGGTGGGAGGGATTGGAGTGTCAGGTTAGACCAAATGAGTTCCATGTCCCGATGTGGGGCTTGAGCCAACAACGTCTGACTCAAAGGCAAGAGCACTACCAACTGAGCCAGGCTGACAAAGCGCAGTGACTGCTTATTTTGCGGGTGAGCACATGCCCATTGAATGAAGAGAGGGCAGAACTTAGCTGTGATGCCCAATGGTTAAATAGCCTGCTGGGAAACACTGACTCAGGTTGATGCATAGGGAATCATTACTTGGTCAAGGTGTAGAACTGGAATGCCAGTGGCTTAGTCTGTGTCACCACCTCCAGGAGAGAAATGGGAGAATTTATTTTGGAGAACAGCAGTCTCACTTGCCAAAAACGGATAGATCACATCTGGATAAATGAGCTGATTAACATATAATTTTGACTTGCAATTTACTGGATTTGTTTACTTCAGCTGCTGAATCACATTTTCGGTAAAAGTTATCCAACCATTTAGCTGTTGTTGATACATTTGGCATTTTTTATGGCTTTTCTCTGTTCCATTAATTTAACAAGCTAACAGCAAGATGTTAATATTCCTGAGTTTTCACAGATGTGGAAAGATAAATGATGAAGTGATGGATTTCAGAGAGGTGTTTGGCTTATGACTCGATGAGTAATCCGTGTGATATGTAGAGAACATTTTGAATTGAGAAGGAGATTTCGCAGCAGGAGAATGAAAGTTGCCAACTGTACTTCTATTTAAAGCTATTTCACAAGACAAGATATTTGCAGTATAAACTGGGCTTGGTGCTGAAAGGAGAACGAACACATTTTCACTTGATGTTAGCCAATTAAGAATCACTCACCCTTTGATTTGCACAGAGAGTCTTGTGTCTAATATCAGACATGGAGAGCTTTGTGCACACAGGGACTTTCCTCCTACTTGTAATAGCACAAGTGCCATTAACAGGGGCACAAGGTAAGTGTCATTCTGGATTATTTTTCTAATGTAATTCGAATCTAGAATACAAACCAGCCTTACTCTTAAAAAAAATCCCTGATATTCAACTGCATTATATATATAATCTTTCTAGTAATTTTACTGTTTTAATTAATAGTCCAGTATACTCCTATTAGTGAAACGCCATGAAGTAATTTGAAATGCTGCTCTTGAGTTTCCAGGATTTCTATATCCCACTGAAACCCTTTGTAAAACCATTTCAAACAAAACATGACGTTTTCAATAGTCACTTAACGTTAAAGTCATAGATCGATCGATAGAATCGTAAATTGATTCTAATTATTTTGCATTACTTTCTTTACCATTACTGTGGTGTGATGCAGTCATGTATTAACTAGACCTGGCTTTGGTCATTCGTGCAACTCTTTTGCTTGAATAATACTTAACTGAATAAGAGTCAAACAAAAGTTGAATAAAAGAGGCATGGATTGCACTTTGCAACTATCATTTTCAAATATGTTCACTGCCTGTACACAAGTATTTTTGGAACAAAAAGGTATTTCTCCCATCCCAGCCCGTTGGGACGTCCTCCCGACGAGAAAGGCGCTATACAAATGTAATCTTGTTATTGTTGTGCTAAAGAAATGCTTAAAAAACTACTTGCCTCATTTAAAACACAACAGCTTGATGCTATGATAGAAAGAGACTAGCATGGGTATTTCAGAAGAATCCCTGTCCGGTTCTCCTGCAAATAAAAAGTTGCTACGCTTTACAGTAAATTCTGTGAAGCGCCACAGACAACTTGGTGACGCAATAAGGCACTATATCAAATGCAAGGAATATAACTGAAGGGCTTTTTTTCATCCAAACCATTATTGTGAGCAGGCCAATTGAAAGATGGATTAGAATTTCAATCAAATACCAACCAATGTTTATACCGAATACATTAATTTAAAATTTTATAGTTTAATTTTGAGTATTAGAGATAAGTAAAATTAAATCTAACCCTAATCTAATAAAATTAATTTTCTTTTCAATCAATATAAAAATAGCTCCAAGCACACATTATATGGCATGCTGCACCCTGTCATAAGCAGGCTATGAATTAATAATAATAATAATAATCCTTGCATTTGATATAGCGCTTTTCATGTCAGGAGGACATCCCAAAGCGCTTCACAGAACACACTGTAAAGTGAATTGACTGTATATTTGTGGGCGAACGCGGCAACCAATTGCGCACAGCAATGTCCCACAAACAGTCGTAGATTGAAAATGACCAATTTATTATTGTTTTTGGTTTTGGAGGGATTATCATTAGGCGTGAGGAGTAAGGAAACTTTCCCAAGGTTTCGCCCTCCGCCTGGAATTCAACTCAGGTCTCTCACTTGCAAAGCGAGTGCTCTAACCACTGAGCTACAGGACTCCACAATTCATGGGATACCTCATATACACTGAGTGTTTGCCACACAACACAAACTATTCTTTTGTATACTCACGTGTAATGTCATCCAGTTACAGTCTCAAGTGGATGTATTCGTTAACTATGAGGCAATTGAATTTGCTTGCAAGTAAGTCATATAATTATATAAATATAAAATATATTACATGTCTCGGGCACATACAGTCAAATATATCCATGTATGCAATTTTGTTCTGTAAATTATGTCGTGATGCAAACTTTAATAACATATATTTTTCAGTTCAATCCTGCACACAGAATGGAGTGACCCATAATGATAAAGATGTTTGGAAATCGGACTCCTGCGTCCTCTGTGTTTGTGACAACGGACTTGTCGTGTGTGATGAGATAATCTGCCGGACAGTACACTGCTTCAATGCTGAGATCCCACTTGGAGAATGCTGTCCTATATGTCCAGATAGTTTGCCACCATCACAGTTCCCTGTAGGAATTTTCTCATTACTATATTTCTCACTGCTTATTGCGAACGTTTAATGACCAAGTGATTCCTTCGCTGAGTATAAAATGGGGATTGAATTTTCTATATTTTGACCACATCGGAGAAAGGAATTCATATTGACACTTACAGGGCATTATACTGATGACTGTGACTTAAGTCAGATATTTCATGAGTCTGAAAGACCCAAAGATGACAAACGTCATAGGCATGAAGATCACATGATAAATTTTTATAAGTAAAATAATGTTTTGAAACCAATGAATTTTTTCAGGCATTCCAAGCAGAGTCAGATAATGAAAGTTATCAAGTGATAGTTCACTGTAGTAAGAACATTTTAAGTTTATTGCATTTATTTCTTGAGTTACACATATATCACTAGCTTAGTAATTCCCTACTTTAGCAGGGTTGTTCATCAAAATGTCTGTACTTTTAATTAAATATTAATAAGGAATAGCAATCGCCTGCCTACATGAGGAAGAATGGAATAGAGAAATATTGGAGAGGAGATAAGGAGGGTTAAAGGTCATAGGCGATCAGAAATGAGGACATCCTGACAAGCAGCCCACTGGACCAGAAGTGGTCAGGCACTGTCAACGAGTTGGGAGAAGGGCAAGAGGGTACTGCGACTTATTTTATTAGTTAGGGTGAGTTAGGGCAAGAGGGAACTCCGAATGGCCTGTTTCCGTGCTGTATAGTCTATGCAATTCTATATAGCCTTAGTTTTAGGTACAGGAAGTGAACACATCCAGGCTAGAAACAGTCAAGCAAAGATTTTTTTCCGGCTTCCAACATGGCCAAACTGCTGAACAAATGCATAGAAGCATCCATCCAAATGTGAACCCAAAAGGCCAGGTTTGGATTGTTAGTATTTTCCTGAAAGGCGAGAATCTGTCTTTATTTCTGTTTAATGATATGATCATACACATGAAAAATATGCTCATTATTCATCAAAAGTCATGTATTAAGTCCTTGGCGTGATGGTGCATATTAATGCTAATAATGGGACTAATATATTAATGTGAGAAAAATTAATCGAATCATTCAGTTCAGTTCATGTGGTTCATTTGTAAAAATGATTTATGTACAAACGGTGAATAACATTTCTTAACGAGAACAATAAATCATATAGTAGGATATAACAAACATATTATGTACCAAGGAATGGATGATGAATTGGCATATTACAGCAGTTAAAAAGCAACATAGAGCATTGCTTTAAGTAAACAAAAAGGATCCATTGGCAACAGCCAACATTTCATTAAAGACTGACTTGGCCTTATTTCTAATATGTAGTAAAGATAGCAGTTCCCTTGAATTAACTGAATTATATCTCTATGTAAAGATATCTAGGAAGGAGAGAAGCTCACCTATTTGACATCTTTCTACACTTTGAAATTATTAAGAGATATGAGAAGTGCTGAAACATTGGCAGAAACCAAATTACCCATCAGGAATGATGGAGATATTGAGTCCTAATATGGAGTTATTTCAAATGATTGAATATGTCTTCATTATATTTAAATCAGGATTACCATGGATGTTACAAGTTTCACTTATATGGAAAACCCATTTGTTCACTAAGTTCCCCCTTAAATGAGAGTAACTCTTCAGTGTCAATGTTGTTAAAATGTGTTTTGTTTTATCATGAAATAGCTTTGGTTTAAATATAAAGTTATCCAGCATTTGTTATGAATAGCTGATAGCAGGAAGTGGGTAGTCATAAGTGAAAATGTATTCATATTTTCAAAGTCAAATTTAATCTCAAGATCAGGCTGAATTGGTCAACTTGTTCAACATCGCTCTCAGTTTGTTGTGTTATCAGGTTCTCCTCTACTATGACTTCTAAGCCCTGTAACTGACTCCCTGCTTTCAATTATGCTACATAAAGTTACATGCATTTACAATACATGAGTTTCTGTTCAAATGTCTATTTATTTCATTACAGAACAGTAATGTAGTACAAGCACCTAAGGGAGATCCAGTAAGTGTGACATTTCTTGAAGTAAAATTTAAAGTGTAAATGGGAATAACATTAATTTATTCTCTCTCTGACAACGTGCAGCTGAGCCAATCAAGAATCAGGAACATATTATGTATTAATTATAATGGAAATTATAAAGAAGTAATGAATTGTGGGGGTGAAATTCCACATGGGTCTAGATTTACTCTCTTAACATAGCATTGAGCATCCAGAATTTGGCAAATCATTGAATTCAATTGTATGTGTACAGTCAAAGATGGAAAATGAGATTTGGTTTGGATATTCTTAAGCATGATGATGACTTTCCAGCTGACCAAAAAAAGAGAAGAATTTGTCTTGAAATATTGTTGCTGACCACTAACTCAGGTGTTAATTGCTAACAAATTATCAATATTTATTGAATGTTATCTTTCAGGGTGACATTGGTCCTCCAGGATCTGATGGTCTTCCTGGTCTCCCAGGTCCACCGGGGCCCCCTGGTCTGGTAAGTTACAATTGTATCAATGTAGCCACACTCCCAATTGTTTTATAGACTGATAACTAACATGAGTGAGTTATTTTCTCTGAACATATAGAAATGGTATGAAGATGATCAAGTACCACTCTGTTTTCACGCTATCTAAGTATCAGTGCATCGATTCATTAAACTCCCTCCACTTATTTTTCTTCGTAGAAATATCATTTTCAGCAGTCTGGTGGTTACGATAGTAGAACAGGATGGGATTTCAAAAACCCCGATTATACATCTTATAATACTCATTCCCCTTTACCTGGGCCACCTGGAGCACAAGTAAGAGCAACACACATTTTAATGTGTATAATCAATTTTGAAACTTGAGAAATAAATTTGGATCCTTTCATTTCCAAAAAAATTCTCCTTTTTTATCTTTCCACTCAGGGTCCTCCAGGATTTAGAGGTCTCCGCGGGCCATATGGATCAAGAGGAGAAATGGTGAGTACCTCTCTGTATTTACTGGAATCAAATTGATCACTCATTTCATGGCTGTTTGTGGGACATTGATGTGCACATATTGGCTATCACGTTTGCCTACAAATATGCAGTCAAATTCTGTGAAGCACTTTGAGACATCTCAACGGCTATACCAAATGCAAGGATTATTATTGTTATTGTTGTTTCTTTTTAGTATAACTTTTCAAAGAGCTAAACACTGATATTCAAATAGCGGCTTAATTTTCGATTTGCAAAGGCATGCTACTGTGTCAGGTCCCAGCATACACAGAACCGTAGAAATTTAGCGTGCAGAAGGAAACCATTCAGCCTATTGAGTCTGCATCGGAACAGGATGGGACGAAACAAAACTTGAAGAAAACCAATCCAGGCGAAGCTGTAGCAGGCCAATGTAAATTTTGGAAGAAATTTATCCTAGTAACAGAAAACTTTACCAATTATTGTAGCCTTTACAAGGAAGTGAAAACCACAAACTACACAGGCATGCAAAACAACAACAGTTTGGGTTTATATAGTAGCCTCACACAAGTAGCATCTCAAGCCGTTCAATGGCAGTGTGATTTGACACCAAGCTGGAAATACGGGGACATGGCGAAGACTCAGTCAAGGAGGAAAGATAAAATAGAGCAGAATTAAATGTTAAAGCAATACTTCATACCTACTCCAGCAGCTCTGGATCCCAAGAACATAGAAACAGGAGCGGGCTATTCAGCCTCTCAAGCCTGTTCTGCCATTCTATAAGATCATGGCTGATCTGTACCTCAAGCCCAATTACCCACTTTTGCCCCAAATGCCTTAATACCCTCACCTAACAAATATCTATCCACCTCAGTCTTGAAAATATGAATGGATCCAGGATCCACAGCCTTTTGGGGGAATCAATGTCTGGATACTGTTCTCTTCCAATCTGAACACTTGAAATGCTACTGAACTTCCTGAATGTTTCTGTTCCAAATTGAAATTGGCATACCCCAAACTACAAATTGTGTAAATCCATACTTATTCAGTAGAATTATCAAATTTTTATTGTCTTGTAAAACTGACTTATCTTTTTATTAAATCCAGGGTCCTACTGGCCTACAGGGTTCATCTGGTCCATCTGGGGAATCTGGCCCCAGAGTAAGTATCTTAACTAAAAAAGATCATTAATTCTGTAAGAATTACATGTGTTTGTGAACTTGCATTGTACATTTGAATTTACAGCAACTTCACAGAAATGACATAGCACACTGTGCTTGATGATATCTTTCATATTTGGATTTTCCACTAAAAATTGTGATTAAAGTGTTTTTAAACCTGTTCCATTGCTTTGTACTTTGCTTAATGGAACTGATCAGCTTGTAATACTATAAAGCACAATTCAGAGATTTAACTAATGATTTTTCTTGCAGAACATTAGTTCAGCAAAATGACTAATGTTACGTTATTTTGCTCAGGGGTCAAACAGGAAGGTTGATAAATAATTGTGTTGGTGTTTGCAGTGATGAGGATCAGAATTATCTGCTTTCTGTGCACAACAATCAAACGTAATGGTGCATTAATGCAGCAAACCTGCCGGAAACAAGAAACATATTTTTTTTAATTGTTACAGGGTCTACAAGGCCCTCCTGGTCCCATGGGTTTACGTGGTAAAAATGTAAGTATTTACCCATTCTTATTTTGTAAGTGCACCGTTCACTCTCCTAATTTCTAAAGAGATTATATGCTCTTATCAAAGGTTTTATGATACAACAATGAATCGACAATTCTCTGCACCTTTTCATCTTTCTCATTTCAAATGAACCACTTAATAAATGGACAATTGCATTGTTCACTCATTTTCTTTTAGAAAAATCTATGCCTGACACCTTTCTAGGAACCTAGAAGTGGTTGGTTTGAAAATTATAAAATACTGTTTGGAAATATTTCCATTACTTGACTAATATCATCTAGAATATTCAGGTATGAACCATTACTGAACTGATTTGCCAGATTTGCCAATTAAAATAGTGTAGCACATATTATCTTAGAATTCCTCCGTAAAGTGTAGGAAAAGTTTCCAATGTGCTCGTTAAAATTTACCATCTTTGCATTGTTTCAATTTAGGGTGCAGCTGGCAAAACAGGAATAGCTGGACCGATTGGAATACAAGGCCCTCGGGTAAAGTGAAGATAAAATGGTGAAATACATTGTGATATTGTTGGCTATTGTTCCATTCTTAAATAAATAGAGTGCAGAGCAGGAAACTGAGTGAAACATTGAGGCAAATCAGCATTGTACTGGTGAAGAAGAAGGTTATGTGGATAAATAGGGATGGATGTTCTACCTAACTCTATTTATAAATACTCGTATAATATCAGATCAATGCAGTCAGTCAGCAAAAAACCACAGGGGTTGCAGTGATAGATCCATAATGAAAAAATTAATTCAGTGAAGAATATGTTCAGGCAATTGCTTACAAGTGTACAATATTATTATCTGTTTTTTTGAAGGGTGTGAAAGGACCAACCTCTACTCCTGGTATACCTGGAATAAAAGGTCACAGAGTAAGTGTCTTCACCTTTCGCTATTTGCAATATTATGGGCAGGAAAACCTGTTAATAATGGTTGGCGATACAAATAACCTTTTATTTGATTCAACATTGATTTTTTTTGGAAAGAGGAAAGCCCCATTCATTACTCTGTGCCAATGTTAACTATGTTACTAGAGGAATCTAATTATTGTGCCTCTGACAGGGCTTTGATGGACACAATGGAGCTCAAGGTGATGCTGGTACTTCTGGAGAAAAGGTGATTCTTGTTTGTTATTAAATAGATGTAAAGGTTATCAATGTTCCATTATACGTTACACTTATTTTCTGATCATGTATTGTAGTACAATACAATACAATAAAAAATTACATTTGTATAGCGCCTTTCATGTCAGGAGGACCTCCCAAGGCAATGACGACGTGGGATCTAAATACTCCAACCCAGTGAGCTACATTGTCGGAAGTGCTGTCTTTAGGATAAGCCATGAAAGCGAGGTCCCTTCTGCCTGATCAGGTGGATGTTAAAGATCCTGTGGCTCTATTCAAAAAGAGGAGGGAGTTACTACCGGTGTGCTGGCCAACAATCCTCCAGATAAAAATTGATCATTAACTTCTTGTCTGTTTGTGGGCTATTACTGTGAGCAAATTGACTGTCAGGTTCGCTTAAGAATAAACAGTCGCTTAACAATAATTGCTGTGAAGCGATTTGAGATGTCTCGAAGACATGATAAGGCACTGTATCAAATGCAAGTATTATTTATTACGTTATGGTTTGCCAGAAACCTGATTGTGCCTGTGGCATTCTAATATATTTTCTATTGAACTTAATCCAGGGGGACCCTGGTATTCCTGGAGATAATGGTATACCTGGCCAAAGGGTAAATATTTTACTTCTTTTTTCTTGTCAATGTTCTGAATCGGTAACTGACTGATATGAGGGTTCTTTCCCAAATTGAATATGATGGTCAGATCCTTTTCTCAAGGAAATACTCCATCTGTGTGAAATGGCAACTCAGCTAAAAAAAATGGCAGATCCATCAGACTTGTAATTGGTGGTTTTGTGCGATGGGATGTGCTGAGATTTGAACCCTGATCTTCTGGTTGCACTGCTTGGCAACAAGGCCGTTTAATACACATTTCATAAATGATGAGAAAGATACAGAACTGATGCTGCTGGAAGGAGAAATCATAGAGATTGGTACATATCGACCCCATGAAATGATCCTAGTTAAATCTTCAAAGATTGATTTTACAAAGCAAATATTTTAATATGTGTATATTTACTCTGAAATAATTTAATTAGACAAAATGAAGATTTCCTGATGCTTTGATCATGTCTTTCATTTTCATCATCAGGATTTCTTCAGTTATTGAAAAGATCTAAGATAATGTAACGATTTCTCACAGTCTATCTGAATGGGAAACAAAACTTTTGATATTTCCTTTAGGGTTATCCTGGTTCATTTGGTGAGAGAGGAGATTCTGGACATCGTGGTGTACCTGTAAGTACTTCATTAAGTAGACCTTGTTATTGTTACTTGGGAACACATCACACAGAATAGATACATACGGAAAGTAGGTGCTAAAACACGTCTGAGCAATGTTAGCCTCTCGTCAAGTACATTTAAATAAACACTAGTATTTTGTAACATATGCTGTACTAGACTGTGTGGCAGATTAAGGTGAGTGGCAAAATAGTGACAACAATGTCCAACACAGCAATTAATATTAATGAAAGCAGCATTGGGCTGTTTCCATAATAACTGATCTTTGCAATACAGCGAGAAAAATCTGAATCAAGAACGCCCTCTAGTGTACAGTCTCTCTTTAGATTTGCCAAAATGAGTATTATGATAGGGACGGCAGATGGTGGGAGGTCATTGCTCTTCACTACATTCTCATATCATGATCATCACATCATACACTACACAACATATCATATACTGTTCCCCCCCATTAATACCTGATGGATACCTGGTACTTATTGAGAGTGATTTAAGGTTATTTATTATCTGGGCCAATAGAAAAGTAAAGAAATGTAGGGTGGCAGTAAAATTTACCTTTCAATTACACCAATCATCTCTGCAATTTTCAGCAAAAGTTGTCAAATTTCCCCACAGTTTTTGGCAAATATTTCCGCAATTTTCTATTGGTTTTTGGTTATTATCTACTCACATTTCGAGCAGCAATATGGTACATTTTGTGATACTAACTTGAATTAAGTTTCCTCGATGGTTATATTCTTTTGTTGCATTTATGTGCATTTGATTTAAAATCTTTGTGGCTTGAAATGAACTGCTGTTATTTTGTTTGCAGGGTTCCCGTGGTAAAAATGGTCGACCTGGCAAAGATGGGAATCTTGTAAGTGCTGATCTGGTGTTTTCTGTACATTTGATTCTTCTTCAGTTGCAGACCCAGTTCTTATTTTAATTTGTTCTAACTTTCCTACAGGGTTACCCTGGTAGATCTGGTTCTCATGGATTTCCAGGTTTTCCAGGTGCAAAGGTATGTTCACATAAAGAAGTCCTGCTTGTTACTTGCATATTCGTTTTGTAATATGTAGTACAAGCCATTGCAAGTACGTTACACTGTAGAGTTATTCAGACACAATTATGTGATCACACATTTAAGAACATAACATTAAGAAATGCTAGACAAAAAAAGGCCAAGCTCCATCTCGTTTGCCTTCCACCTTCCTGGCAATTGCATGCACATACATCCCAAACTACCTATGTACTATATCCCATAAAAAACACAAAAAGTTATTCTTTTCAGCCTGCCATTTGTAACTCTAAATCAGTCCAAGGAGATAAATCCATTACTGGTGTTATCAAGCCCAACAAAACTGCTTTTCTGAGTAAGATTTTGCTCTAACTGGAATGTTTCTGCGCACATCTCATTCATACATCATGTCTAGATTTTATAATTAAAATCCAAGCTTTTTATTGGCTTCCACAATGGTTGTTGATGGAACTGTATCAGACGGTTTCGGAGGAGAAAATCATTAAAATTCCTCATCAGCTCTCCTTTGACAATATCCCTTCCAGGGTGAACCCGGTCCAGGGGGCAGTGATGGTTTTAATGGTTTCAAAGGGGCAATGGGTGATGCAGGACTTGTGGGATCCTCTGGAGCTTCAGGAATACCTGTAAGTAATAAATAAGTAACTAAATCCTTATATTGCTCATTTTAGTGACTAGTTTATGTCCAACTGCACATATAAAAAATGGCTAATCTTCAATATTGTGAATTTCTTTTCTAGGGCACTAGTGGAAAAGACGGGTCAACTGGTTCCACAGGTTTCATGGTTAGTTTGTACAAAATAAGATGCATTTGTTCTTCGGTTAACTAAATTGTAGAGACATTGCTTCAGATGTATTAGATAACATTTTAAAGTTTTAAATAAAAACAAGGTTAAAGTGAAATGTTGGTATCCTCGGAGAAGGGGAGGAATCTATATCCTTAGCATTATCTGAAAACTACGTAAGTTTGTAAATATACCCATTCATATTAGACTGGCACAAACTTTGTGGTGAAGGAAGTACCAAACTCTACCTAACATTAAACATTAGCTGGGATCTGGAAACCTGGATAATAGAAAAATAGATCTGGATAATAGAAAATTGTGGGCTGAAACAAAAGAGTGAAGTAATCAGAGTCACCAGTGATAGCAATCACATCAATAGACCACATTTTTTAACCCGTACGATGCTTGAATACTGAAGTAATCATTTCTGTACTAATTGTTTGATTCTGCAGGGATTTCCTGGTGGATCCGGTATGCATGGAAGTCTAGGACTTATGGGTCCTTCAGGTGAACCAGCCACTGATGGCATTCCAGGCTCCAATGGTGAAGAGGTAAGACTATAAACAGCATTGTTACTTTACTGTATGAGTGACTATCTATAGGTTAGATGAATGTATAATGAGTTCCAATATTGCTAAACAAAATTGGAAGCACTATTGTTCTGTTTGTGTCAAAAATTATAGAAATTGGCCATATATTTGTTGTTGCCTATTAACATTTGCTATTCAGAAAACTCATAATAATTCTACTTTTTCTGACTCTTTCTTAGGGGGCACCAGGTGAAAAAGGACCAAGTGGTGATGTTGGCCCTTTGGGTGATAGTGTAAGTCTTTATTCATTGATTTATAAATTTTGCTTAAAACCAAGAATTTAGTTTTATTATTGAGAAACTCATCGGTTAACAGATTTTAAAAAAATAGCCCTTCCAAAGTAAGTTTTTCTGCTTCCTAGGGTAAACCTGGTGTTGTGGGTAATCCCGGGAATTCTGGATCTGAAGGCAAAAGAGGACCAACTGGTAACATGGGGGTTCCTGGCAATCGTGGTCTGCCTGGGCAAAGGGTAAGAGTTCTCTATTGGAAGAAAAACAGTTACTCATTGAGAATATGCTACCATGCAACATGAATAACTTTAGAGAGCAATATAGTCCAATTTGTGATGTTACCAAACAGGTTCTTTGCTAAAGTTCACTTTGTGACAAGTGTAGCAATTTCAGTTTGTGAATAGACACCCCTCGGTGTCAAAGTTAATATGGATAACATTGCAAAGGGTATTTCGACCATAGAGTTACTCTCAAGGTATAAGATTACAGAACAGCTAGTCCTGTGGGATGTTAAAGCAATATTGCTCCAATAGTTCTCATCTCTTGTAGGAAAAGTACATTTAATAAAGCATACTTTGGAAAAGAACTCTGGGGAATGATTTAATTCTTTCTATATTGTAAACCCTAATGCTGATTTGAATAAAAGGTCCCCAGGAAGGGCAGAGTACTGGTGAAAAAGAGGTTTCAAAATTCTATTCAAAAACACAATACATTTAGTCGTTTCAGTTTGCTGTTTCACTTCATAATGTTTCATTGCTAGTCACCACCGGTTTGATGTTTGCGGAACAGATGTAAAATGGCATCAAATGTCCCATTTTTATACAATGATATCATTGTAATGGTCTGATATTCCCTTCCTGTTCTTAGGGACAGCCTGGTTTCCAGGGAGCACGAGGTCATTGGAGCCCTGCTGGTGAAAAGGTTGGATATCTGTTTGAATCCTTAGTACATTTAGCTTAATCAAATATTATTTATCATCTTTTGTTAAACTAGGTGAATTCCAAATAATCAACTTCATATCATTTCCTTTCCAATAGGGTCCTAAAGGAGAAGCTGGTCCAGTTGGTCTTCAAGGTCCTAAAGGTTTTAATGGCAATTTGGGTCGGCCTGGCAACCCTGGACCATCAGGTCAAAGAGTAGGAAATACATTCTTGACTACCTCAAAGCTTCGGCGTGCTTGATTTTTTGTTACAATGGCTCTATTTTTCTTGTTAATTCTCAAATACATTTATTTTGTGCTAGGGAAGCAGGGGAAGTCAAGGAAGCCCAGGCAGAGATGGTAAACCTGGACGTGAGGTAATGTTCCAACAGAACATTTGTTAAACAAGTGAAGCACTTTAGTATAGATGGGTCATTTGCTTATTCCAAATACACCACCAAATACACTCAAGTGTAAATCCTGCAAAGCACCTTGAGACATTTTGACAACTGTTAAGGCATTTTATTGAATGCAAAGAACATTATTATTTAATGAAACGATTAATCTAGTTCACTTTACTCTTTAGTCCATATGCCTATTAATTCATATTGACATGGGCTGCTTGTTGGGGCAACACATCATTTCATTATACACCTCCTCCACAAAGTTAAGTTGCTTTTTATGCTTTTTATAAATTGTTGGATAGTAGTAAAGATTCCTTATTTTGTGTCTTCACTTGTATCATCAGGGACGTGGTGGACCGGAGGGTCCTGGGGGGGAACCTGGTCAATTTGGTCAAAGAGGCTCACCAGGTTTTATGGGTTTCTATGGTGAAAGCGGCAATGGCGTAAGTATACCCTGCTTACTCAATGATATGAAGATTATTATATTTAGGAGAGTTTATACAGAATATTATGCGTAATTTTCCAACTCAAATTGTAGGTGTCCGCCTAGCTGTAAATTTCTATGGTTGGTTCTAAGATTTTTTTTTCTACCAGGGTCGATCCGGTAAGCCTGGTAACCAAGGTGATCAAGGTGTTACTGGTGATATTGTAAGTATATCGTCTTTTATTAATACTGTAAAAATACATGTAGAGCGCCGGTGAATATGAAAAGAATTTTGAATAGTCCATGATTGTATATTGATACTTCTATGTGAATAATATTGGCAGGGTAGTCCTGGAAAGGGTGGTGAGAAGGGTCTCCCAGGTCCAGACGGTGATCCTGTAAGTACGAGATTTAGCTGAAACGGCAGCAATAATCCGCATTCAAAACATAGTACACCACTCCCGACAATCCAGATTGTAAAGCATTTTATTTTCTAAAGATTATCAGGATTCGTAGTGTGAATCTATTTAAATTACTCCTTATATATAACATCTGCTTGCAAGATACAGTTCTTGGATACTAATTATGAACAAGACTATAATATGGAGTCAGTACATTTTCCCTTTATAAGGAGTCACTACAGTTAATTATAGCACCTGACCCACTGAAATTAGTTAATGTAACATAAACCAGGGGTTGAAGCTTGAAGCTCTCTCACCAGCATGCCTCAGTACCACACCACGTGTATCCACTGAACCACCTGGGATCTCTTCAAAACTCTTTTACTTGTTAATATCGGTAATTATATGCTTTTTGACACAATAATATTATTTCTTTGGTCCTCTTCTCTCAAACCTCAGGCATAACTCCTGATTTTATTTCCTAGGGTCCAACTGGTGAAAGAGGACAAAGCGGGATTCCAGGAAATACTGGTCCCCAGGTATTACTAATTTTGGTGCATTTACCTTAAAAGTCTTGAATAGTCTGTTCAGTGATATGTTAGGGTGTATTTTAGATATTGTTTTCCATACAGTATTTTGTAAGGGGAGTCAAAACAACAACAACAAAATTACATTTATAGAGCGCCTTTCACGTCGGGAGAATGTCCCAAAGCCCTGGGACCTTTCATAATCTATCATGTTTTTCTTGTTTCAAGCTAAAGCAAACCAACAGGATCCGTTGATGATGACAACACCTTTACGAGTTCTTAAAGTTGCATTAAAAATCATTCCATAAATTCATTTTTTTTTAGAGGTGTTGGAATCATGGTGTATGATCAGGATACATTTTAAAAGATGCTTAAAGCAGCTGTGTGACACAGCAATAACCGGGCCTTGGTAAAGACTTGTTGATATTAGAGATGAAAAGAAGTGTTGAATCCTGAAGATCTGCAATAATATTAGGAAATAATGTAAGTGCAGATATATCAACATTTGAAAGATGTGACCGTTCGTCAGAACATCATGCTCTCTTATTTGGACTTTGCCAGCTTAGTAATCATCATTCACCATTCAGTGAATCTTACAACCTGACATTCACAATTGACACAACAAAACCAGTTTGCACTACATGGATACGACTGTAATTTCGCTTTTTATACCCTAGGGTATACCTGGTCCACCAGGTCTTTCTGGTGAGAATGGAAAACTTGGTGATATGGTAAGGCAACATTCGATATCTGTCAATGGGCACATCATTTCTTTCCTTATATGCCTATAGTTTATAAAGGTTTATAAAATTGCTGTAAACTGTTTTCAAAAAAAGTAAAGTTTACTCGTGATTTAAAAGCAATTCTTCTGTGTATTTACGTTATTATTTATTTTAAAGTGATTACCTGATGTTAAGCCGAATGTACTCTAAATTCAGGATATTTGGTTCGATATTAATAGAAATTAAAATACTGATCGACTGAAATAAAACAGAAGATAACAGAGTTTGAGTAAATTCTGCATGTAACAATAAATGCTATATATTTTATTCCATGTACTGAGATAAGTAAAAACCTGTCTTGCTTATAGTTGTTATTTTACCCCAATAAAAAGGAATAAAAAGTCATTGATATTAATTTAGTTATCTTTTATGGCAGGGTCCCCCTGGTGAAAAAGGTAAACAAGGTACTCCAGGTTCAAAGGTAAGTCTATTAACCTATGAATAAATACAGTCACTATGCTTTGCAGTATATTCTGAGAAGCACTTTGAGACATCTCAAAGACGTGATAAGCAGCTATATCAAATGCAAGTTTTTTTTAATATAACTTTCACCGTTGTATAATTTTCAACATTTCTCTTCACTCAGGGAGATACTGGTAACCAAGGTGAACAGGGACTCCAAGGTCTTCAAGGTGCCATAGGACGACGAGGGCTTGCTGGTAGTGGTGGACGAGATGGAGCCATGGTAGATGTGCAGAAGGGTTTTCTTTATCCAATAAATGGAGTATTAAAAATGGAGGAATGAACTTTTATGATGCAATTCTGTTTTAAATGTAGGGTCCTGCTGGACCTCCAGGTCTTCCAGGTTCAATGGGACATCTAGGCTTACCAGGTATGCCAGGCGGAGTAGGATATCCAGGACAACAGGGTCAAAAAGGCGAACAAGTAAGTGTGCCTTTTATTTTTTAATCTGTCAGGATGTAAATCCTACTTTACATTTGGCATTTTGATGAACTGTTCAATGTACATCTGAGCAACCATGGGCCGAGTGGGTAAAGGCAATGAACGGTGTACACCATGGGCCATACAGATCAGAAAGCTGCAGAGTTCAAGTCTGAGTCTATGCTGAGTTAGCTGACCTCAGATGGAAGGTGTGAACATGTGCGGGTTGGGAAATGACTGACTGGTTTAAATTTTCTTCACTTCTTCACATGGTTGAATAGCCCAACAACACTCCTGGTCAAGGATCAATCTAGAAAAATATCATTTTTCTAAATTTTTAGTCGATTGGCGGATCGCTTTGTCATGGGTAATAATTAATTTTTAAAAAATTGGTCATTCAATCGCCGACTGTTTGTGGGACATTTGACTGTAAATGGCGAGTAACAAATTGTCATCAATTTGTTGACAATTTTGCCCACAAAATATACAATCAATTCACTTTACAGCATACTCTGTGAAAGGCTTTGAGACGTCTTGAAGAGGTGATAAGGTGCTATATCAAATATCAAAGAATTATTATTATTATGATTTTGGTGAGGAACTCGAGGGCACTTGCTATCCATGCAACTGTACACAGTAGAAGGAAAAAGGTAGAGGATGGGGGAAAATTAGAAGAGAAAAATTGCAGGGGAAAGAAACACACCGAATTTACTTTAATTAACAGGGTGATACATCTACAAAAGGTCCCGATGGTGAAGATGGTAAAGATGGTGAGATGGTAAGCCCACAGTATTGTGTCAGAGACTTTTGAAACTGAATATTACAGTTCCAATTTAAAGTTGATGTACTTACTGCTTCTGTTCTCACCCAGGGTCGCACGGGTCCAGCAGGTCTAATAGGTTCACAAGGATCTAGAGGAGAAAGGGTAATTTCCTGCTTTATCTTGTGATAGATTTGTGTTGTATTTGTTTCTCAGTTAACATATCCAGCATGTGTTGTGGAGTAGAACCAATGTAATAATTACACTACATTGGTATTGTATGTTAACCAGAGAACCACCTCACAGCTAATTAAGTATCTGCCAGCACGACATATTGTTTACCTTCACTGGTTACTCCACCGAGATTGTGTGCAATATGCTGTTCTTCAAATCACAACCTTAGTATTGCACAGAACATTATTCATTTATTTTTTTATTAGTTTGATTACAGCAACAAGCATCGTTTGGAAATAGATACTTTACTGCGATGCTGAGATGGTTGATTGCTTTCTCATGCCTTCCAGGGTGAGGTTGGTCCTGATGGGCTTCCTGGGACTCTCGGATATCCTGGAAGCCATGTAAGTAAAGTGTGTTAGCAACACTCAACAGATTCACATTTTATACCACTAGTATTTCTAAAGAAGAACATTTTTTATAAGAAAAAAAGAAAGAGTAAAGTCATTTCAATAATAAAATAAATTGTTTTATTTCAGGGTGAACGGGGTGAAATAGGCGAAATAGGACTGAATGGATTTTCTGGGATTCCTGTAAGTAGATAGTCTCAACTGATCTATATTAGATTTATACATCAACAATGATTTTAGATGTATCTTTCTTTTTATGCACTGCTTTTTCCCTTGACTATCTCATATACATCTGGACCCAACTGAGACAATAGGCTGGAGGCCTGTTCCTAGACCTCAAGCAATAATGTTTTATGGGAAACTTGCTATGCACCAATATCTTCACCTTCCAACTTCTCACAGAAGCGTATTGAAGATCTTAACCCTTATGTAAATCACAAGAGCCATTCTGGATCCTACTATTCCATTAATGAGCTCCAGTACTGTGATGCTCCCAATTATTAGATTCACTTAATACTGTACTGTTTTCCGTCCATCCACACATCACATAACAAGTGGTGAGCAAAGCAGAGTTCCAGGTATCTTCCATGACACTTTGTAACTTGTTGGAAGCACATGAAAATGGAACAGTTTCATGGGTCTTGCACTTCCTTATTTTCTGACACTGGTATTTCACTAGTTTTCTTAGTTGGGTTTCTTTTTCATCAACTGTTGTGCGCAATTGGCTGCTGCGTCTCGCCCACAAAATATAGTCATTTCACTTTACAATTTATTATGTGAAGCGCTTTGAGACGTCTCAGTAACATGATAAAGCACTACATCAAATGCAAGGATTATTATTATTATCCAATATTCAATTAACCCAATTTCACTATATAATATAACACTGGTATGTGAACACAACTGCATAAGGTTGTGCAGCACTTAATTAAGGAGTTCAATCAATTTAACTACAATTAAATATCAATCTCCAAAGTAATTTATAATATTGAGTCATAAAAGAGATTTGCTTTTCTTTAAAGAAATAAATCAGTTCAAGTAAAGTGTAGATACAGTAAATGTCCTTTTGCTAACAATGTAGTCATTTCACGTATAACCAACCTGTTGTGATATTGTACCAGGGTTTGGATGGACTACATGGTCCTAAAGGCTCAGTTGGTGGTCAAGGTCCATTAGGAAATACTGGTCCTCAAGGCTCTCAAGGTCCCAGTGGTTCTTCTGGTTCAGGGGTAAGCAAGCAGCTCTGGCATAGAGCAATACAAGACTAATATTCTAACTTGTTATGGGATTAGTTATTGTTATTTATAGAGCAAGACTATTATTCGAATGAAATCATTAAGTGGAGTCCTGTGGAGTCCTGTAGCTCAGTGGTTAGAGCACTCGCTTTGTAAGTGAGAGACCTGAGTTCAATTCCAGGCAGGGCGAAACCTTGGGCAAGTTTCCTTACTCCACAAGCCTAATAATAATCCCTCCAAAAAACCAAAAACAATAATTAAATTGGTCATTTTCAATCTACGACTGTTTGTGGGACACTGCTGTGCGAAATTGGCTGCCGCGTTCGCCCACAAATATAGTCAATTCACTTTACAGTGTGTTCTGTGAAGCGCTTTGGGACGTCCTCCTGACGTGAAAAGCGCTATATCAAATGCAAGGATTATTATTATTATTATTATTATTATTATTAAGTCTGGAGATGGCTTCCTACCTCTTTTGAAATGTTCCGAAACTGATTCTGTACAAGTCTACATTTGAACTAATATTGTTTCTCTCACTTTTTCTCAACTGATGACATTCCAAATGTAAAAGCACATTTCTGCAGCTAAGAAAAAATGAACAGCAAGCGATAGGATAACAAACGACAATATGCTGTCATAAAAGCAGCTGGTTCCTCCCAATGTATCATTGTGGGTTGTTTGGCCTCACCATTGGTCAACTCTTTCTCCTACCCCCCAGTCAGGGTCATTATGCTTAGAAGCATTTGATCTATTTCTTCCCCTTTACTAAGGCCGGTAGACCAAGACTTCAGATCAGCTGTTTCCCTGATTGTTCTCAGTTCCCTTCAGAAACCTGTATCTGAGGGCAAACCTGGGACGAATACATATGCATGAGCAATCCCTTTCATTGAAACACTTCTATTCATCGATTAGAATCATTTACTCTATTTAAAGGGGTTTATCATAAGTGTATTCTGCAATGTTTCAAATTTGATAGGTCTGACTTTGACCTCCTGGACTGATTTGTATGTGTATGCCCAAATCTAATAGTCTTGGAAATGCTCTGGTATCTTTCCTATTACAGCATTCAGCTCCAGGAAGGTCACTGTCCAGCAAGTTAGGTTTGTTTCTCAAAAAGAAAATTTAAACATGTTCAGTAATCTCAGTTTTTATGAATATTCTTATAGGGGCTTCCAGGAGTGAAGGGTCCAAATGGTGATCGTGGATATTCAGGTCCCTCTGTGAGTATTAATGTTATCAGTAAATATCTCACTGAGATGTTGTACTGTTCTTGTTTGTTACAATCTGCTCACGCATGAAGAATGGCCACTTGAGGAGTGTAATTTCTTTTACAATTCATTGTAAATCTGAATTGAAATGAGACAGTCTTCATTCAAGCAGAAATTCCATCTGGTTCTAGATCTTTTCTACTTTGTTAGCATTTCAGAGCAACCAGACTTCAGCAAATTCTTAAACACAGCCTTAGTTTTGAAGCCTATTTCTGTAAGTTACGTTTAACAACTGCAGAAATCCAGGTTAAGAGTGAAGACTGAATTCAACAAATCGCCAAATTCTGAATGCTCTAAAATGCCACATAAACAGAGTAAATCGAGATTTGGTGGAATTTCTCCCATTACTGCCTCATCTGTGGTCAGGATCCATACGTCAAGATTACTCAACTATCTTCTCTTTGCTTTCATAGGGAGCAATTGGTTTGCCTGGTAGCATTGGGGCAATTGGAAGGATTGGGCCAGATGTGAGTAGCATTTTTTTATATAATGTACAGTTGTTCAAAGAAGAGTGTGTGAAGAACTTGAAAAAACTTGGACTTTTGTAACACTTTATCCTGTCAAATACCTTTGTTACCATACCCTAGCACCTTCCTCGCTCTCCAATCTGCTCACATCCCACTCCACCACTTTCACTCAACTGCCTCCGGTCTTCTCTCCGTCCCTAGTCCCCTCCAGATCGCATCTGAAGACCTTTCTCTTTGACCATGCCTACGAGCACCTCCCCTCTTTCTTCAGTTCGGCATCCACCTCTGCCACTCCGAGATGCTGCCTGCATGAATGACATTATATAAATCAAGTTGATTTTGTTGTTGTTGTCTTAATGACTGCTTTATGTGGGATTTCTATAAATATTGAGCTTTGCAATTAGCATTTCTGCTGCGTGTCAAACCTTCACCAATACTGACTCATGCAATATAACAGCTTGTGGATCTCAAATTCTCTTAGCAAATTGTGATGGCAAATGTGCTTTAAATGCTTCCTTAGTGTATCATTGCAATGTGAGTGCCTAGAAGGCACCATTGGTATAACAGTGAAGCACTGGTGAGATTCACTGAAACCGCTAGTGCAGTCCTATAAGTGGGTTATCATGGTTTTGTGGACCAGAAACTAACTGTTGAGGGTTGATCTATAAAGCCATTCTGTGTCTTTTATACAGGGGACTGCTGGCCCAGCTGGTACCCAAGGATTGCCTGGCAAAGGAGGTCCTCCTGGCCCAGATGGTAAAAGAGGTCCAGTCGGTAGCGAAGGACCAACTGGTCCCAAAGGTGATGTTGGTGGTCCTGGCAAAAAGGGCCCCGTTGGTCAAACTGGTCTTCTCGTAAGTACAATACAATACAAAATTACATTTGTAGAGCGCCTTTCACATTGGGAGGACATCCCAAGTAAAACATATGTTTGCTCCTAAGAGTGTTGTAAATAGGACAGGAATTTTTTCAAGTGCAACAAATCAAATGACTCAAGAATTCATTCACACTAAATATCCATAAATACTTCACAAGGGAGTTAAATTTCTCTTGCTGTTAAATGTGGTAGCTTTGACAGTGTGCACTTATTACCATGTGAAAATCAACATCAAACATGAATGAGCAGCAGACATTTCATTAATAATTTTAAATATTCAATGAGTGTCTTGCATCATAAAGGAGTATATATGAATATATCGTAGTACACGGCATAAATAGTGGGTTGAAGGGTGGAAAGCAAATATTGGTACAACTCTCAGCAGTCTTGAAAGAGCTTACAAAAAAAACTTAAAAATGAACACTATTTAAGAATGTGCCAAATTCTGAATGCTCTAAAATTTAATCTTAGGGACACTCTAAAATGTGAATGTTAGGCGGAGAGGGGAAAGATGGGAGAAAGTGGTAGAAGAGTCAAAGAGGTCAAATAGGTACGTTTTGAGATGGAACTTGAACAAATGGAGGGAGGGAACAAGTCGGAGGGAGTTCAGGATGGAATTAATAGACTAATCTACACCCAGGTGGAACTTCATCCTACATATTGGTATAATTTAGATTTCCTACCATTTTCAGCTTCCACCTAATGTACAAAAAAAATTTCCTGCAAGAATTCACAGCTTTTAGAAGTAAAATCTGAACTAGATTTACTTTGCCACAATATCGCAGGTGCATTTTGATACACAAGTATCTATTGCTGATATTTCCTGACAGGCCAATGGAAAAACCAATCAATGGATATTTTTTAAATAATAATAATGTAATAATAATAATCCTTGCATTTGATATAGCGCTTTTCACTAAAATACCACTGTTTGTAGGGCCCTCAGGGAGGGACTGGTCCTTCGGGGATTGTAGGATCACAGGGACCTGTAGGCTTGCCGGGCAGGTCGGGAATGTTCGGGAGACAAGGTCCAAGAGGTGAATCTGTAAGTATTACTTTTCTTAATAAGATTGTATTTGTTAACATCTTTAACTTCGCACATTCCTATACCATCTGCATTCGCTTCGAATACAATACATTTATAAAACTTGGGAGGACGTCTCAGAGCACTTGACAATGCTGGCTGGGCACCCTGAGCTGGTGGTGGAAGGCAAAGGGGATGGGGAGAGGAAAGATGAGGGAAAGTGTGATCAAAGAGGTACTATTGAGACAGTCCTTGAATGAATGGAGGGGGAGAACAAGTCAGAGAGACTGTGGGATGAAGCTCAAGAGAGCTGGGGCAGAGTAGCTGAAAGCCCGCCTGTTGATGGTGAAGTAGATAGGGTGGACATGAAGCGGGACCGTATTCGCTGAGCGAAGGGAGCGGCCAGCTTGGTGTGGCTGAAGGACATTACAGAGGTAGGGTGGGGCCAGAACATGGAGAGAATATCCACTTTGTAGTATTGATTTTATATTCAGACGAGCTGATTTGCAGAACTTGAGGCAACAGAACTTAGCACAGCTTTGTCAGTTGATTGAGAGGTCGAGTGGCACAATTGCTGTTGTAATACAATTATTCATCAGGCAAAAAGCAAGACACACCACATAAGTGATTAGCAATAATCAATACAAGTCTGGTTTGCTTAGGGCGTGGCTGGTAAACCTGGGGTAGATGGTCCACTTGGCGATCGAGGGCGTCCTGGTTTAATAGGCCACAGAGGTATGAGGGGTCCTCCAGGTCCACCCGGCAAACATGTAAGTAGATTGACGCATGTCTACCAAAAATGTATCAATAATAATAATGTTTACCAAAAATGTATTAACTATGGAATTATTATTATTATAAAGATGATTTATATGTTATTGTGCTACAGAAATATCAATTTGACATGGAATCTGCAATTAGAAATGAATATCTTTGGATTAACATTGTATTTCATCCTTAATATTGATTGTTAAATCAGATGACTGCATTCCCGAATTGGAAAATGTTCTTTCTCGAGTCTTTTGAGCTGTATTAAAATTCAAAAATGTTTTTATTCTAGGGTTTGCCCGGTCCCGATGGCCTCCGTGGCAGATCAGGAAGACGAGGCCTGAATGTAAGGCAAGATAAAAGTATTCCCGTTAAAAATATATTTTTAAATTATATTTTAACATTTACTTAAAAAAAAGTGAGTCACCTGAGTATTATCTTTGACCAGGGTGATCGTGGTGAAGATGGTCCTCTAGGTCATCAGGGTTCTCCTGGCCTCCTGGGTCCCCCAGGTCACCCAGGCACCGCTGGCAAAAATGGTGACAGAGGTGAACCGGTAAGTCTACCACCTGCATTGTAACTAATGGGTAACAACAAAGGAGCAATGTTCTATGCAATACAATTTATATTTATATAAGTGCCTTTCACATCTGGACGATGTCCCGAGTTCTGTTTTAAACGCCTTGAAAGCACAAGGCATTTAAAACAGAGCCCACTCTACGTCCACAATGGGGTCTAAAACAAAGTGATTTCAAATAGGCTTCTTGAATTAAGGAATCCCATTCAAAATTGCTGTGTCTTAAATCCAAATATCAAAGTCACTACACTTCTCATTCTTTATATTCAGATTTTATATTTTATATTCAGTATGAGAATAAAGACGCTGGTCATATGCATCCGAACTTTCGTTGTTTCATATTACTTTGTCACCAGATACATGTGTATACATTTGTAGGCACTGTGCTAACAAATCAAAACTTTTCAAGTGGTTGAAGCCCCATTCTGGGGTGAAACAATATGGCCTTTCATAACATGTTCATCAAAACTGATAAGAAATCTTACATCGTCACCCTCTTGATTTTGGTAAACTATTAGCGTGGAGTTAAAGCTCTAAATGAAATGTTTTGTCTTTTCTTGCTTCTTTTTAGGGTGGACAAGGACCACAAGGCACAACGGGTTCAAACGGGGTGACTGGACCTATGGTAAATTAATCGCTGCCTATTTTGAAATCTCACGTATATGATTAGAAACCAATTCACTCAAAGTGAAACTTTTTTATATGTACTTGAATATATTCTGCTTCAGAATTTGTGGTGCGTTAGCTTGATTGGTTTCTAGCTCTATGGACCGAACATTGTTCGCATTGTTTCTCAGGGTGATCGAGGTGCTCAAGGTGAGAAGGGGAGCACTGGAAAACCTGGAGCACATGGCTGGAAAGGTCATCCTGGATTTCCTGGTCATATAGGCCCAGTAGGCATTCAGGTAAAATGGGGGGAAAAAAGAATCTAAATACCCACAACATAATTTTGAAAGCTGTAAATCTTGATCAGAACCAAACACCAGTTGATCTTTTGTTGAAAAGGATAACTTTTTGTCATTTCTCTCCAGGGTTCTATTGGAGAAATAGGACAACAAGGAAGTTCTGGAGCTCAAGGTATCAGAGTGAGTAAAGGGTAAAACCTACTGTGGTAGAATTTGCAGCAGTCCTCGAATATAGCCCTATCCATCTTAACTGGTCTCATTCACATTATGTCAGACATTGCTGGACTTTTAGGGCATCTACATATTAAACATTCTCATTTAAGACACATAATTGTGTTGGATTTTATAAAGCAAAGGTTTGAGTTTTGTGAACAACACAATTATAATTACTGTTTATGTGTCATCAGCATTTATTAACATAGAATCTATAAACATATCTAAAACAAGATATGATTTTTTATATTTACATTAATTTGCAAGCGCCCTTCTGTAGGTAATCATTAAATCATATGATGTTTTCTAAGGAGTACAGTTGAGTAAGACTACAATGGAGCTTGGTTTTTCTTATGAACTACATTTTTTTTACAAGGACCAAAACATGGACAGAATAGGATGGAAAACATCTGCATATTTCCTGTTATCTTATCGACCTCCATAGAATCCATAGCAGTACAGCATAGCCTCTAAGTTCAATAGACTTAAGTCAATTTGCATGAAACATGGGGGGATTCAGATCTGGTTAATTCACTTCCAGCTTTCTATCTTTCAGACTGTCCTTTGTCAAATTGAATCATGCTATTTTATGTTCAATTATAGAATGTAAATCTGTGATTTGCCTCGGTGCAAACCTTGTTCCCATCTTTCCTTTTTGACCAGCTATAACACATTTGCCTAGTCTTCAGTCAATGAAACGATGGGCATTTTTTTTTCCTCATTTAAATTTTTTTAAAAAACAGGTATTTACTTATCATTTTTTTAGGGTCCTCAAGGTCCAAGTGGTCCCCGGGGCAAAAGAGGTGTGGATGGGTACCCTGGCCCCATGGGTCCTCCTGGTCCCAGCGGTTTACGAGGATCAAATGGCCATACTGTAAGTGAACTCACTAAACTTTTGTCCCGAGAGATTAAATATCAATATTACAAACTAAATGTATATCATTTAAACTTCACAGGGTGAAACTGGTGCTCAGGGTCTCCCTGGCTACCCTGGACTTCCTGGTCCCTGTTGTCAAGATGGTTCAGATGGCAAAGGCATGTCATATCCAAACCCACATTCACAAAATTGGTTTGACTACTATGGTGATCAATCAAATGATTTTATGAATGAACAGAGGGAAGAAATACTGGCCACTCTGAAATTAATTGGGAGTCAGTTAGCAAACTTTCTGAGTCCAGATGGATCCAAGAAGAGTCCAGCCCAGAGTTGTCATGACCTGCAATTGAACCATCCAGAGCTTGAGAGTGGTAAGAAACCTGCATGTTCTGCTTCTGGACACACAAGACATATATACTTTGGAGTTAATCAAATTGAAAGCCTGGCAGTCAGTGAGTCCTCCAAGTCAATCTGGTCTTAGTGGCAGCAGAGATCCCTTTGTCCTCATTTGATGAGGTTTGCCCCGTCTCTCCCCATTTTCAAGTCCCAGAAGAAAACCTTCCTTTTCAATCATGCTTAAGGTCACCCCACCCCACCACGCTCCACCACCCCCCACCCACCCAACACCTCTCCCCCCCCCACCCCCAGCTCAGAGTCAGGCTCCTTCACTGGTAAATGCTCTGAGACTCTACCTTCGTGGAGGGTGCCATATAAGTGCAAGCTGTTGTTGTTCATCAAGGAAGAAGTGTTGCTCCATGAATTTTACACTGACATGTTTTTATTGATTTTAATATTCCTTCAATTCATCGTAGTAAGAATGGTTGTTATCTTCATAGGAGTGTACTGGATTGATCCTAATCAGGACTGCAAGATGGATGCTTTCAAGGTATACTGCAACATGGAAACTGGCGAGACCTGCGTACATCCACACAACAACAGCACGTCACGGAAGAACTGGTGGACAAGCAACAACAACCAGAACAAGAAGCACGTGTGGTTTGGAGAGTCCATGGATGGGGGCTTCCATGTGAGTCACAAAAAGTATAAAACACAATAGGTCATTCATGAACCAATCAAAAATATTAAAAAGTCAAATAAAAGATCCCCAGTTTATGGATGGTAGACTGAAATGAAATACATCACGAATAACAAGGGCTTTTGTGATGTGCCTTCAATTTAGATTAATACTTTTTTGTCATTATTTATGTTAACTGCATATCCCTATTATAATTTATAATTCTTTGTTCAATTCGATAACACTGAAAGAATAATCAGTATTCATCTGATCTGGTAATAGAACTACAGATATCTCCTTTACAATACTGGGTAATTCTACCAGTTTAGATTTTATGTACTTTGAAGTTCTTTGAAGAGCATACGTTCCCTTTCACAAACAGTTGCAAAGCAGCACAGTGCTTAACCGTTAGCTCTTGAAGATGACTTATGAATGAGATGTGAATTTCACTTTATTTGTGAAGCACTATTTTCCTGCATTAGATACAATGAAAGCAAATTATATTTCTACAGTTTAGCTATGGTGATCCAAGTCTGTCAGAAGATATGGAAATCCAAATGGGTTTCCTTCATGTACTTTCCACCCGAGCCTTCCAGAATATCACCTACCACTGCAAGAACAGCATCGCTTACTTGGACGATGAGACTGGAAGTGCAAATAAAGCTTTGAAGCTGCTGGGCTGGTCTGACCTTGAGCTTAAAGCTGAAGGAAACAGCAAACATATATACAATGTTCTTGAAGACGGGTGCTCTGTAAGTAGCACAAACATTAACATCAAACTAAAATACCATCAGAAATTTGTGTTATAATACTTACAAATTTACCTTTTATTTTAATTTTCTGACATCATTTACGCGTGCACCCGTAGATATAGGAATAACATTTTCCATAATTCCAGATATCGACCTGTACACTCCCTCCGCTCATCAGGCTGTGGCCTGCTCCACATACCCCGCCCGGTCCACCCCACCATCAGCGGTCAGGCCTTAAGCCTTTCTGCCCCATCCTTTGGAACTCCATCCAACATTCCCTTCGCCTCTCTCCCTCCCTTGCCTCCTTCAAGGCATGTCTCAAAACCCTTCTCTTTGATCGCACCTTCGGCCATCCTCCTTTCCTCCCTGCCCTCCACCCTCCCCGATCCCAACCCCCAGCTCGGGTCCAAATACTTAACTGTCCAGCGCCTTGGAACATCCTCCCGATGTGAAAAGCACCATACAAATATCATTTTGTATTGCATATACAATTGCCCATTCAGATTCCGTGCTTGCTTTCTCATCAGTCTTACATTCCCAAACAATTTTGGTTCCCTTAATAGTAGTATATGTTATTTGTACTATTATTTCACTGGTTTGCATTTTACAACTAATTATTCGCCTATTAAAAAGTTATGCAGTGCAATGGCGTGGTACAACAGTGTGCTAGCATGCAGTACAAAGGATTGGTGAGGATGCAGGTTATTTGCATTTATATGGTGTCCTTCAAGTAGAATATTGTCTTGGAGTGCATAAGCAGTACGATTTTTTATTCTAACCAAGAAAATAGAAATGGCTGTATGTGAGGATTTGACTGTCTACAATATCTATTAAGGAAAGATATTTTGCAGTATGGCTAATTATAAAAAGTGTAGGGATTGCTTACTTGGCATGAACATTGTAAATGTCTCTGAGATACGGACTATGATAAGTTCAATTACAACAAAGCTGTATTCTAATCTTTTTTGCCTGTTTTGTCATAGAAACACACTGGAGAGTGGGGCAAGACTGTAATTGAATACAGCACAGAGAAGACCATTCGTCTGCCTATTGTCGATATTGCTCCTGTAGATATTGGTGCTAAAGAGCAAGAATTTGGTGTTGACATTGGCCCTGTCTGTTTCTCATAATATCAGAAATAACTTGAATACAACCATTTCTGTGACTTTTAAATGGACATTCACCTGATCCATCTATCTCTTCCCCTATCCAAACATTATTCTAGACCTCCCATGCTGATAAGGCCAACTTCTAATCATATTTATAATGCTGACAGAAATTGTCCAAACCATTGACAGAGATCTGAAATTGTAACACACAAAGTCATGCATAGCGGTGCTTCTGCAAAATTATGATTTAGGACCGAAAAGAGAAAACTCATTGCACAGAGCAATGGCAAAAAAATCAAACATGATTCAAAGATGCATTTTGTCCAGTTTTGATTCCTTCATTGTGGTCAAAGTTGGGATAGGCTTGAAAGGTGGTCTCTCAAGAAAATAACACTGCTCTTCAAATTAACTTGGATTTCCATATATACTGAAATGCAGAGTAATTATAAGGATTAGACAGACATGCTGACTCAACTACGCACAATCAGTGAACTACAGTGGATTAAAGTGAAATATGTCATAAATCTTGAAATGTATGTGAATTACACTTAGCTACCCAGTGAGGACTTCATTGAGTCATTTTATTAAAAAAGAGTATTTGAAAGATCATTGTCGCTCACAATTTCAGGTTGCAAAAAATGTAAACAGATAAAGTCTATGATAAATCTCAAATGCTTTTATGTTAGGAAAGCTTTACCTCATCACTTCTGGGCGTCAGTACATATATTGATTATGGACAATGTGTTAACTTCCTTTCCACAACACAATAACGATTATTCCTCAGGTGACCTTGTAGATCTACCCTCTGAAGTTAAAGAGATACTCAAGGTGTCACTGTGTGCTTAGTATTGCTACTGTAATGGTATTCCATCAGTCTCCAATCAATCAATCCTTATCTTTTCTTCATTTGCTGACCAAATCAGCATTGTGGTACTTTCAGTATTTTGTCAGACTTCCAAGTAATTTGTAAAGGGATTTTCAAGATTAGGCCCATGGTTTTTTTTAATAAAGTAAAATGTTTGCGTACTCCACCACCAAATTGCAGTGTGATGGATCAAATATTTGTTTTCTGTAATGCTGTTTATCTGTCTTAACAAAAACAAGTAAAGTTTTCCGGAATTCATTTGTGGTTCTACATTCTACAAGCACTTAGATAAGCCAGCAATCATATTGTGTCCATCTTTACCCGAGTAATAGGAATCTTTGCATTTTATATTAGACCTTTAATGTCAAAGCATTTCAAAGTGCATCACAGGTATTGCTATCAACTGTAGTGGATCTATATTTGTAGGCAAACGTTGCAGTCATATTGCACACACCAAGGTCCCACAAACAGGCATGAAGCAAATGTCCAATGTATCTGGAAGATCATTGTCCCACATTCAACTCCAAAACATTATCCTATATGAAAGGTTCTATATAAATTTAGGTTGTTATTGCTTGTTCAGGACACTGGGAGAAACTCCCTTCTTTTTTCAATGTCTTTTAATGTTTACTCAAATTGCTGTAATTGTGTATTCGGTACTAATATTTTTCTGCCTAAGGTTTTATATATTCCAAACGTCTTTAGTCTTCAGTGGATATACATTACCATGGTTGAAAAAAATAGAAGTGAAAATGGGATAAATCAGAAGGTCTTAGGTGATGGCAAGCTTTGCTTTTAAAAGCCTGGTGTTTGGATAAGGAAGGAAATTCAGGTGATATGGAGCTTCACACTCTTGAGGTCTGGGAAAAATGGGTTTGAGTTCCAGTAGAGGACAGTGCAATGTTTGACGACATTTTCAGTGCAGGCAAAAGGATAAGCATTTTAGACAATGTTCCAAAGATTGCTCCAAATGGAGCTTGGGAAGAACAGCAGAGTAAAGTTCAGATGATGAATGAGCGCAGTGGTATTGCTAGAATAAAGGCAGGAAAAGCTGAGGAAGAGAAAATATGGAACTGCATTCAAGTCTTGGACAAACTTGGGCTTGGTCGAGAATTGGGGTGAAAAATTCAAATGAGTGTTGTTCCCCTGCTGAAAAGTGTGTTTGTGTGGTTATCAAATAAACAAGGGTTGAGCTGAGCAGTACAGCTTGTCATAGGTGCATACATTCAGTGTCTCCATTCGTATGTGAAGAATTGCTCCTCTGGCAAAGGACAGATAGGTATCCTTCTTCTTTGGACCAAGAGTAAGCTTCCATCATTGACCCACTAAAAAATGGGTGACTTGAAAATGGCTGACTCTTCCTGCATAGTGGTACTAACTACGCCAAACAATAATAAATAATAAGAATAATCCTTGCATTTGATACAGCGCTTTTCACATCTTCTAGATGTCTCAAAGCACTTCACAGAATATGTTGTCAAGTGAATTGACTGTATATTTTGGGGCAAAACCTGGCTGCCAATCGTGCACAGCAGTGTCCCACAAACAGTTGTAGATTGAAGTGACTAATTTTATTATTGCTTTTTTTTTCTTGAGAGATTATTATCAGGTGTAAGGAAACTTGCCCAAGGTTTCACCCTGCCGAGAATCGAACCCATGTGCCTGCTCGCTGGACTTCCCAACTCTTCTCGTCACAAGCTGCACATTATTCAAATCTCTGCAGCTCATGTCCTCTCTCACACCAGGCTCCGTGAACCAATCACTCTATTCTTGCCCAGCTTCACTGGCTCCCCAGTCCTCAGAGAATCAGGTACAAAACCCTGGGTCTCACCTTTAAAGCCCTCCATAGTCTTGCTCCTACCTTTCCGACCTCCTAACCCCATTTCAGCCTGTCGGTTCCCTCCACTCGGTGGACACCAGCCTGCTTCAGGTCCCCTGAACTACCTGCCCCACCGTTGGTGGTCAGGCATTCAGCATCTCTGCTCCCACACTCTGAAACTCTACCCTGGAATCCCTCCGCCTCATCCCCACTCTTTTCTCCTTCAAGTCCCGTCTAAAGACCTTCCTCTTCAACCGTGCTTTTGGCCTACCTCCTATTCCCACACCCCCCTTCCTTCCACCCCTCCTGATCCAAACTCCCAGCTTGGGTCCAAAAGACTTTGAGTGTCCAGCATCCTGGAACATATTTCTGATGTGAAGGGCACTATACAAAAGTAATTTGTTGTTGTTGATGGTATAAACAATACATCCTGCATATAGTTTCCAGAGCACAGAACATTGACAACAACCTGATGACCTGGGACCTGGAAGTCAGAAATATTTTGGTGGCAAGCTGGTGTGTATGCACTCAACAGGTAGGAGGTAATGTCAGATATGGCCTGACAACCTGTAATTCAGCTAGACTTCCACTCTTCAGTACATGGTGCAGCCCAATATATTGAGTTCAGATGACTGCCATGACAGGGTTGTGCTGTATTATGGAGTAACTGGAGTCAATGTCTGCACAAATCAATGCATTATAGAGAAGAATGGATATAATTGGAGACATTTTTAAAAATGAACTAAAGCAAAGGCAATTTTCCTTCCCTATGGACACAAACAGTATGCGGTTGGGATATGTGTGTACTTCTTTAAATAAATAAACAAACAAACAAACAAACAAACAAACAAACAAACAAACAAACAAAGAAACAAAGAAACAAAGAAATAATTAATTTTTAAAAAATTTGGTCACTCAACCACAACTGTTTGTGGGACCCTGTTTGTGGCAATTCGCTGCCACGTTTTGTCCACAAAATATACAGTCAATTGACTTTACAGTAAATGTTGTGAAGCACTTTGAGACATCTCAAAGACGTGATAAGGCTCTATATGAAATCAAGGATTATTATTATTATTATCTGCTAAACAAAAAGTAATACATTTTGGTCACTCAGAATTTTTCCCCATGATATGGTCAAATAATGTAGAGGGAGACAGATGTTTAATTATAGTAACAAAATCTAAATCAAACCATTTTTGTACACCAGACTATTAACATGTTCTTTGCACCTGTAATAAAATTTGAGGGAATTTATTTGCAAACGTGTGGAAAAAAACAAGGAAAATAACATGGAGAAAGAATTTGAACCTCTAACTTGTATTTAAGAGAATAAAGGTTCATTCTCAGTTTGTAGTAGAAACATAAAATAAAACCGGATCTGGACTTTGAAGATATTAATGTGCAACATTAACCATCTTTGAATGGAGAATGAATTTTACTTGTTAGATGCACAAATCATCTGCCAAGACTATCTGCCCAATTAAACAATATGGTCACAAAGTAAACATGCCAAACTAGAGAAGCAGCAAGCATCAGAAGCACTGACCACTGGAACAAGATATTCTTAGCAGCTCCTCACAAGTTATGTGTTTTCTATATTAGTATGCATAAGAAAAGCTTAGAACACTACAAAATTGCTTTAACATTTAATTTTCCTATTCATTTGAAGTATTACATAAAAGCAGTTGCATTGAAACTCAATGGTTAAATTGAGTCTTACAGCAAATTAAACACATAAGGCTCCCTCCCAAAAAGCATGGCAGGCAAAGTGCTATACAAGTCTCTGACAAGAGTGACGTTTTGTGCCTAAGAATTCTGAATAACACTCTGATCCACCTGACGATATACGTTCCTATTCCAATTAGCACCAAATGTGTTTGAATAATACATTGCTGAAGCATTTTGTTATGAATATTAATTAAGTTGCCTTCATACCAAACATTCTCTCAATGATACTTTAAATGCTTACATAAAGGAAACCAAAAGGTACTATAATGCAAACAAAATACAAACGTATTGTGAAATAAAAATAAAAAGCTTTTGTTTCGTGAAAAGCTTAAACTGTCAGAAAATAAGCAGAATTCTCTCCTTCAAGGTCCATGAGAGAGAATCCCACCAAATAACTATTGAGATGAAGGAGCAACTACTCGGCAGAAATTCCACCTGGATCTGGATGTATTTTATGTATTTACCGCTTTTGAATGTGCAGAATATGACAGATTCTTAAACTCAGCCGCAATTTTGAAGCTGTTTTTCTGCAATTTCTTTTAAAAAACAACAGAAAACCAGCTTGAAAGTTAAAAACTGAATTCAACAATTTGCCAAATTCTGGATGCTCTAAAACACTACATGAATAAGAGTAAATCCAGACCCAGGTGCAATTTCTCCCTTTATGAGTGTTTTTGTGGTGCAAATTCATCCAAGTTAGTCACTCTTATGGTAGCATGTTGAAGGACAGAGTAATAATATAATAATAATAATCCTTGCATTTGATATAGCGCTTTTCACGTCTTCTAGACGTCCCAAAGCGCTTCACAGAATATACTGTAAAGTGAATTGACTGTATATTTATGAGCGAACGCGGCAGCCAATTGCGCACAGCAATGTCCCACAAACAGTCATGGATTGAAAATGACCAATTTATTATTGTTTTTTTTTTGGAGGGATTATTATTAGGCTCTGTGTGGAGTAAGGAAACTTGCCCAAGGTTTCGCCCTCTGCCTGGAATTGAACTCAGGTCTCTCACTTGCAAAGCGAGTGCTCTAACCACTGAGCTACAGTGACTCCACAAAGTGGAGTAGATTAGCACCTGACCATTAATTCTACGAAGAAATAATTCACTGATTCAACCGGAATCACTATGTCAGAATAAAGATGATACTATTTGCCACTTGAATATCTTTATCTTTGTATCTCGGTCAAGAATATCTTTGTACGAACGTAATATTGTATCCTGATACTAATGTAAATAACAACTTGTTCTAAATTATACTTTCATTTCTATCCACTAAATCTGAAAGCTTTGTTTTAAACTACTTTTATTGAATTTAATAAATGGTTCAGACAATATGACTTCCACGAATGATACATTGTCTAATAAGCACATTGCAATATGCTGTAAAACAACAGCAATAAGCAGGTTGGAGTGAGAGGCAAATTAAGGCATGAGTTAACTATTTTATGAATGTTTATAAATCATTATTTGAAAAAATATTCAATTAAGTCAACCAAATTATATTTCTGGTTTCCTTGTAAAATGGTTCTTTTTATTGGAGAATTAAAGAACATCTTTGAAGGGAGAGAGAAAAGAAACAATGCAAAATTGGATCTGTCTACATGCTTTACTTGAAAGTTCTTGTGGACATTTCTTTTACTAACTGATATCAGAAACATCATCCATACTTAAAGAATGTAGACACAACTGCTATATTAAAATGGCTATTAACATGGCAATTTGTTGTAGGGTTACAGCTACTTCATCAAAGATTACAAGAAATTTTGATTTTTTTTGTATCTAGCACCATCATATCTTTACTCTGTCTCCTGGTTCTGTAAACAAACACAGAAGGAAGCCCTGGGAATATTAGCACCTTGGAAAAGAAATGAATAAAACAAGCATCAATGCATCCTAGCTTCTGGCAGAGATGAGGTAGCTTAAACTAGGGGATTCTTTAAACTACATCTTTGTAAAAGTGGTGTGCAAGTTTTATATATGAGCATAATCTGATTTATAGGCAAGACATAATAGATGAAACCTTAAAGAGTTCTGAGTCGAGATTTTAGAACTCTCTTTGGATTTTGTAGTGAAGACCTTACTATTTCGACTCCTGTTGTAATAAGGGGCATTCGTAGATTGTCGTGGTACTAAAAACTGCACAAAATCAGTTTTTAATCACATCTTAATTTTACCAATGGGGTTCATATGAAAAATAAATAATTGGTTTTGAAGGCCAGGAAGTTCTAAATACTTGTATGTACAGTGCTGATTGAATCAGCCATTAGTTCAAGAGTCCAGGAATGTCTTCAAAGTCTCCAAGTCTTTTTATTTTACAAGAAGCAGACAGGGCCAATTTCAAAGCCGAATTCCTGATCTGAACCACCAATATCCATGGGCGCAATATCCACAATAGGCAGGCGTGCTGTGCTCTGTGTTCGATACTCAAAGACTGTTTTGCCCCAACCTCCTGTATGTTTCTATGTGAAAAATAAACACAAGTAAGAATTCAGACACAATGTGGTTAAAGAAATTGTACTGTTACATGTTGCTGCTGCATTTGCAATAATGTTTTACACCAAATTGATTCAGTGTCCCCAAATCATACGATTGATCTTGGCCAGAATTTTTAAATCATTTGATGTTTCAGTCCAAGAACTTAATAAATGATTTGCTCTCTCTGGATCTTAGAATTTCTACAGGGCCTGTGATTCCCATTAGTTATAAGAGCGAACAGTTACCTAGTAATACATAATTGTCATCTTTCCATTTACATCAACACAAATGGAAGAGTAACTAGAAAAGGACCATCATTGGTACTTTCAAGCACCATGGGATGTCCTCCCGACATGAAAGGCGTTATCCAAATGTAATTTTGTATTGTATCATTGTGTTCAATATCTAATTTGCTTTCGCTCAAAAGATTATTTAAAGGTACATTGAAGAGTGGAGGGATCCTCAGATCCATTCTGGATATAATTGTGTTTTTAGGTACAAAGTTCTTGTATGTCCAAAGTTCTGCTAAACAAAATGTGAAATATATGACCAAATAAGAACATACGAATCTAGGAACAAGAATTATTCCTTTAGCCCATCAAGGCTGTTCTACCATTTTATTGGATTAAGGCTGATGTCTTATTTAATACTACTCCGTGCCCATTCATCATATTCCTTGACATCCCTGTACACCAAATATTTATCTACCATCTCTTAAATATTTAAAATGACTAGCACCTACATCCCGATATAAAAATAGAGGAAGAACATGAGTTTCTTCCATTAGATCCAGGGACTCAGTCTCGCTGTATTGAAAAAAGGTAAATAGAATAATAAAACAAGTCAAATACTTACTGTGCAGCTGTCTTCCAGGACAGTGTATTTATATCGGTTATTTCCCTGTGCTTTGATTTCAATGTCATTGGCACTCTTAAGGATTAAGGCTTTCTTAAGATTGCCAGTTTGATCATCCATGTAACCAACACTGTTTTTACAATTATAGGTAATATTTTGGGAAGCCTCCTTGGATAGAAGGCGAAGGAATGTCAACTGGATTGTGACAGTATTCGAGGACTGTTCTCGGTCCCCATATGTGAACTGTAAAAGTACAAAGGGAAAGGAATATATTTCTTCAACAAATAACATAATGTTGTACTGCAGACATCTGCCACAGCTATTTATAGATGAGAGACTCAGATACGATTGAAGGGCCCTGTTAGAAGAACCCGTTTCTGCTGAAATATAGGAGTAACAAATCTGTTATTTCATAACAGATTTCAATGTGATAATTATCACCAGGTGATATTTGTCGAACAACTTGCCAATTCACCATAAAATGATAATTATCACAATGACTATGATTCAATCTGTTTTGATGTTTGTTTAGTGTATAATGGAAAACTTAAATGTTATAAAAATAATTTATTTCTGCGTAAGGAGTGCTTTGTAAATCTGCTATTTCCTCCTGTTTCATGCTCACGGGAATCATTCATCGATGCATGTGATCCTCCAGTCATGAGAAATTAAAGAGTTTTAAGTGGAGGTGGTGCTGTGTTTCAGACTGTTTGTTAAACAGTCAACTTTTACAAACACACCTCCCTCTTCAACTACCATTGAGTCACTGTGTGAAGAGTCCACCAGGGGGAGCTTTTACATGTTGCTCAGATAAGCTGAAGACTAAGTCTCTCTCTCTTCTAGTGATTAGTTGTGTTGAAAGTCAACAACATGTTTTGTTGAAAACAGCATCAGGCAATCACCAGACAGGTATCCCCTTTCCAAAGAGAGCCAGCATCTGAAAGTGCTCGGCCTTTAACAATGAAAGAATGTAACATGAACTACTGCCTAGTCTGACCTTGAACAAAAAACAGTATTTCATTCTTATGGTACTCACTTTCCATCAGTAGATGGTGCTATTTCACTGCATAAAGCAATTTCATAAGGTTTACTCAATACAACATTGCCATCCAGTGTCCAGGGCTTTATTTTGGAAGATGGGTGTGATCACCAAATTCAGTTCCACTACTTCTTTTTAAAGAAAATGTGAAAATTCCGATTATTTTGCCAATTCACAAGCTAAGGCACGTATAAAACATAATTGGTTATGAAAAAAATCTTCAGAATTAAGCTCTGTATTGCCAATATTGAGAAACACAGTGAGATCTCATCTCAGAGAGCAATCCATTTTAAATGCACTAAAACCTATCAAAAACCATGGGGCCTAATTCAGTCGAGAGCAATGCTCTGTTTGAAAATCCTTAGAATGAATGGTGCTGGAAAATGTTGTTGTACAATAATAACAAACATCCTTGACTCATGCTTACCTGGGATCCACCATTCATAAAGATACCAAACCATAAATGTCTATCATCTTTGCCATTCCTTTTGCTCCACCATGTTTTGCTTGGTATTTCAGATGGGTCAGCGTGAATACAGGTCTCACCACTGTCCATATTACAGAATACTTTAACAGCGTCCTCAACACAACCCTGGTTAGGGTCCACCCAATATAGCCCTGTCCAAACAAAGACAACTTTTCACTTTCAAGTATTCATGGTCTTGGACATATATATGTGTTGAAAGGTCTGACACAACCTTGTGACCCAAAGGTGACAATGCTGCTAACTGAACGAGCTGACACATCAAGTTGTTAAATACTCTCATATTGACTGGAGAACTCATGTTAATATTGGTTAAGACCTCACGTGATAGTGAACAACATGACAATGTATCCCTTGAAAATATGACCATTAAGTCTAAAATATTTTATTTTACAAATGGTAGATTAGACTTTTAAAGATGTTTTTCATCGGTTGGTACTCTGATATGATCCTCCACCACTCCTAATTCCTTTTCCTATACTCCTTGATTCCCTTCTCCCTCAGATGTGCATCAAGTTTTATCTCAAGAACACTGATGCTTTTTGCTTGAACTACAGCGTCTGGCAGTGAGTTCCATAGTCACTCTCTTCTGTCTAAAGAAAATCCTCCTAAACTTCCCTTTAGATACGTAGTTGGCTATCTATCATATATATATATATGTGTCTCCTTATTTTGGACTCACCAACAAGTGGCACCAACCTGCCAATGCTCACTCTATAAAAAACCTTTCATAAACCCCTCTATCAATTGTCTCGTTTCTAGAGAGAAGTGCTAACAAATGCCTGGGATGCTCACTTACTGTCCTACTTGGTAGTCCAGTTGACAAAGCCACACATTTACTTGCCTCGAAAAACCCTCTTAAATACTCAAGAATTCCAATTCAGTGATTGCTCAATGCAACTAAGTGTTTATCAGTTTTTGGGGGATGAAAAAATGGCTCGTTTCCAGATACGTACCACTCCCCTTTTCTGGGTGACATAGTTTGAGATCCTGACATGTTCGAGCTGGATTGCTTTTGGAACCATCTGGGCTACGCATGGTTTCCAATTGACTACTCAATGACTTCAGGGTAGTCTCGACCCCCGAATCTTTCTTAGCAGTTTCAAACGTCTCATCAGCATTTAGTACATCTACCATATAGTCTTTGTTTGTATCTCGCTCATAAAATCCAGCGTAATCCTCATAAGCAGCAGTAGGAGGACCAGGAGAACCAGGAGGGCCAGGGGGACCTTCTTCGCCGGGAGGACCCTGCGAGAAAGAAATGTGTGAGAAGCACCATTTATGAAGCAGCAACACAGATCGATATGGGGGCGGAGGGGGAGCTAATGTGTAACATTTGCAACAAGGGTAGGAAGTTCTAGAAAGGAACCTGAGCCCTCCCGAGTTATTCAAAGTGTTTGGCGAGTTCCGTACGTTCTCAAAGTGCACAAATAATAATAATAATAATATTACAAAAAGACCAGAAAGCAAATCAGACCACTGCGGGGAGACGGCATTTCACTCTAGCTTTTCTTCACTTTCTTCAGAAATCCCATTTAGCAATTCCCATCCCTTTTGTCAATATCACAAATTAGGCTCCAGTTGTACAATCAGTTTACATTGTGGTGGAACCAATCATTCCAAACTAAATTTATTTGCATCACATTTAGGTAGTACCTTCAATTCAAAACAGATAACTTATTGCTTGTTTTTGAGTCAAATCAACCACCCTCTCACACTACTGAACCTTATATTGTATATTCGTGCACTATCATGTGCAACAAGAATAAATGTGATCAAATGTTAAAGATTACTGCAAAAACAACAACAATAATACAATAGCGCTTTTCGAATTAGGAATGATGTCTCAAAGTGCTTTATACAGTTAACTTAGGTACCCGACCCCAGGGTGAGGAGGTGGGGGGGGTAGAAAAGTGACCAAAAGTATAGTCGAAAACACAGCTACAGTGCTCCTAACTGGATTCTTTAATGAAGACACCAAGTCCAAATGGCATCTCTGGTAACTGGAGGTGTAACATGTATACCCATCATGTGATCATTCAGTCACTGAGCATGGACACAAAGCTAATGATCAGCTTCATCAATATTCCTCATGCTTCGAATCCCATTGACATGGATTTGGGTAGAGCAATGTGTGTTATAACAGGGGTCAGCACTCTCGGACATTATCTTATGTGAAGAGTGCTATATGAAAGCAAGCTATTGTAGTCTATAACTAATGACAAGATGAACTTAAAGACTGAAATTAAAAAGTTCCAATCGGCTGATTCATTACTGAAATCCTGAGTACTTACCTCAGGGCCAGATTCTCCAAAATTTCCTCGAGAACCTGGTGGCCCGATAGGCCCAGAGGCACCAATATATCCTTCTTTACCAGGAGGACCAACTGGTCCAACTGATCCCTAAAAAAACAAGGATTAATACATTTCTAGTTTGTGGCATTGTGTAATTGCATAGACTTTCAGAAGTTTGAAAACTATGAGATTAATATGATAGGAAATGATGTTAAACATGATTGCAGCTCAGTAAATAACTTAATATACAGGTTTTAAGAGATAACATTACTGGCAATTTTCACTGATTTTATAGTTGGAGACATTGCCGTAAACTTACTCTGGGACCAAATGGCCCTTGAAGACCAGGACCACCCTGCTGACCTGGGGTACCCTAACAAAGAAAATTGAGATCTGGTTAGCATATCTGACAATATGTGATAATAATAATAATAATAATAATAATAACAGCAACAATAACAATAATAACAATAATAATAATCCTTGCATTTGATGTAGTGCTTTTCACATCTTCTGGATGTTTTAAAGCGCTTCACAGAATAGACTGTAAAGTGAATTGACTGTATATTTGTGGGCAAAATGAGGCAGCCATTTGCGCACAGCAGTGTCCCACAGACAGTCGTGGATTGAAATGATATTATTGTTTTTTTTTGAGGGATTATTATCAGGTGCGTGGAGTAAAGAAACTTGCCCAAGGTTTCACCCTGCCGGGAATCGAACCCAGGTCTCTCACTTGCAGAGCGAGTGCTCTAACCACTGAGCTCAGGACTCCTCATGTAATGCGATAGATTGAACAAGAACACAATTAAGGGATAAGAAAGATGTTGAGGCCTTTGTTGCAAATGCTTTTTTGGTGCAACAAAAAGAAGGGTTTCTACTTAAAGCAAAATATTTCCAGCGAGTCATTCAGTTTAGACTTAATACATTTTATTACAAAATTTAAAAACAGTTTAGTTTAGTATATCCTGTGAAGTGCTTTGAGACATGTCGAAGACGTGATACGGTGCTATATCAAATGCAAGGATTATTATTATATATATTAGACGTGTCTGTTGCATTTTAGCTACTTACAGGGGGACCAGGAAGGCCTTGTAAACCAGTAAATCCACGATGACCTTTCTGACCTCGGTCACCTGAAACTCCTCCTTCACCTTTATCACCCCTGGGACCTTGAGGACCCTGCGAAGATAAAACCAATCAGTTTCATTGATGAAATATCAAATAATTTTGCATTTTTATAACATTTGAACGATAAATATCTCAGCAGAAGTTCTGGTATAAGTTTTGTAAAATCACGTGCACCTAAATTAGTTGACCATCAAAGTTGGGCAGCATCTGGATTCAAATCCCAATTGATCCATTCACCTTTTCAAGGTGAATGAAATAACCAGAAATGAAGCTCTCACGTTGTTTAAGAGCAGCCTTATTGATGGAGTGTTAAGCATTTTCTTTCAGTGTCACACTGTGCAAAAAATAAATCTACAGAACCAGTCAAGCCTGGAGATAGAAGCTTCCATGGAACCATTAGCACTCCAAGAGATTTGTCTCTTCTAAACAATTTCTGCCAATGCTTTTCTAAAATAGTCTTTAGTCTAAGGAGGATTCCAATTTTGGCACTGCAATACGAATGCACAGTATTTTCTTGATCTGTACCTGAGGATGGGTTAACTGCTCTAATTACTTTGATAATATGTGAAATGTCTGACTCATTTATATCTTCAATCTGCCAGTTTACAAAACCCCTGCAGCCTACTGGTTCAAAGATCTCTACTTGAATTTGCTTATGTTCATTCCTATAAAATGTCCAGACCACATTAGTCTCTTTCTCAGACGGATCTTGTTCAGTAATATTTTCTCTTTAATTTAAATTCTTGCCTTTAAACCTTTGCTGCCAGTTTCTTTTTATTGCTTGCATAGACCATAGATATCAAAGACATCCAACAGTTTTCAACCGCCTTTGCTGTGGTAATCTTTTAATTCTATTCTGCTTGTTTTTTTTGTATTCAACCGGTCTGGGATTTGTTTTATTGACTCAGCTTTCCTTTCACCATGAACAGTTCTACAGATACCTATGAAGGCTGGATGGAGTTGCCTGTGAAGTTGAAAAGGGGGGACTTCTAATTGCAACGAAGATGTATACACTTCCTAATCTGCTCTTTTTTAAAACTGTTATTCTACACTTTTACTCTTCGCTATTGAAATGATAACACATTGAATATATAGTTACTTTAAGTTAATATACTTCAAGGTTCTGTGGGAAAATAATGTTAACCACTCATACAAGTATTTGGCCAGCTAAGATTGACCCACGGACATTGGCTCACAATTTGAGAGGGTAACTACATCTCCAACCCACATTGATGAGCCAGTTAGGCGGTTGACAGAGCCTTGGATTTCTGCTGACCTGCCTTGTTTCAAGCCCCGGGAAGATCTTGCTTTCCCCCTCCAACCTTCACTCTGACAATATTAGTTATTTGCTTGCATTAATGCACATTTATGAAGATCAAATCATATTCTATCTTAATGTAGGCTTATCCTATCAATAAATTAATATAGCAACCAAAGCAGAGTATCCTCCTCCACTTTAGAAAAATAGCAACATAGAAAGCTACAGCACAAAAGGAGGCTATTTGGCCCAATGAGTCAGTACCAGCTCACAGAGCAAGGAGATCACTTCAATCCCACTGCCCCTCCTTAATCATACTCTTTCAAGCCCCTTTCTTTCATATGACTGCCTACGTCAATGAAAGCTTCAATGGACTTTGCTTCTACGACCCTACCACTCTGCCTTTAAAGTGAACCAAGAGGTTTTGACTGAAGGGCAAAATGGAAAACTGGAAGATATACAGAACGAGTTTCATGGTATATTCAAAATTGTTAAACAAACAACTTACTGGCAGGCCACGAGCCCCAGCTCGACCCGAAGGGCCCAATGGGCCACGAGATCCCTTTGGGAAAGAAAAGGGGGAAAAACATTTAGTTCTGCCACGCAAGAGACTCTGACATCTATCTATGTGCCAAGAATGTCAATTTGTTCTATTTGTGTGATGAATGTATCCACAATTTGTAACATTTCATAGCATTGACTACAACGTACTTGGAACGTCTTTCAGTAAATAACTGGGCCTCATTAAAGATTATTTTAGATCTTGATTTTTAACATGAATGTGATGCGTGTGTTTCTGAAGTACTTTAGATGTGGAGGCATCTTAAGTGAAATTGAAATTGATAAGCTCATAGGCATATTATAAGAATTATAATAGCTGTCTTCTTTCGTGATGAAAAGGGCCAAACCTTTAGCGCATTAAAAAACTATCAATGTTGAGCGAATGCCAGTCAATACTGGGATTTCAATTGTGCAGCCAGAAAAGTGGGTTTCTCAATAAAACCACAGGGATTTCCCACACAATGCTCTATTATTTTGCTGATGATTCAGTGACCACTTGCCAAGGTTTCTCAGGCTCTGGATTGGGTGCACATACAGAGTAAACACTCCATGAAGACTTTTAGACCCATAATTATTTCAAAATCCCCCCAGCAGATCGTGTCCAAGATCTTCATCCTAACCTTTAAATCCCTCCATGATCTTGTCCCACCCTATTTCTGTGACCTCCTCAAACCCTACCAACTCGGCTGCTCTCTCAGTTTAGTTGCCTTTGTGGAGTCCTGTAGCTCAGCGGATAGGGCACTCGCCTCGCAAGCAAGAGACTTGGGTTCGATTCCCGGCAGGATGAAACTTTGGGCAGGTTTCCTTACTCCACATGCCTGTTTACCTAGCAGTAAGTAGGAACCCAGTTGTTAGTCGATTGGCAGATCGCTTTTCTGGGGGTAATGATTCCTTCAAAAAAATAATAATAAATTGGTCACTCAATCTATGAGTATTTGTGGGACACTGCTGTGCGCAATTGGCTGCCGCATTTCGCCCACAAAACACAAAGTCAATTCACTTTACAGTATATTCTGTGAAGCGCCTTGAGATGTCCTCCCAATATGAATGGCGTGAAATAAATGTAAATTTGTACAGAATTGCACTGCATTGTAAATTATTTCCAAACTTCCCAGTTCCTGTCTACTTTGCTGTATTATCCATTACATTTGGGTAGAAATAAATCAGGCATAATAGTTTCAGCCCACGATTATAACACAGTGCGAAACCAGTCTGAGAGCACTCCAAGATCCTAAGGGCGCTACATAAATGTAAGTTGTTGTTATTGTTTCAAAAAGAAATACTTACCGTTTGACCTCTCACACCTGCCTCCCCCGTTGGACCAACGGGACCCGGGGAGCCGGGATTCCCCTGAACACCAGGGACACCTCCAGGTCCAGAATCACCACGATCTCCCTTTGCACGAAAAATAGCAATCGTTAGTTTACAATCATAGGAACATAGGAAATGCTAGCCGAAAAACGACCAAGGTCCATCTAGACTGCCTTCTACCAGTCAAGAATGGAGATGTTGATAGAAATTAATTCTGTATGGATTTATCTATATTGGGACGCTCTTCCGACATGAAAGGTACTATACAAATGTAATTCTGCATTGTATTTACCAACACAGTGGAAAGCTTTGGGAACCTTCGATCCGAGCAATAAAAAAAATCGGTAAACGTTCTTTATTATGTGTGAGGCGTGCCGAAAAAGGCGCAGAAATAAAAGGCATTTGGGAGTTCATGGTACATCCTCCTGAAGTGAAAGGTGCCATACAAATGTAATTTGTTCTTCATGTTCCTAAACTGTGAAGACAAGTTGTTTATTTACCAGCTCGCCTGGACGTCCATCGCGACCCGTAGGCCCATCAACGCCTTGGCTTCCCTGAGAATAAAGCCATCAGTTGGTTAGTGAGGGAAAGGCACAAGAATGAATGGTGTCAAGTCCAGTGAAAATCTTTACTAGACATTTCACAAAAGAAAATTGCTGAAAGATGGGATTTGGCTATAGTTGGATCTTTAATCTTCAACCACGCCTTTGGTCACCCTCCTCCCTCTACACTCCACGCCCTCCAACCCTTCTGATCCCAACCACCATCTCCCTACCACCAGCTCTGACTGTCCAGCGCCTTGGGACATCCTCTTGACGTGAAAGGCTCTGTAAGAATGTAATTTGTTGTTGTTGTTTACTTACATCTTGACCGGGTTCACCAGCGGGTCCGTGTGCACCAGCAGGACCAACAGGGCCCGAAGGACCTCTTTCACCAGGAGAACCAGTTGGCCCTTGTTTTCCAGGTTGTCCCTAAGAATTCACAAAACCTTATCAAAATGAGTTGTGCTATTTCTTTTAGAGTACGATGCTCAAGATACGCACTGCAGCAAACTCTAAAGAAAATATGAGGTTTGAAGTCCAGACTCTGAATACAGGATGCAGGAGTATTCTCGGCCGATGAATTCTTAAGCAAGAATATTTTCTAGCAATGTTTACTTGAAAGGCCAAACCTCCAGAGAGGGGCATATTTTTGACAATGTGCCTTCATACCGCTAAACAAATTGAAAGATTCTCTTTAAATTATTCATAAACATTACCATTTTATAAAATGATCAAGCTCATCCCCCTCCCACTCCCATCCTCCCCCCTCCACGCACACGCAAAAAAAAGGCTGAGATGATAACTATATAAGTAAGTAAAAGCCTGCAAGGCATTTGGTCAGAAAAATGAAATGGACTATGGTTTCATCTTTGATATTCGGACAACCTGTAGCCTGCAGGACTAAACCTTGGGCAAGTTTCCTTACTCCACATGCCCGATAATAATCCTCAAGAAAAAAAAATTATTTGGTCACTCAATCCACGACTGTTTGTGGGACACTGCTGTGTGCAATTGGCTGCCACGTTTCGCCCACAAAAATGCACTCAATTCACTGTGGAGTCCTGTAGCTCAGTGATTAGAGCACTCGCCTTGCAAGCGAGACACCTGGGTTCAATTCCAGGCAGAGGGCGAAACCTTGGGCAAGTTTCCTTACTCCACACGCCTAATAATAATCCCTCCAAAAAACAAAACAATAATAAATTGGTCATTTTCAATCCACGACTGTTTGTGGGACACTGCTGTGCGCAATTGACTGCCACGTTTCGCCCACAAATATAGTCAATTCACTTTACAGCATATTCTGTGAAGCTCTTTGAGACATCTAGAAGATGTGAAAAGCGCTATATCAAATGCAAGGATTATTATTATTAACAGTATATTCTGTGAAGCGCTTTGAGACATCTCGAATGCAAGGATTATTATTATTTTCCACATGCTACGACGGGAGAAGCACTGTGTCAGATCAAAAGCGACTTGGCATAATCAAGTTCCGCGTTCCACATAAAGCACCAGATTTTGAAAATTAGAAGGTAAAAATCGTTCACCCACTAAGTGTAGCAGCTTTAAATAACATGTACTTATAATGTGATTTTTCCTTTAAAAATGCACGTCATAAAAGTCACAGCACGTACCCACAAGTCATGGATTTTTTGCCTAGGTATCTGTCATATGTTACATTTGAGTGAGGTATACAATAGCACGGAATACCCCCACGACTACTTAAGACGTCAATCACAATTTTGTGTTGTTGTTTCCCATCCTGAGCAACCGTTTAAGAAACCCAGCTTCTGTAGCGGCTCAACAGGCAGATCTTTAAAAGGTCAAATTGTAATGAGTGTGAAGTATAAGGAGACAAGGGTTGGTGTTAAACAACAGTAGAATTCATTGTTGTTTTCAGACGATATGGGATTTCCACAGCTTCGGAAACCTTATGTTTGGAACTGAAATTGCAATGCCTTCAAAGGTAAAGAAGACAGTGAGGTAATACTCACTCCTGGGCCTGGGAGGCCAGGCATTCCTCTTTCCCCACGTTGGCCAGGCAGACCTACACTACCTCTTTGTCCAGTCGTACCTTGAGGACCTGGAGGACCATCTGGACCCTGTCAAATAGTAACACAAATACACCATAAACGTTACAAATTGTTGTACGATTATGCAAGCCACATCAAAAAAAGAACACAGGGTTGTCATGGCCGGTGCAGCTGCATCTTACGCTTCCTGGAACAACTTCTAAAATGGCTGTGAGCAGGCTGGTTACATCATGCTGTCTGAACACTAAAACTGACAAAGCTAAGGTTTTCAGATTTCCAATGTGACCAGTTTGGCCAATAAAGCATTCCGTTGGGTTTTGCCTGAAAACAGGAAGCAGTCCTCAAGTACCTACAAGCGTTTTATAAGGGCTGCATGCAGCATTCTTCTGGTGTGTTTATATCACGAACATGTATGTCACAGTCACAAGGTATGAATTACTGCAGTAATTAATCTGGTCTGGTGCACTGTTTATCTAGCAACCTGTGTGGAATCTCAAATCACAAATAGGATGCGGTTAGCCTCAAATAAAATGCTGTGATACACACTGATGACAATTCAAATCACGCACACAAACAACTTATGCTCACATACACGTGTGCGTGGACAATAAACAGGAAAGTAATTGGGTGTTTTTGGCTCTGCAGTACTTTGTATACTGTTCCTTACTCACTTCAAGCACCCAACCTTCTTTATCAAGATAGTCAACTAAAATCATAGAGAGGGCAAACCCATCACCTTAGAAAGAGGGAGGACAATTAAAACTTTTTCAGGCGCTGACAGCATCAGCATCCAAGGCTGCACTCTCAACCTCCCAAAGCCAGTCAGGAACCTCGGGTTTCTGTTCGACCCTGAGCTGTCCTTTCTCCCTCATATCCGCGCCACAACTGGCACCGCCTTCCATCACCTCCGGAATATCGCCAGACTACGGCACTACCTCACCCCTCACGCTGCTGAAACTCTGGTCCACGCCTTTATCAACTCAAGGCTGGACTATGGGAACTCTCTCCTTGCCGGCCTTCCCGGCACCTCCCTCCACAAGCTGCAGGTCATTCAGAACTCTGCAGCTCGTGTACTGTCCCGCACCAGGCTTCGGGAACACATCACTCCCACCCTCGCCCTCGCTCGCCTCCACTGGCTCCCCATCCCCCAGAGGATCGAATTCAAGATACTCATCCTCACCTACAAGGCCATTCACGGCCTCGCTCCCTCCTACCTCTCCGACCTACTATCCCCCTACCTACCTGCCCGTACCCTCCGTTCCTCTGGCTCCGGTCTGCTCCACGTCCCCCGCCCCAACCGCCCTACCATCGGTGGCCAGGCCTTCAGTTTCTCAGCCCCCAGGCTCTGGAACTCTATCCCCCAGTGCCTTCGCCGCCTCCTCCCTTTCCTCCTTCAAGGCCGGTCTCAAGACCTTTCTCTTTGACCGTGCCTTCAGCTCCCCTCTCGACTCTCTACCCCCTCCTCGCCCCCTCCCTTCCCTCCCCTCACCCTGACCATTTCCCCCCTGCTCGGGTCCTGACCCAACTGTACAGTGCCTTGGGACGTCGTCCTGACGTGAAAGGCGCTCAATAAATGGAATCTTGTTGTTGTTGTTACTGCGAAATATATTTTTTAAACACTTCATCTTGTTACCAACTGCTCATTTTCACTTTATTGATATTTATATGTTATGAGCATTTTAATATGTGTAAATTGTCTGTAATTCCATTGGATTACTTACAATAAAATAAATGGAATGAATATTAGTAGAGATGTTCACATCTTCAAATAAGACATTATTGCATGGATGCAGAATTTTTAATTATAAACTGGATTTGAAATATCTTTTCAGCAGAATATCAGCAGAAATACATTTGGTGAACCTAAATAGATTATATGCCATTTATGTAGGTTAGCTAAGACAGCAATAGGATCCTCACCCTTGTTGGTAAAAACTGAGAATCTCTAATGCTTTGATCATTGTCGTTCAATGTTATTTCTCCAGTTGGATTTGAAATTCTTAGTGCATGAAGTCACTCAATGTCTGTTGAGTCACATTGGCTGCGCTGATAGGAGGTCAATGCTACTGTATTGTAATGTCACCGGGTGTTGTATAAAAAATGTTTAAGAGTTTTACTGAACAATGGCTCACTTTCTGTTTGCCAGATATTGACTGGCAGAATGAGTACAGTGAACAAAGCTGGAACATTGAGATTAGATTGTCACTTTGTCATTGATCATGGCGGATAATGAAAGCTCAGGCGTTTCTCTCACTCTTAATTACTAAAAATCAGGCTCATACGTGCTGATTTCAAACAGGATTCCTAAATAAAAGTTCTGATCTGGGACTCCTTATGTAACTGAAGCTCAGCTCTGAACCCTAATTGTGCCGGAAAGGAATTCCCAGGAATAGACAATTAGCACTACCAGTTTCCATGTTACAGAATCACTTTAAAAATAGTCACATATTAAGCCCATAACATGTAGGAGATGTATTTTGGTTTAAGGTACACCTTTATGAAAGTAATGTAAAAATAAATCAACAAATGGATAGTTGGAGGTTTAGCATTGTTTTCTTTGGCTGTGGAGGCCTACTGTTTCTAGTGCCTGCTGTGGACTTTACTGGCACAGAATTTTCTCAGCTTAGACAGCTCCAAAAAGGCCCCGAATAGATGCCGATCTTTCGGATCTCCTACTGAGCCACTCACTAAAACTCCCATAACTGATGTCAACTGAATGCCTCCTGTGCAGCTGCGAGAGCCAAGAACGCAGGCAAGAAGAACTGTGTCAAAACTACAAGCTACGACATGAGATACTTCACCTCAAAAATGTTCTCGTTAATGAAACTGGGGAACACTTGAAATTGAAAGTACTCCCATCTATATTTTCTTTCTCTTAATCTGTTTCTTGTCTTATTATGTGCATTTTTTCATTATGCTGATGTGGACCAAAAATAAAACTCTCTTTTTACATGGAGTCATAAAACACGGTATTCACAGCTGTGGGCAAATTCACTTGACTTAGCTCTTTCTGCTATTAGTCTATTTTAATGGTTGTGAAACTGAACGACTTGGCTGCTGCAGCTACAAAACGTTGTGTAAGCCAATCCACAGTATTGCATTCATACCACAAATAAAAATTAAGTTTACATATACCTGTATTATTTTAAACAAGGAAAAAACAATCATTAAGACAGTGTAGATAACCACTCTTTGATGATGTTTTTAGCATTACAGAGTAGTTCGGAGCAATTGGCAACAGATTTTATATAAAGGTGGAAAGGTCCTATTCCATACTACTTACTTATTGCTCTACAATATCTGTTACAGATTTATAATGGAACTCAAATGAGCACTCAACATCCATGCATTTATTGTTCAATACAACTGCTGGACAGAGATAACTGACAACTCAGAAAAATAAATCAGTTGGGAGATCATGTAAGTTTCAAAGGGGTAATGGCCTATGTATATTTCAGCTATATTGTATGTTCTCCAATACTAAAAGAGCACCACTTGCCATTAGGACATGCATTGCTTTAATGCATTGGAATAAGAAGACTACAATGTGTTTTACCAATTCTAGTTTCATTGTTTCTCTGTGCGTGTTTTGTTTTCTGAGCGTCTGCTTGTACTTACTGTGGGGCCATCGTCTCCAGGATCACCTTTATCACCAGGGCTACCACCTGACCCAGGAGGTCCATGATCCCCAATCTTTCCACGAGGACCAGTGTCTCCTCGCAGACCGGGAAAACCTTCCTTTCCAGGCGCCCCTAAAGGACCCGCTGGACCAGGGTCACCCTGACCAATAGAAAAGAAAGCTCAATTACCAATCTTTCATTGGCTGTTTAATGCAGCAACTTTGACAATGTATCTGTGTATAATGGGAGCTTCTGGCTCATTATAATGGGGCTTCCCTTCAGAAGTGCACATTATCTTTATCATTTCTTTACCCATGGGATAACTAATAACTGGAAAATGTTACCAGGAAGGCTGTTTGAGGCCTGGAAGTTGGAGTTATTTACAAAACATCCCGGGAAAGAGGTTGGGAGGGTATTTTGAAAGGATGAGCTAAAATGGTCCAAAGTGCCCTCTTCATCCAGATCATAGAATCATAGAATTATACAGCACAGAAGGAGACCATTCGGCCCATCGTGTCTGTGTTGGCTCTTTGAAAAGAGCTATCCAAATCAATCCCTTCCCCCGCCCTCTTTCCATAGTCCTGCAAACTTGTCCTCCACAAATAATTATCTACTTCTCTCTTAAAAGTTGTTATTGAATTGGCTTCCACCACCCTTTCAGGCAATGCATTCCAGATCTGAACAACTCGCTGTGTGAAAACATTTCTCCTCACCTCCCCTCTGTTTCTTTCAACAACTATTTTAAATCAGTGTTTCTCGGGTTACCCACCAGTGGAAAAAGTTTCTCCTTGTTCACCCTATCAAACCCCTCATATTTTTGAAAACTTCTAGTAAGTCTCCTAGCTTCTCTAGCTTCTCCTGATAACTGAAGCTCCTCATTTCTGGTACCATCCTGGTAAATCTCCTTTGCACCCTCTCCAATGTCTTGACATCCTTCCTAAAGTGTGTTGTGCCCAGAACTGAACACGGTACTCTAGCTGAGATCTAACCAGTGTTTTATAAAGGTTCATCATAACTTCCTGACTTTTGTATTCTATGCCCCTGTTTATAAAGCCTAGTATCCTGTATGCCTTTTTAACAGCTTTATCTACCTGTTCTGCCACCTTCAAAGATTTACTTATATGAACCTCCTCTCTGTTCCTTCACCCCCTTTAAGATTCCACCATCAGCTTATATTACCTCTCCTCATTCTTCCTCCCAAAATGCATCACTTTACACTTATCCGCATTAAACTTCATCTGCCACGTGTCTGCCCATTTTACCAGTCTGTCTATGTCCTCTTGCAGTCTGCTACTATCCTCCTCACTGTTTACTACTTTTCCTCGCTTAGTATCATCTGCAAACTTTGAAATTATACTCCCTATACCCAAGTCCAGATCTCTTATGATCTCACATATGATCAAAATTGCTGTACTTAGAAGGGAGAGAGATGTCACCCCGAAGCTGTTCTGAAATGATCGTTACTTACGGGGGATCCAGGTGGTCCAACTCTACCTGCAGGTCCAGGAAATCCGGTGGGCCCCTGTTGATGTAAGAAGAGCATTGTTATAGGTAAGTGAGCATCCAAGCCAAACATGCATTTCAATAATCCCTCTTTCAACTATATTGTTAAACATTTCTGCAATCAACAAATAGTAGGTATAATTATCATAAATTGTGTGTGTGTGTGTGTGTGGTGGGGGCGTGACATATTATATTGTACGATGCTTAAGGTAACCTTGTTTTAGTTCAAGAGTCTTTCCCCCCCATCAAGATTATTCCTATTCTACAGAATATCTTTTTTTCCCTGAATAGTCAAACCTAGATTTACAGCATATACCTCAATTATTTTGCTTCAGAGGACTACTCCATCCTCGTCCACCACCTCTCCTCTCACCTCAACCTTCAAAGTTCTGTTCTTGAATGGTTCAAATCTTATCTCTCACATCGTCTCCAATTTGTCTCCGTCAACAGTTTCTCTTCCAGCCCCCACACAGACTCATGCGGTGTTCCTCAGGGCTCTGTCCCCAGTCCCCTCCTTTTCAACTTCTACGTGCTCCCCCTTGGTGACATCATCCGCAGACATGGGGTCAACTTCCACATGTATGCGGATGAAACCGAACTCTATCTCTCTGCCTCCACCCTCGATTCCAGGACAACTGATGTCCTGACAGACTGTCAGTCTCTCTGCCCCCACCCTTTGGAACTCCATCCCACAATTCCTTCGCCTGGCTCCCTCCTTTGCCTCCAACATGGCATGCCTCAAGTCCCTCCTTTTCGACCATGCCTTCAGCCGCCCTCCTATCTCTCTGCCCTCCCTCATCCCAACCCTACACCCTCCCCCCATGCTCAGGTCCTGGTCCCCGACTGTTCAGCCCCTTGGGATGTCCTCCCGACGTGAAAAGCGTTTACAAATGTAATTTTGTTGTTTGTTGTTGTATGATAAAATCCCCAACTCATGTACGTGTTAACCCGAAGATAAATCCATGTTACTTAAAACTACTGACAATTAATATAGATAATACGTAAAGAAAAAGCAGATTAAATTATTTAATAGGGGGTAAAAAATATGCATCTTGAAAAGTATACTTACAAGTGGCCCCTTGGTACCACGACCACCTTTTAGACCTGTGACACCACTAGGACCCTTGAAAAGGAATTAGAAACATGTAAAATATATGTTTTTACAGTCCCACATCATTGAACTCACAGACTAGGTTGATTCTCCAACATAGTGCTGGGGGAGACCGGAATGTTACAAGAGGAGTCTTTCAGCTCAGGTATAAACTAACGTCCCATCAGCCTGTTCAGGTGGATGTTAAAGATCCCATAACAATACTCAAAAAGAGAAAGGAATTTCTTTCCGTCCCGATCAACAAACTCCCAGGTAAAATCGATCATGTCACTTTATGGCTGTTTGTGGGACATTACTCTGCCCAATTTAGTTGCCCACAAAATACAGTTACTACACTTTACAATAAATCCTGTGAAGCACTTTGGGTACGTCTTTCTGATGTGAAAGTCGGTATAGTAAATGTAAGGATTATTTACATTACAATCCACCACCAAGTAACCAATTCTATGTTACTTACTGGGGGGCCAGGAGATCCTGCTAGACCTTGTGGGCCTGGAGAACCAGCATCACCTTTCTGACCAGGCTCACCGGTCTCACCTTTAACTCCAGGCTGACCATCAGCACCCTGTTTGAAGCAAATTTACTCATTTAGTAAGTAGACATATTGCTAAAATCCAAAAAAAACGTTTGGTGGAAAGTGAACAGTGTTATCGAGATTTCTCCAAATGTAGTATATTTATGCCACAGATATTACTTTCAAAACAGCAGGGGAGATACTTTATTAAAGTTTCCTTATTAGATTTCTCCCACATGGCTTCAATGACTTTGTTACCTTTCATATGTTCATGACATGTAATACCAGCTCAGCTCTCTACAGCTTAACTCCCATCTTAAACTGTAGAATTATATTGGAAGCATAAAGTTTACTGAATCCAATGAACAAGAACTCCACAATCCAATCCTTATGTCACTTTTTTATAGATTAGGCAGGCTTCCTCGACAATTGTATAACCTTTACTTGTCATGCATCTTCTACATGTCCTAGACTGAGAGTCATGTTGTAATTCACAGTAATTGTTACATTTCACAATACCCTTACAAACCACGCAGCAAACATACAGGCTCAACTTTGAAAACTCAATGCTGTGCAGCTAGTGCAACCGTTTACAAAGCAGCTATTGGAAGTCACGATTATTCGCTACGTGAAATGAACGTTAAGAGATGACGTACAGGCGATCCCGCAAATCCGGCAGCTCCAGTGGAACCAGCCTCGCCACGAGACCCCTAAAAAAGAGATTGAAGTCATTTTCCCTCATATTATCTTTTCCTCATATTATACAATTTATAAACCTCATAACAAATGAAACAATTATTCTTGTACATTTAGAAATGTTTTACTTACAGGAGATCCACGGGAACCCAGAGGACCAGGTGGTCCGCTAGGACCAGGTTCACCCTGAAAAACAAAAACAAATCAATTGCAATCTGTTATGAATAAATATACTGACAGTGACATTCATATTAAAGCACAGTCACCTCGCTTTGCAATGAACTGGACTTCTGATACCAGGAATTATGTGAAAATGAGGTTCGTTCCATGGCAATTTACCTTTTCCCCAGATGGACCAGAAATACCAAAGGGACCAGGAGCACCAGGGAGACCCTATTACAAATGCACAGAGAATAAAAATCATCAACGAACATCCAACATAGAGAGAACAAATTAATAATTGTATTCCCGATCTCTCTTTTATTTCTATAAATTTAACACTTCAATCCCATTTGACTGTGAACAGTGAGTAGCAAATTGTGATCAATTTGTTGACAATTTTGCCCACAAAATATACAGTCAATTCACTTTAGAGTATATTCTGTGAAGCGCTTTGAGACATCTCCAAGGCGTGATAAGGTGCTATATCAAATGCAAGCATTATTAATATTATCAATGTGCTCGAAATCAGCTTTAAATTCAGAAACGGCAAAATCCAGATTAAAATTGGTCTACTTACTCGAGCACCATCATTCCCAGGATTGCCTTCAGCCCCTTTCACTCCAGGAATACCCTGTTGAGGCAAAGACAAATTTGTTGGACAGAAGTACCTTAAACACAATATGGTGTAGAGGTCTAATGTAAATGGCTACTTACTCGATCACCCTTAGAACCTAAAGGCCCAGCAATCCCTCGCTCCCCTGGCATACCCTGCAGCCCCGGAGGTCCCAGATCTCCGGTAGATCCCGTTGGCCCAGTAAGACCCTAAACTCAAATAAAAAAAATCATCAAATTTTATTTCTCTTACAATCGAACCTCACCATAACAAACCCTGCTTATAACAATCCTTCTACCCCTACCCTCTCTGCCCTCCACCTTCCCTAATCGCAACCCCTGCTACTCGGGTCCTAATCCTTAATCTCTCACTGTTCACTGCCTTGGGAGACTACCTCCCGACGTGAAAGGTGCTTTACAAATGTAATTTTGTATTGTGTTGGTTTAAAGGAACCCAACGGCAAGACCCGATTTTTGCACCCCTTTGACGGCCAAACCCTAGTATAACCGATATAACAATCTTTTCTTCCAGTCCTGAGGGCGTTCGTTATAGTCGGGTTCGATTGCACTCGCTGCAATTTGTTTATTTAACTAAAAAGATATTAAAAGAATTCAAGCCAACTTTCAGCAGATTTGATTGATAATTAATGGATACTGCAGTCATGCAACATTTCATTCGAGAATCATTAAAAACTCAAACCTCGTTATAAAGATCTGCTAAACATTTGTATGGAGTCCTGTGGAGACCTGTAGCTCAGTGGTTAGAGCACTCGCTTTGCAAGCGAGAGACCTGAGTTCAATTCCGGGCAAGACGAAACCTTGGGCAAGTTTCCTTACTCCACACGCCTAATAATAATCCCTCCAAAACCAAAACAATAATAAAAATTGGTCATTTTCAATCTACGACTGTTTGTGGGACATTGCTGTGCGCAATGGCTGCCGCGTTCGCCCACAATATACAGTCAATTCAGTTTACAGTGTGTTCTGTGAAGCGCTTTGGGACATCCTCTCGACGTGAAAAGCGCTATATCAAATGCAAGGATTATTATTATTATGGTGTATATCTGATGATCAATATAATAATGGCTCGAAACCCCCCCAAATAAAAATCCCCATGAAAGCAGTGAAAGTACAGTTAAAAAATCGACTGGGGGGCAAAGAGTGGTGAACATTACCTTTGCTCCATCTTTGCCAGCTGCACCAGCTATGCCCCTTGGCCCCTGCAGACCACGGGTCCCAAGTGTGCCACGCTCGCCTGGAATGCCACGTTCACCCTGAAAGAAAATTCATACAATATCAGCTCTGCCTTGGGTTATGCCCTATTACAATCACGCACTTCACAGTTAAATACAGTTGGACTTACCCTTGGTCCCAGCGGGCCGAGAGGACCGAGGTCGCCTGGGATACCCTGTCAAGAGATAAGTTCAAAGAAATAATGTGAGAACGTTTGTACTTTAACATCTGCATTTCTTTTGTGACGCCCCCCCCCACCCGAAGAAAACTATTAGGTAATTTTGGTAACCTCTAAACGTACAGATAAAGAGAGTTGGAGCTCACAAGATGTTGTACAAGCTCTGCTGGTCAGTTTATATTGATGATGTGATCAAAGTTTTATTGTGAACTGTGTCCATAATCAATGTAAGACAGAAATAAGATGAAAAAGAAACAGATCGAGGTTAATTTATGCCACAGACCAAGAACTGGTGTGTGAAGCCGGCAAACTCAAAGCTCAGGGGACAGTCAATTGTGTTCCATAGCGTACAAAAGGATATGGTTTCAGAAACATTCACAAGATCACAAGAAGGGTGAAGAAGGCCCTCAGGCCTATCTGATCTCATCCTTCCCGAACAACCACTCTACCATCCTCTCATCACAGCATCAAACTGCGATTAACATACAAGTCACTGCAAGAATATGAATAAAATCTCAAGACTAGAAAAACAATCAAAAGACTACGACTGGATGTTTATAGTCAAGCTTCAAGGCATTTGGAAGTGGAAATGAAGGAAACTTGAGTATGATTTATATGACTCTGTCATAGTCACTCATAAATTGCTAAAACTTAGTTAATAAAATTGTGTTCAGATCCACAGACATGAAATAATTGTGTGATCATAACTAAGAGGTTGCTATTCATTGCCATATAATATCCCTAGGTGCACTGCAGGATAAATAGAGTTTTATCACAGCTATACAGATGTGAATTTGAGCCAATTTATCTTTTATAACTACCATCCAGGCATCCAAGCATCTACAGAAAAAAAATCAGGTTGAGCTGATCTTTGAGTTTTCTTCTTGACTATTAAATAAAAGGACCAGTGACATTGAATTCCTTTAAATTCCTTTTCAAAACTGTAGTGTAAATGTTGATCTATTCTGATCGACAACATCAAATCTCAAAGACAGACTACTTTAATGTGATGTAGGATCTTGCTAAATGTATCATATAAGATGGTAGTTAAATGGATATTTCAATTGAATCATTCATTGTTGCAGGTTATTTTACATCTGTTAGGTCTTTAAATAATCTACAGTGTCACGTCAAATTTAATTGAAGCACTTTATTTAGCATTTCAACTAGTTTTAAGAACTAGGTATTGAAGCATTAAAGTAGCAAAATGTATTTTCTATGTTACATACACAACAAAGGTGTTAAAGTTTTTTTTCAAAAGATCTGGACTCACATTTAAATGAAGTTATGAACCAAGAACTTTGAATGTACTACCATAGAGTCCATCATTAATGGCGAATAATAGTGATTGCCCACAAGCAGTGGAAAAAGCAAGACGTACATCTACTCTGTTTTATTTAGAAGCTCTCTGATGAATAGACAATGTGTTTTGGCAGTGCTCTGGGACGTTACCCTGCATGAAGGGCGCTAAATAAATGCAAGTTGTTGTTGTGTTTATGATACCATTGAACTCACAGAGCATCTCAAAGCAGTTAACAATGGAGCCAGTGGACATGGAGCAAGACACAGCGAATTTAGTTTGGGTTTTTGAAAACAGAGCTGTCAAGAAAAAAATGTTTTTTTTGAAAAGAGTTGGAAAGGAAGGCTCTGAGTCTGATGGTGCAACCTTCAGAACGATGGGAACAAGTAATAATTTAAGAATTCATCACATTTTTCAGGATTTTAAATGAAATCTCGTCTTACCTCATCACCAGGCTTGCCCGATTCACCAGGAGGCCCAGGAGGTCCTGGCAGACCCTAAAATATTAAGGTTTATTGAAGAGTTACATTTGATGAAATTATAACCAACAAGTGTTTTTTTTTCTCTCTGCCAAGTTAACAGTTAAGTGAGAACCAGCTTTTAGACTCAAAAGTCCAGACTTCAACTTTGCTTTAATTTGGAAATATGCAATTGGAGTCCCGTTTCCCTCTCTGTAAATACTCTCTAGATTTGATTTTGGCAAAAACATTCCGAAATTATTACAACCTATAAAATTTGACATGGCATCATTCTGCAAGGTCATTGGGTATGGAATACTGTGAAATTCAGATAAATGAATATTGGATGATTGAATAGTTATCAGTTAATTAAACAGAATTGAGAGCTCAGTAGAATGAGTCTCCTATAATGTTGAATCTGGTTCATATGAAAAGTTGGGTTTAATGAATAATTCTCACTATCAAAATGAATATTCAATTAATAGTATTTTGCTGTATTTCTAGGCGCCATTTATTCACGTATAACATTTGGAATGGCCGCAATTACTGATAGAGATTCTGTACACGTTTTGAATAAAGCTGCAAATGGAGAAAGCTACATAGACATAGAAACTTTCTGGTGAATCAAGAATTCTAAAGTAATTGGTTGGGCCACATTATAAATCACATGAGTGATTGATGTTGATGAGTACGTTACACACAATTGTGTTTTGTCCAGTTTTGATATTTTCAGGTAAGTGTCCAGACTGCACTTAAAAATTTGAATTATTGCCACACAAATGTTTGCATGTTACAGCAATGCTTCAGAAGATGTATTGGATCAATCATTGTTGTAACAGATGTTTGTTGTACTCACCTGGAAACCTGGTGGGCCAGGTGGACCTTGTTCTCCTCTATCACTTGCTGGACCCTAAGCAAAACAATACATATATGTTTAATGCTTCTTTGCAAATACTGTCATTTTTACAGATCTTTCTTCACGTTGGTAAGGAATGATATTCTGTTACAGCAGTAAGAGCGACGCACAGCAAGTATAGGAGTATCACCTGCATTATTCAAAAAAAAACATATTTCTAATTCAGGAAATGTAAAACAACTGAACCAAATCTTTAGAAAGTCATTATAAAAGTTTGCACTCACCGGTGGGCCAATATGGCCTTGAGGACCAGTCTCCCCATCCTTGCCAGGTATACCCTAATAATAGATCGGAAATAAAACATAGCTATTACCTTGCTATTCTTGTTGAGGCACGTTAAAATGCATTGTGTGAACGTTTAGAAATGCGGTACTTACTCTCTGTCCTGGGACACCAGGTGAACCTCTCTCCCCAGTCTTACCAAAGTCACCCTACAGAATAAAGTACAAAGAAAGCTTTAACACAGCTCACATTTCACACAAGCGCAAACAATTAATCTAGATGAAACAAATCTGCATCAGGACAATTCTCACATAAATTCAGTCTTCCTTATTATTTTCCTTTGAAATTCTAATGTCCTTTTTCCTTGGCTTTTTTAAAAAAAACGTATTGGTAGAATTTTTTTTGGACCATAAGCGCAAAAGCAAAACATGTTTCCACTTTAATTCAAGGAATCAATGGCAACAGCATTTTATTGTAGTTTCAGTTTGTTGAAACTGTGGCTTAAAAACAGTTTGATTCCATAAGAGATCACAGGTTGTCTTATTTAAACTGATCAGGTTAACAAATGAGATGTGAAAAGGAATAAAGTAGCTCTTAGCACTATTTTATATAAACCATGCAAAGTAAAATAATTCATATACTTACACTGTTACCCCTTTGTCCTACTAAGCCCATAGCACCAGCTAGACCTCTTAGTCCTATAGACCCCAATGAACCTGTGCGTCCTTCCTCTCCAGGTGGACCCTTTAAGCAAAAACATGAGCAGATGAGTAAGGAGGGATTTGGTCTATTTGTTCCTTAAATTGAGGTATTTCACTGCTTTTCTTTATCTTATACAGTCAATCCACTTTACAGTATATTCTGTGAAGCGCTTTGAGATATCTCAACGATTAACTAATAATAATAATAATTATTATTATCTTCCCTAAATACAAGCAGACATCCATTGCTATTGGGATTCACCAAATACAACTTCAATTGGTTTCATCTTGGGAACAAGAGTACGCTACATAATATTTTACAAATTTTACTAGCAATACACTAGGTAATTGTAAGATTGGTATTATCTGCAAGAAACGGTTAACACGATTTAAGATTTTTTTACTTAAATTTGAAAATTATAATAGATTAATAATTTATTGAAAAGCTGTTCTGGGTTCAATGACAGAACATGCGATGTGCTGTGCCATTAAATAACTGAATTTCTTTCAAGTTCGCTTCTGTACACGGAGTCAAATATCTCTTGGCGCAACTAAAGCAGTTGCAAAGATTCAGTTCACGCTGGAGTAAATATTTCTCAAGTATTGTGACCTTATTTGGGTTCAAACTATGGTCTAAAACTGCCAATGCCTGAATCATAAATCATATTGACCTTGAACCAAGGTAAAAATGTAAGCAAGACATTTTTAACGTAAATATGGAATTCTTCAGCAATTTATCCAGATATTATTTTACAAGCTTACTGCCTTGCTAATAAAAGACACGCAGCTATCAAGCTGCAAACATTGAATGAAACTGGTCCTTATTTGTCCTGGGGTTAGAGTTGATAATGTAGAAGAATAGAATATTTTCCTCTCCACATAATGTAGCAGCATTTGAGTCCGATTTATGAAGCACAGCAAATGACTTTTGCATATTATTGATCTGGTTGTTTACAAGCAGAGTCGATTTCCAACACATTAATTATTCCAGTTATTGCACCATTAGTTACTCCGAAAAGCAACAGATTGACTAATTAGGGTAGATGTTCTTTTGTGGCTTTCTTTGAGTAATGTCAGGTACTAGCAGGTAATACACCGGATGATGCATCCTCAACGGGTCAAATAGCCCCCTCTACAGCCACAAATGGTACGTTCATAGGTTTGAAAGCAGCAACACAGGACACTGATGTCTGTAATAATAAAGCATGCTCAGTACTTGACTAAAAAACTCCAGCGTCTCAGAAATTTCCTGCAAGTTTTAAGTTCTTTGAAGTTTAGACCCTTGATAACTAAGATTGAGTGTTACTGCCTTTGTACTTGCAGGGTAAAGTCCAGGGACTATTCTAAGATGCTTTTCATTAGAACGAAAATACAAGGCCATTGATTATCATGGCTTTTTCAGCAACATTTTGATTGGAATACATACCGTTGCTCCAGGTTTGCCCTCAGGACCCTGACCTCCTGAGTTTCCTGTAAGACCCTGAAAAATAAAAACATCAATTTAACAGTTAAAGTTTACCAATCCCAAAGACGGATGAAACTGCTTCTCATTGTCTGTACCTTAGATGACCATTATTGTTGAATGTAAAGTTTCACTGATTTTGCAAAATTCTTGAATTCAGACGGTTTTACAAAGATCTTTAAGTGTATGTTCTATATGGTAAACTGAGGAATATAATCTTTGATAATGAAGTTACAATGAACATTTTGCAAACCTTAACAAGTTCCTAATACCAAGGACTGGAAGTTTGAAAATCAGTTTGTGATCATTGTTTTCAAAAAGTGCCATTATAATGCTGACTCCTTGGGACGTCCTCCCAACGTGAAAAGTGCTACACAAATGTAAATTTTGTATTGTATTGTACAATGTACTAAAGCAGTTATGGATAAAGGAGTAAACTACAGGCGTATAGGACAAGGCCAGGTACACGAGACTGAAAGGATGATTTTTTCCAAGAGCCACATTCATTCTTCTGAATTTATCACAATTACCCAAATCCAAAATGTGGCTTCAACGTCCTTAAAAATCATTTGTTTTGATGGTGTTGTATACACTGTTGACATATTATAATACTTTACAGAATTCATTATGCCAGCTCCAGTTTTGTTACCGTTACGAATTTCACAAAGGTCGCCTAACCTGAACAATTAGATGTGTGAGAAAAGCTGGTGTATTTTGTTACGGTTACTGGTAATTTAACTGAGCTATTGTCATGTTCTGGTAAATCTTCTTACCCTTGCACCCGGGAGACCACGCTCACCAAGGCGGCCTGGGTTACCTGCAGCTCCTTTAGGACCCGATGGTCCGGTTATACCACGCTGTCCCTGAGCACCCTATAAAACAGAGTTTTCGTAACCGTTGTTCAATTATGCTTCAAAAAAATCACGAATGCATCATGGTATTCTAGTAGATTTTCAGGTGCTTCTGTCAAAATATGCACTTACCTTTGGACCTGGTAGTCCATCTTGACCTGGAAAACCGCGATTACCTGGGGAACCCTGATTACAAGAAAAAAACAAATTAAATCGTATTCAACATGTCCGGGAAGATGTAACTTTGTATCTTCTTACACAAACTGGTATTACTGACGTTTATCCCCTATCTAACCAGAAGGAACTGATTCACACCAAAGTGCAGTGGTGGGCTTCATTTGGGAAATCCTGAAGATGAAAGAGGGGGAGACGGGATCAAAATGTGGAGGGAGGGAGAGCTGGGGTCCAGAGGGAGGTTGGGAGGGGTTGGTGGCTGCAAGAAGCAGCAGAGCGAATCCCCTCAATTTTAGATTCGAAGAAGTCCAAAATCTCCTCGCATTTGGAGTTAGACGAGCAGATGGCCAAGGCATGGAAGGTGGGCTGAGGAGCTGATTTGTGGTGGAGAAGAGGTTGTCCTAGGATCTTGGAATAGAGGACAATTTGATTAAGGCTGGGGGAGAGCGGTAGTTTTCCAGTCCAGCCAAATCTGGCTGTGTCAGACACCCGGCTGACCAAAAAAAAAAGATCATTATAGGAAGTGGCCCAGAGGGGCAGGAGTTCAGATGACAACATTTGTACCCTACTTAAACCAATTTACAAAGTGAATTGTTATTTTTCTATTAACTAATGTTAACCTATTGGTTGAGATAAGTTCTATTTCTTTGAATATAAAAATGGACTCAACCATATTAAAACATTTTGATGTTGTATCCTAGTTAGTTATTTGAACTTCCGGAATCTATCTGGACAACATATTTATTGCAAATATTGTTTGTGTCATTTATCTTACTCTTTCTCCAACTGAACCTTGCACGCCAATAGTACCAGGATCTCCACGAAATCCTCTCTTGCCTTCTTCACCAATAGGACCGAGCAAACCTTGTGGACCTTGAGGACCCTGGATCAATCAAAATAAGAGTCATTTCTCAGATCTGTAATGTATCTTCCCAGCTAAAATAAAATTATTCCTTATAGACATCAATCCTTTTATTGATTTTCCTTTCAAAGTCTCTTATTTTTTTGTGTGAGATTACTGAAATATTTCTTGTCAAAGTGTGAAAATCTTTTTATTGTATATTGCATCCAAGAATTGACCCTAGGCATCGTCAGTTATTATTGAACAGAAATGATGTGAAGGGTACCACCTCTCTTGTATTCAGTAAAGATCAAGTTGTTTGAAACAAATGTGCTATATTTAATCTTGAATCTAAATACTCAGTTATTTAATAATATGTTCATTTGGCCATAGGCTATCAAATGTCATCCACTGCAACAGGTATGAAAACGAGGTGAAATTGCTTCCTTTTGTCATGCTTTTCTGGAACTAAAATCGGATGTTGAATTTCCTTATGACTTGATCATGCAAAACAAGTACATTCTTTGGAGCTCCATTATGATCCAGCAGTTTGGGTCCATAGCTGGCAATTTGAAACGCTGGCGGAGGCAACCCCCATATTTTGGATTTTTGGGATAAATAAATGTTGGCCGGTCACACCCCAATGTACAGGCATACCCACCTTATAATGAAATGCCTTATTTTAGGGTTCTGCTGTTCCACCTGTCATCATTCACAAAATCCAGGGAATGAAATTCAGTATACAAGACTGGCCCTTCCATTAACTCGCTAAAACTGGGAATGCGCTTCAATTCAAAGTTGAAGCAGATGGTATTTCCATTACATCGCTGATTGTTGCATAGTGAAAAGCACTAAATGCAATCTTATACATCTACAAATACTTCATTTATGTGATCATTAACTATAATTAATAGATCATTGTCATTGTTTCTTTAAGTGGAAAAACTTACAGGCTCGCCCTTAGCACCACTGTCTCCCTTGTATCCCGTTTGTCCTGATTCTCCCTGAAAAACAAAGCTGATATTACAATTCAACAACAAAATGATATTTGTATAGCACCTTTCATGTCAGGAGGATGTCCCAAGTCGCTGGACAATCAGTGTTTTGGACCCGAGTTGGGGCTTGGGATCGGCAAGGGTGGAGGGCAGGGGAGGGAAGGAGGGTGACTGAAGGCACGGTCGAAGAGGAGGATCTTGAGATGGATCTTGAAGGAGGCAAGGGAGGGTGCGAGGTGGTGGGACTGCGGGATGGAATTCCAGATGGTGAGGGCAGAGTGGCTGAAGGCCCGCTCGCCAATGGTGGAGCGGGGGAGGTGGGGGACGTAAAGCAGGTCGGAGTCCACTGAGCGGTGGGATGGTGCAGATTGGTAGAGGGTTAAGAGGCTGCAGAGGTAGGGGGGAACAAGGCCATGGAGAGCTTTGAAGGTGAAGATCAGGATCTTGAACTGTATCCTCTGTGTGATGTGTGATGGGAAGCCAGTGCAGTCAGGTGAGGATGGGGCTGATAGGGTCACAGAGCCTGGTGTTGGAAAAGACATGGGCTGTAGAGTTCTGGATGATCTGTGGCCTATGGAGGGAGGAGTTGGAGAGGCCAGCAAGCAGGAAGTCGAGCCTGGATGTTATGAATGCGTGTATGAGGGATGTATTATCTGAAACAATGCTAAGGTTAACTATTGCTACTTACTCCTCTGCTTCCATCATTTCCTGATCAATGACATCTAATGCTGATAATCTCCCCAATTATCACAGATAACTCTGAAACTGTCCACAAGCTCAGTTGTAAGGTGGCTCAATGACACTCAGTGTCAGAGTACGAATTTACAGTACTATCTCAGGGAGTACAAGAATACAAGTTTGATTTCCCGCTGTGATACTCAACTTCAGTTTGTAAATGGATGCAAGACAGATATTGCCATCGCACTCCAGTCTATCTAAGACTCCATTGGCAGAGACTTGGATAAAGAGTGACAGTCTTTTGGAATCAGAGGCTCCAAGCAAGCAAGACCTTGCACTCTAAAACATTGATTGGATGCACTCCTTTCAAATGTTCTCAACAAATACCCCCATTCAAACAGAGCTGAGTATCTTTTTGAGAATGGCATTGGAGATTACAGGGATATTTATAGGCCGATGTTAATTATTGCATGGGAAAGGGGGGGATTAAGAAGCGATAGAAAACAGTGGAAGAGGCATGAATAGTAGACATGGGGGAATCAGTGAATATTTCAGTTTAACTTGATCATCTTTAGGAAATCTTTAGGTAATATTCAAGAGGGAGAAGGAATTGGAATATGAGACAGGGTGAAGGTTCAAGTGGAGTATACCATACAAAATTACATTTAGATAGCACCTTTCACTTCGAGAGGACATCCCAAGATGCTGGACAGTCAGGGATTTGTATCCGGGGGTGGGGGAAGGGGGTTAGGAAAAGGGAGGGTGGAAGGCACTATCAATTCTGGGGGAGTATAAATCCTGGTGGAGTATAAACCCTATAACTAGTCCTAGTTAAGCTAGATGGTCTGACTCAGTGCTATAGAGTTCTATATAATTAATGCAAATCGTTCCCTTACCATTTGACCTTTAATTCCTGGAGGTCCAGTGTTCCCTTGTGGACCAGTAGATCCATGTGGTCCTAGGAGACCATGAGCACCACTCAGCCCTGGCGAGCCCTGTATATGTTAAAATAATTACATTAAATATTGATGTAATGAACCTACCTCATTTTAAACTACATTGTCTTCTACAATAAAGTATCCCGAAACTCCAAAAGTTTCTCTCTGTAAGATTACCAGTGTTCAGTTTATTGTGAGGATTAAGATGTTTTTTGCACTTTGGGGTGAAAATTAAAATTAAAAACCAATTTGGCAAGTTTAGTAATTTAAATTGTTCAGTACTAGAAATTGCCATAGCACTAGTGGGTAATGGAATTACTTGATGTAGCACTTCTTCTTTTGTATAACTATAAGGATCTACATTAAAATTGCATTTGAACTTGAGATGTTTGCAAAAATATTTGTAAGAAGCAAAACCTAGAGATTTCTAGTTGTGTGCCAAGACAAACTTCTGGAACTCTACTTCAATACCAACCTGAATTTTGATTTCAGTGAAGCTAGATTGCAGCCAAGGAGGCTTATGTGCAAGTAGGAGATCAGTAAGTGAATGGAGTTCCAGGGACATCTCTGAGAGCCTACATAATTTTGCCATTTACGATTCCTTTTTTTGCAAACCTCTCAAATTAGACCCAGATTATATTCATTTCCCTTTTAATGTGGGAGTTTTCTGTTTCCTGTGATGTAGTTTGTTGTGAAACAAATTGTGAACATGCTGATCATTAAAAAAAAACAATGTTTGTTTCAACATTATAAAGGTTAATTCCAGGATAACATTAACTAAAGTTACTTTCAACAACCCACATTATTCTAGACTCTATTGTGTATGTGTACGGGTGACTTCAATGGGTAGAATTAGTTCTCTGAGCAGTTGTGGTTAATTTTATGGACTTGAACCCTAACATATAGTGGGAGTTCAACAATGAGCAGGTGCACTACAGAGAAGAAACGTCATTACTATGTAAGGTGATGGGTTTTGTTAAAAACTTACAGTTGGGCCTTTAACACCAAAACCTCCATCCATACCAACTGGCCCCTAACACAAAGAAAATACAGATATAAAACATCCATCCATCATGGTTGTAGAATATGAATTAATAAATGAAATGATCGAAAGTTTGAATATTTTGTTCAGCACATACAAGGTTGCCTGTAGATCCAGTTGAGCCCTGTGGGCCTGGTTCACCTCTTTGTCCCTGGGGTCCTTCAGGACCACGGACTCCTGTTGGCCCGGCTTCACCCTAAGGGAATAAGGGCATAAGAAAGAAGCAAACAGAAGAATAATTAAACACCCGCATTGGTGTGAATGTAGGTTTAATTCTAAATATTCAATGGATTTGGAGAGTTAAATAAAGCTCCTTCGATCCTGTATTTACCAAGCCAAGGGGACCACAACTAATCAGAAAGCTGGAAAACTTAAACTTGCAGATGGTATCCTAACTACCTTAGGAGAATGGAAACAGCAAAGGGTTAGAAAGCTGGTCACACGTGTTCACGGAAGCAAGGCTTAATTTGATTTGTTGGGATTCATGGATATCACATGTGTGACCCGGCATTTTTCTTTCTACTCAAAGTTAAATTACTAACAACCAAATTCATTCCCTCCAAGATAGAACAATTCTAACACAAATATATAACTGACAATTTGATCACATAATGCAACTAATGTAGAAGCTTGTTATGAAAAATGCCAGCCTCTTTTCTACTCATCCTATGGGAACTGGACTTCCTCTCTCAACTTCCTCTCTCATCGTCAAATATTCATCAGCATTAATCTATCTTGCTTTACTTCTCATTAGCCACCAAACTATGCTATTTCCTCACTTCATCTTTAGGTTTGCCTTTGCCTTGCATCACCATTCTTGGCACCTCCTTTTCTTGTCTCTCCTTGGTTTCCTTATTTCAAACAGATAGGTTTTCTCTCTCCTGTTCCACTAGTTCCTATTTTTCTGTTCGTATTCCTTCTGATTTCGTTGTACTTCACATCTCACTCTCTTACACACACTCATACATTTATGTTGATGCATCTTTACACACTGGTTCTTTAGTTTTTTTTCTTCTCAACAGCTAATTCCTCCTACCTCCGTTTCATATGACCATCTCTGCATACTGAAAAATAGGGCCATTTCTGCAAATAATAATGTTGCTCTTGATCTGACCTCAACCCATTCTAATTTGCTGTGATACTGTAAATGACACAACAAATAGATGCACGTCTACAGGCTTTTGACTTTCTTAGCTTTTTAAGCTCATTACAAGTTTGGAATAAGGTACTTGAATCATAAATAAAAAATAATAAATCATATTGGGAATGGACAATAAGTAAAATTCCAAATATCTTTTTGACATTGGACTGAATAATCCTCAAGCATTTCTGTAGTGAAATACTTATTCAGGTTGTTCATCCGATAAACAAAAAGGGAGTTAGTGCAGTATAACTAGTATTGATATTTCCATATATGAGGGACTCATCTTTCAATTCTAGGCTATGCAGATGCCTCAAAAGCCATCGACATTTTCAGAAGATGTTGATGATGGACATGTACTGACTCAATTGCATTTGTGCAGGTTCAGAGTTAGAATCCTGGAATTCAATGGGTATAGAAACAAAACTGAATGTGAGAGGGTTGCAGCATGGCCAAAAAAGATATGTCTAGCTCAGAAAGGAAAATTCTGCTTCAGAAATACATCTGAATATGCCAAAGTGTACTGTAGGATTTCACCATCTGATGCAATAAGTATTAGCTATTTTTCTACTTCAAGTATAAGTGATTGGCTCTCATATCATTTGGCTCAGATCTCGATTCAGATCAGCCAACTTGTCAAGGAAAAGGTAACATTGGAGTAAGATAATAAGCTGAGCCAAGCCTAACAGTAATACGTACACTCCTGACTTTCGTGTTGCAAAGTATAAACAAGTTTACCGGCTAATTCAAAATGGTCATTGTCATTCCTTGATGTGATCATGTCTGAAACCTTTGGTTATATTTACCCCATTGTTTGACTGCCAAAGCTAATACTGCAAATCAATGTCGTGCTGAAATGTTGATGAGACATTGCAGGTCAGATTTCTTGGATGGCCACTTTCGGCACTGTCAATATTTTATTGGTAAGAAACTTCTTGCAGGAAAGGTTAGCGACTTACAGCAGCAAATAAAGACATTGAATGCATGAATACACCATCTGTTTCACAGAAATGCACTTTCAGAATCTTTCTCTAAATAGAGCTAATAAAATTAAATACTGGGGAATTTGTCCGACATAGAAAGTAAAATTGTAATGCCGAATATTTAACATTTTCATATTTGGAGTTCTATTTCGCTTTTTGCTGCAGAACATCTTTTTTTCCAACAGCTTTCCCTTTGGTTCTCTCTACTTACCCCTAATTTTCTAAAGGGAGCAACACAAGACTGGGCACAGTTCCACAGGCAGTATCGTATCCAATTGATTGTTCTTCATGCTCGAGTCTCACTATGAGCGTTGGCAAATGATTCAACTACAGGATATACACAGCCAAGCCTGTTCCTGTCCTCATTGATGATACATACACTTACAAGTCCAGCAGGAGTCACTGTGCAGCCAATGTAAGCAAACACTTTGGCTGACGTTTTGCCTTTCGAACACATGGTGATGGAGGTTAATTGTAAATGCTCTACTGCTGCTTAGCTAAGAACAGCTAAGTCAGCACAATTCCAAGGATCAAATGGGGGTCCTTCCGGGACCAGGTGGCTCCTTGCCACACCACATGGTGTATTCATGTGCTGAGCAATCAGCACCCACCCCCCAAACCTAGTTTCTATTCATTAAGTTTTTAGATTATTTGAGATTTTGTTTTAGGTATCACAGCCACAAACAAACACTCATAGTGAATAGGGGATGTCAGGTTTACTGCAATTATTATTTCATTTTTCCTCAGAGTTAACAATTATTATTACAGGATTAGTTTTGCAATTTCTAACTGAAGATTGAACAAGTGCATCACAACAAAGAACCAGCCTTAAACTTAGATCAACTGAATTAATAATTTCTACAATTTTAATAACATTTGAACATTGAAGTATCCCTTCACACACTGGAACAAAATTTGATATTGAAAGTTACAAACTTCCAGTCCAGTCACTGCATTCACTATAAGTTACCACAGAGAATAACACGATGAGACATTGAGACTTTGAGTTCACAGTCTAGACTGTTGCTCCAATGCAGTATTCAGTGTGTATTGTATTGTCAGAGGTGCCATCCTTCAAATGAGATGTTAAATTGAAGTCTCATCTGCCTGTACAGCTGAACAATAAAAGACCCTATAGCACTATTCAAAAAATATTTTGTGTGCAAATTGGCTGCTGTGTTTGTGTACAAAATACAGTCACTATCCTCTACAGCAAATCCTCTGAAGCACTTCGAGACATTCTAATAATGCAATAACACTATGTCAAAAGTAAGGATTATGATATATATTATTTTTCAGTGGGTGGCTGGAAACTGTTCATTTTTAAACTGCAGGGTATTTTATTAAATATTCCCACTGGATGAGCCAAATTTACCAACATTTTCCAGTCCTTCTGTGTTAATGATTTCATAGCCTAAATATTTGTACCTTCTGTGTTGAGTAAGTTGGAGGCAGCAGAGCTTTGACAGCTGTTTACCCCAAGGAGAAACCCCTGTGAAGAAAGTTTAATCTCTTCGTAGCTTTCTTATCCGTCAGATTGCCAGGAAATCACACCCTGAAGACTCTACCAGAACAAAGAACTTATTTTTCTCTGAAACAAAACTGATACTAAGGATAATTAGGTACTCTGATTATTAAATTAGCCTAAATTCTAAATTGCAATGAATATTTAAACTTAGAATCAAATAGAATCAAATGGGCACGTAAATAGACTATTCAGCACAACAAGTTTGTGCCAATGTTTATGTTCCACACGAGTCTCCACCTTTTCTATTCCTCTCTATCCCAATTTATTACCTTCTCCCTAATTCATGAATCAAGTTTATTCTTAAATCGGTGAACATTTCTTGCTTCAACCACATCAATGAGTTCCTCAATCTCACCATCCATTGTGTAAAGATGTTCCTCCTACACTCTTAGTAGCTCCCTTAGTTTACAGATTGATAAGCAAATGGCCTAAAATAATGAACCATTCTCTGAAGTACATGAATGGGTCAACTAGAAAGGGAATACATGAATAAAAGACTATAGAAATGGGGAGTGAACAATCTTTGAATTTGATATGGTGCCTACAAAGTCAAGACATCTCAAAGTCCTCTGCAGGATGTTGCTGTTAAGTGTAGTGACTATATTTGTAGCTAATATGACAGCCAATTCATAAGCAAAGTTCCACAAAGAGCCATGAAGTGAATGTCCATTTTATTTGGAGACGTGTTGGCCGGAACAGCAGGAGAAACTTCCTTCTCTTGTTTAACATCCATCTGAACATGAATGTTGCCCTGATTTTAAAGTTTTATCTGAAGGACAGCAAACTCAACAATGCTAACCTCCCCCAGCCCTGCAGTGGAATGTCAGCCTGATCTATTAGCCCAACATGGGTCTTTAATGCAGGACCTTATGACTGAGAGGTGGGAGTTCTGTACTACCAACTGAACCAAGGTGGCACCACATACCGTACAATTATTCTGTAATTGAATTAGCTAACAAAAAGGGTAAAGAGATTAGAAGTGCAAGAAACACCCTTGAGATCAATACAGTTAAGGATGTGGAGCATAATTCTAAAATGTTCCTCCAGTACCACAGTGACAAATACATATTGAACCCATTTCCTTCACTTTTGATTTAAATCTACAGCACAAATTTCTTAAGTGAGTATAGGTGAGGAAAAGTGAGGAAATAAAGTTAATTGTCATTCATATTTACCTTCACCCCTGGTCGACCTGGGAAACCAGAAGGACCCTTTAAACCAATTGGACCCTAAAAAAGAGCAGCAAGTGATTACTTCACTACAATGAAGATAAACACTGATTTTGCAAAAGTAAAATAAACCATGCAAATAAATATTAATAGATTTAAATTTCAATCTTCAAATTCATAGTGTTTGCCTGTGGAAAATAAGAAATCTAACAGCATACTCTTGACAGCTTGAATGACGTACATATCCAAGTGATTAGAAATAGATATTGATAATTCTAATAGTGTGAGCTTATAGTAACAGAAAGCTCGATCGGTTGAAAGGATATGTTGCAAAGAACTTGTAAGTAAACAAAGCTAATGCTAAAAGTCCAAGCAATTATCAAGAAAATAAATTGACAGGAAAGAAATGAAAACAAGCCCATCCAAGGCTTATAAGCCACGACCCAGGTACACTTAACTTACCGAACCACCAGGCAGACCAGGCATGCCAATCGCACCACGAGTACCCTGGGGAACGGAGGGAAAAGAAAAGCTCATGAAATTTGGATCAATTTTATTTGGGAGCTTCCTAGGTTTACATGTCTCTGCCTCACCCCCTCCCTTGCCACCTTTCAACACCCATCTCAAGACCCTCCTCTTCGACCGTTTGGTCACCCATCTACCCCTTACCCCCCACCTCTCCCGATCACAACCACCAGCTCGGGTGCGGATTACTGATTGCCCAGGGCCTTGAGGTGTCCTCCAGAGGTGAAAGGCGCTATCCAAATGTAATTTGTTGGTGTTTGGTTTTTGGAGAAAAGAGTCTTTTATTACAATATTGGATTTACTTTGGTATGAAATAGAGTGGAAATGAATGACTAAAAATAAAGGTTTATCGGAGACGCAATAGCTTCATAGATTGGCTTCAACACACAATAAAATAAGATGATTTGCGTTAATGAAAACAAAGTGATGCTTCCATATTAATCCGATAGCAAATGACCATTTAACTAGAATAGGTGGGTGTGCATTGTGGCCTCAGAATGGTGTGAAGCAGACAATGCAGCAAGTGACCCTCTGAGAAGCCGGGACAAGACAAGAAAGCTGTGAACCCATCTGCTACGAAACTTTATACTCAAAACTGGAGCGCTGTGTTACATTCTTGGCTACTGATTGAACAATAGCCCTAAGCCAAATATAAATTCAACTCTTGTGAACTGGCTGACAATTCAAGGTAGTCTACAGGGATGTTGGCCAAGAAAATATGTTCCGAACAGGTGTCAAAGAGACAGTTGCTGGCGGAGAAAATAGTTTAAATTAACTTCTCAGGCAGAGAATCCAGTTTCCAAAAGGCTTGCACTGCGATTGCTGGACTACCTGAGCAGCCTTGGTTTCAGTCATCAGTTTACTGAGAGTCATGCTTGAACTAATACGAAGACATAGGTGACATAAAACAAATGAAAGAATTGTTCCAGGAAGAAGCTTTTCTTTCTTTCTTTAAATACACATCGATTGACATTTCCTTTCCTACCACTAAGATGGTTTTATTTTTATAATATAGTTTAATGTCTAACCAACCATTGACTATCATTGGGGGGTGGGGGGGCAGACTTTGGGGCTGATTTGGTTCCAAGGTGACATGCTTGGCAATGGAAGATCAGAATCAAGTCCATCCTCTGTGGTGGTCTCAGTATGTCACTACATGAGTGAGGCCAAGGCACGGTAATCCAGGGCACTGCTGATGATGGACCAGTCAGCATAGCTTGTTGATGGAATCTGGAGCAGCGGAACATCCCATTAAGTAGAGTACAGATAACTGCAAGCCAAAGCTCTAATGGACAGTAAAGATAGAATATGCTCTTTTAGCTGGTCTCTAAGTGTTTTTCCTTGCTGACCTGCACCTAAATTCTTTGAGATTAGGTAAACAGGGTGTGTCTCTCCCCGGGAGAATTATGCAATACATGCCAGACATACCAGAGAAGTGGAAACAATATTAATGAGGAGTTTGGATTGGAAACCATAAAGCATGGTGATGGGTTCACACATATTCCCTATACCCAGCTGTCCAAAATAAATATTTACACAGAGCATTGGTTAAATTCTCAGAAATATATACTTGTTTTAGGAAATTAAACATAAATATCCAGCCTCATGAGCTATTGCTCATACTCTGTCACTCATCCTATATCGTGTTCACAGCTGTAATGCAGGTAAACACCACTTCAATGGAACACTTACAGGGGAACCTTGAGGTCCCAGCCGACCCCTTTCACCAGGAATACCTCTCGGACCCTAAAACAAAAAGCAAAACACTGTGATATAATAATAATAATTATTATGATATGATCTGTGATCAAGGTTTAATAAAAGTAATTCAAATCATGACATTAAAGTACTGAGGACCTCAAAACATCTCAGTTTATCTTAAAGGATTCCTTTACAGAATTTCTAACAACGTCTTGCTCAGGATTAACACCTTTGCACTAAATGGATATGCCATTGCATGAGATCATTTCAATGATAATTATATAATGAACCAAGAATTAGAACTTTAACCTTAATCAAATGAATCATATCCTCAACCAACATCCAACACAGACATATTTCCAGTGGGAGTCACTGGATAGTGATCAGATCAGAAGGAAAAAGCATAGCAGATTTTCCACTCATTAGCTCAAGGAGACTTCAAGAGGCTAATTCTGGCTGAGTTCAGATCAGTCAACTTGGAATAAGGATTGAACTTTAATATTGAAACTGAAAATTAAAATACAAATCTGTTCTGCTCACGGGATGCTCTCAAGTTTCATTGTGTAGGTAGTGAATGAATGGTAAGAGTCTTTCATTCATGATGAATACAAAATGAATGGAATAAAGGATTTGTACATAGCATATTAAATTGCTTGACACAGTGATGGAGGGATGCTTGGGTGGGTGTTCTGGAGAGATGAGTTTGGATGGACCAAAGGATCAGACCAATTTAGTGATCTTGTATTGCCTGTTCATCCTCTGTGACCTGTTCATTTTCTTAGGATTAAACCTCAGTATTGTTGAGCAGGAAAAATAACCAGAAACAAAATAACATTTGACATCTTGAATTATATGATCATGTCTCCATCTCGCTGAAATATTGGATTAGATGATCAAACATGGTAATGTTTATTATGGCTTATTTTGTTGGCTTCAAAGCCTTGAAACTGCTATTTTAGGCTTTGTTTCAACAGTTAACTGTTTGAGCTGAAAATGGCTAGCTCCAGAAAACGACTGTAATATCTCAGGATTTGCTAGCAACCTGGTATTAAATTGTAAATAACTACAGGCATCTCCATCAATCAGAAAAAAACTTTTGAGAAACAAACTTACCGATGAACCAGGAGGCCCCATGGCACCAAGATAACCATGTTCACCCTAAGACAGAGGTAAAGAAAAGACCATGGTAACGACACTATGCTAAGCGCAAGCTATCTAGCCCGATGCGTTTCTGAGAGCCCCCAGTAATAGAGCCCGACACGAAACAGGTGTCACCTTTTAAATGTCTTCCCAACAACCAAACGGCAAGTTCCATCTCAGTCGCAAGCTACTGAACTGTTGCAGAGGCTTTGAATGCAAAGGCACATGGCTGCATATATCCAGGTACAGGATCCACAACCAACTACTACAGGCAGTGGAATGGCCTCAGAATTATTGCAGTCAGATCCTTGCAGACTCACACAGCACTCACTGCTGGAGGCAATGTGCAATCCCTCCATGTGTTGAAGTGTAGAGCAACCATCTCCCCAAACACACACATATATAATTGTGAACGGAGCATTTGTGGGACCTAATTCAATCAGATTGAGTGTCATTTCAAATTCTAGTTATGAGTGGAGAGGTTACAATCAACCTGGGACCTTTTCCTGCAGATAACACAACCTTGCCTTTCCTGAGTACCTGATGACCGGAAGGAAATACTCCCGGACTAAAGTCAGACATAGACAAGGCTCTCAACTAAAACCAGCACCAGCTAATGGCAGCCAGACTCCCAGACCCCTCTGCCCCACAGCAACAAGCGGATAAGTCCCAGAGACAAAGAATGAATGAATTACCTTGATTCTCAATTGCAATTAACTTTTGCTTATCCTCACTCAAGCAAAACCAATAATGTCCTGCCGTCCCACTTTCCAGGCAGCTTGCAAATGAACTGTGCAATGTCTCCACCTATGATTCTGTAGGTCATATCCCAAAACCCATTTAACAAACACAATACCCGTTTGAGGCAGTAACATTTCATCACTGAATGTTTACCTTCTGGCCTGCAGCTCCAACTTCACCTTTAGGGCCAAAAAGGCCTTTGTGCCCCTATAACAAACAATATAATTATATTACAACACAATTTACATTTATATAGTTCTTTTTGCGACGAGAAGACATCTCTAAGCAGCTAGCTTATCAGATATAATTAATAATTAATAAATCAAATATGTATTTACAACAAAATACCGATTTCACGTTAATAAAATGGATCTCCAGATGTAAATGAAGGTGATTAAAGTTAACTTGTTGAAACCCTTTGAAACATATGACAACAATTTCAGTCGGCCTGTGACTGGTTCTTTTAGAGTAATGGCAATAAGAGGATAGTCCTGTACACTTACTCTCCGACCCTTGATACCTGGCTGACCGGGAGCACCTGGGAATCCTCGGGAGCCCTGAAAGCGTAGAAAGACATTATTATCTCAGGTGAGAGTCACTGTTCAAGTCCAGCCAATGAATCTATCAAAACAATGGATATTGATGAAGGGGAAAACGACAGGGCTGAAAAGGAGAAATGCGATTTCTATACACTCGGTTGTGAAAACTCAATTGCATTCCTCCTTAAAAGTTCTCAACTAAAAAACAATAAAAATTTAAACAACAACAACAACAACAACAAGATTCCATTTATAAAGCGCCTTTCACGTCAGGAGGACGTCCCAAGGCGCTGCACAGTTGGGTCATGACCCGAGCAGGGGGGAAATGGTCAGGGTGAGGGGAGGGGAGGGAGCGAGGAGGGGGGAAATGGTCAGGGTGAGGGGAGGGATGGGAGGGAGCGAGAAGGGGGAAGAGAGTCGAGAGGGGAGCTGAAGGCTCGGTCAAAGAGAAAGGTTTTGAGACCGGCCTTGAAGGAGGAGAGGGAGGAAGCAAGGCGAAGGCACTGGGGGATAGAGTTCCAGAGCCTCGGGGCTGAGAGGCTGAAGGCCCGACCACCGATGGTAGGGCGGTTGGGGCGGGGGACGTGGAGCAGACCGGAGCCGGAGGAACGGAGGGTACGGGCAGGTAGGTAGGGGGATAGTAGGTTGGAGAGGTAGGAGGGAGCAAGGCCGTGAATGGCCTTGTAGGTGAGGATGAGGATCTTGAAATCAAAGGTGAGGATGAGGATCTTGAAATCAAAGGTGAGGATGAGGATCTTGAAATCAAGGTGGACAACAGGTGGACATCTCATTGTGCTTCAGTGACTAGGAGCCTGAGCTTTTCTTTTGGGGAGGGGCTGGGAGGAGGTTGGAAATAAGGAGGGGGAAAAAAGACCATCTCCTTTGATAATCAATCACTGCTGCACTTTTGGGAATGTTCATGTTATAAAGAAAAGAAATGAGCACCACCACTAACTACATTTAGAGTCCTGTAGCTCAGTGGTTAGAGCACTCGCCTTGCAAGCGAGAGACCGGAGTTCAATTCCGGGCAGGGCGAAACCTTGGGCAAGTTTCCTTACTCCACACATCTAATAATAATCCCTCCAAAACAAAACAATAATAAATTGGTCATTTTCAATCCACGACTGTTTGTGGGACATTGCTGTGCACAATTGGCTGCCGCGTTCGCCCACAAATATACAGTCAATTCACTTTACAGTATATTCTGTGAAGCGCTTTGGGACGTCTAGAAGACGTGAAAAGCGCTATATCAAATGCAAGGATTATTATCATTATTATTATTTATTGTCAAGTTAGCATCCTCAAAGTCTCCAAGCTGTGCATTCTCCAACGCTCTAATAAACACCAAGCATTTCATTTCTGCTATTTAGCTGAGTTATGAAACTGTATTCCTCAAGTGAGGTCCATTACTGTTTTCATCAAACTGGATTAGCAATGTTCAACTCACGGGAGAGCCTAGAAATCCTTGCTCACCAGGTTCCCCTGACTTTCCAGCTTCACCCTGTCAATAAAAACAGCCAATTCATGATTAATTCAGTTTATTCGGAGTTCGTCCACACTCTTGTTTCCATACGATCAGAATTAACAGGTTCGTGTGTAAAATGACTATTGGTACAAGTTGTATTGCTGGCCTCATTTGTACGAGTAGTTATGGCGTCTTCTTTACTGTTATGAAGCCAAGTCCATAGTTTTAATCACTAAATTTTGCATCAGTGTATCTCAACATGGAAGTGATGCCAGGGGTGTTGAAAGCATCTAATTTGCAATGGAATAATTTTGAAGGTGCAAAATATGTTTTAAGAAATATTAAGGGATATGACAAAGAGGGAGGACACTGGGATTAAAATATCTGCCAAGGGCTAATACATTTATGGAACAGACTCGAAGGGCTGAATGGGCTCCTTCTGTTCCTGTGTTCCTATGTTTTTACTAGTATGTTGAAACAAGATCGATAGTTATTGTTGTAACACCATCAAGAGCATGTAAAAACCGTGCATTTGCCTCTAAAGTAACTGAGAATTTTTATCTGAAGGCGGATGGTGGACCTGGATGAATTCCACTCTCACTATTACTCTAAACTCAATTCAAACAATGGTGGATTCACATCTCTTTGCAATGGAAGCCAAGGCCATATGCAATTTTCATAAAGAGCAGCAGGACACACACTGAAGCAAGCCAATGAATTTAAATGAAATTCTGTCAACAGCACAGTCTTAGGCCACATGGTCTCTGAAGTAGTTCAACACTACTTTGATTTTCTGAATCTGTCAGAAAGAAGATAGGGTGCATCGAGTAAAGGGGTAGCACAATATAACAATGTTTCTAGAGTGTTTTGAAGGCAGGCAAGAAGGAGCAAAATGAAGGGATTTTAGGACAGTCTTCTAAAGAAGAGGAAATATTATCAGAAATTAAGGTTTGGGGCAGTAGACTCTGGCTTTTAGGTATATTTAAACCATTTAGTTTTTACTTATTAGCTATTTTCTGTATCATTTTGTGCTTCTTTCTTCTTAATACTAAATATTGTTCTACCGAAAGCTGAAGACCTTATTGTACGATTTCAAAGCAGAGCATAAAGTGACAGGATAGAAGGTTATGTAACAAATGCATACTGTATTGATTGATAACTTATTAGTAAAGTAGTCGATCAATATCAATCGAGGGAATGCTAATGATATTGTTAAAATATTTACTTACATCTGCTCCAGGCTTTCCAATTGGTCCCGAAGGACCGCGAGAACCAACCCCACCCTGTAATGTTAATCAGGGAAAGTGCTGTAACACATTTGGATGCAACAACAAAATTACAAGTGTATAGCACTTTTCACATTGGGAGGACGTCCCAAGGCGCTGAACAATCAGTGTTTCAGACCCGTGTTGGTGCTCGGGATTGGGGAGGGTGGAGGTCAGTGGGGGGAAGGAAGGCGACTGAAGGCACGGTTGAAGAGGAGGATCTTGAGATGGGTCTTGAAGGAGACAAGGGAGGGGGCGAAGCGGAGGGACTGTGGGAAGGAGTTCCAGAGGGTGGGGGCAGAGTGGCTGAAGGTCCACCCGCCAATGGTGGGACAGGCGAGGCAGGGGACATGAAGCAAGCCGGAACCCGCTGAGCGGACGGAGCTGGAAGGTTGGTGGGGGTTAGGAGGTCGCAGAGGTAGGGGGGAGCAAGGCCATGGAGGGCTTTGAAGGTGAGGACCAGGATATTGAACTGTATTCTCTGTGTGGATGCAAAGCCAGTGGAGTCAGACGAAGATGGGGGCGATAGGGTCACGGAGCCTGGTGCGGGATAGGACATGAGCTGCAGAGTTCTGGATGATCTGCAGCCTATAGAGGAAGGAGTTGGGGAGGCCAACAAGCAGGAAGTTTGCACAGTCAAGCCTGTATGTTATGAATGGTGTATGAGGGTTTCAGCAGCCTACAGCGTGAGACAGTGGCGGAGCCGAGTAATGTTGCGGAGGTGGGGGAAGGCAGAGCGGGTCATGGCACGGATGTGGGGTAGAAAGGATAGTTGAGGGTCAAACAAAGACGTCAAAGTGAGGTGGAGTGTGCATCTTTCGATGGTGATGCTATCAGCGCCTGAGATGTGGAGGCGCTGATAGGAGCCAATCAGGAGGGCCTCGCTCTTTTTGTCGTTCAACTGAAGTTTGCTCTCATCCAGTCCTTGATGTCTGACAGACATTCTGTCAGGACAGCAGTGGTCCTGGAGTCAAGGGAGGAGGCAGAGAGATAAGATTTGGGCATCATCCGCACACATGTGGAAGTTGACCTCATGTCTGCAGATGATGTCGCCAAGAGGGAGCATGTAGATGAGAGGAGGGGACCAAGGACAGAGTCCTGAGGAACGCCACACGATATGATGCGGGGGCTAGAGGAGAAACTGTGTGTGGAGATGAAGTGGACAAGAATGTGAAATACTCAGGATAATGCAGTGTTAGCTACTCGTGTCTCGAGTTTCCAAAAGCTTCTATGATGTATAATGCATGCTTATAAAATTTCACGCACAAAATACATAGTCAATCCACTTTACAGTATATTCCATGCAACACTTTGAGACGTCTCAACAATATAAAATGCAAGGATTATTATTATTTATAGATAATCTTTAATTACTTACCAATGGACCCAAATCACCAGGTTCTCCATTAACCCCAGGGATTCCCATGGGGCCCTAATTTGTAAGGATGAGAGAATGAAATGAACATTGAAAAGTATAGTAAACATGCAGCTTAGGATTCCTTACTGTGCATCTGGTCTTAGGAAATATATAAGGGAATTAACTTGAATTTACAAAGTGCTGTAGATATACCAACACAACATAACACTTCATCAAGCCTTTGTATCCACCTCTGGTTAATAGGAGATAATTGAGTGTCCGCATTTGAAGATATATCTTAGGATAGTATCCCCCGAAACATTTAATGTTGATCCTATCAGAGTTTATAGGATGTGATTCTGATCAATTAGACAACTAGAATGAATGATAAACTGCTTACAGGTGATCCCATTAATCCAGGAGGTCCTCTTGGTCCTATTTCACCCTAAAAATCAAAAAGAAGTAAACATATCATGAATATTTTGTCTAATTTGTCATTGAACAGCCAATATGGCTATTGCATTGTCTATACTCATTTAGATTCATTTCTCTGCCACTGTCCTGAATGATAGCAGTGATTATGCTATGGACTTATCCAATATGTCTAAAGATCAGAGATTGCTTCTTGAATTATCCAGAAAACATCATATATAAAAGCCATTCCTCTGTCTTACGTACATCATATTGACACTGGTGCACCACTTTGGGGTGAAACCCTGCCTTCTGATCAAGGGTTAAGGAAGAAATGATAATTGACATTCAGATGATACTTAATAGAGCATTGCGCATGTATGACTACGAAACTTGGCTTTACTGAAGGATAGCATGTTATAACATTGTTGTCTTTCCAAAATATTCAACCTGCTAGGCACTTCCAGCATTTTCTCATTTCAATCGAAAATGCACTGTTGTTGGTCTACGAGTTCCATAAACATTATTATACTTTTCAAGTTTATCTCCAAAAAAGAACTCTTTTATAACGTCCCATTTTACACATTAATCACTTAAGCACATCTAAAATATAAGCTACTGGTTTTGTTTCTACACTTGGATGGCGAGCCTAAATTATTTGTTCATTAATTAATTAATTAATTAATTTTAGATAAATGTGATGATTATGAATGGGATTCCCTTAACAGTGATGTAGTGCTGAAGTGCAATATTACAGAGAAAATCTTACTGAAGATCCAGGCACCATTCCTAATTGACCACGTAAGCCTGATTTCTCATCTAAACCACCAGCCAACTGAGATGAAAGTTGCTGCAAAAGAATGATCGATGCAGTTAATATCATATTATCTAAATCTGCTGAATCTGAAATAAATGGAAGACAGTTTCACAGACTTACAACGAAGATGTCTATTATTTAACATTGAGAAAGCCACATTTGGTTCATAAAGCCTTGTTCATAAGTGTGATAAACATTATATGCTATTGTCTTCAACTATGTTTATCTTTACACTATATTTCAGAACTGTAAGACAGATAAAGAAATATAGGCATCAGATACGCTACAAAACTACATTAAAATACACGGAAAAAACTTTAAGACAATAAAACCCATTAGTGGTGATATGATTCATTGATTTTTCAGTTGGGAGGAATATTATACTTTTATGTCCTCTTTATTTCTAAATATTATAGATAAATAATACCATTTGGACAGTTGCACTAAAACATTTAGTTTCTTTAATTATGAAATAATAATGCTGATATTAAGAGGGCATATTTGATAAACCTCTGAAATGCATACTGCAGATCATATGAAATTCTCATAGGAGAAGAATGTCAAGGATAGTTTAAGTAAGCACAAAAAAGGTGATTCTCTGATTGTCAGTAAATTTACTGACCCTGGTGGTGTGAGCTTATATAGTGAGGCTGCAATGCTTATAAAGAGTTTATAAAGAGGTGTGAGTTGATAAGAGATTCACTAACAAAACTCAAAATCATAACCCTTTACATATATCCTGTGAAGTGTTTTGAGACATCCTACGGACGTGAAAGGTACAATATCAAGTGCAAGGATTACTATAAGTAGTATTTTAAATGCTACAGTGCTGATAGTTTTTCTGCCATGGGGTGAGTCCTACACAGTGAATCATATACATACACAGCAAGAAAGCATTGATCATTGGCATTTCATTATGATGAATCAGTAACTCATGAGTCATGACCACAGAAATTCTGCTGTGTTTCCAATCAAGTAGATCACATTAAATATACTCAGCTCTCATCAACATCTTTAATACTTCCAGTTAAAATATCCTCCATATTCAACTACGTGTCCAAAGCCTCCATTTATAGAATGTAAGGACACTAAATAATGACTAGCACTATTTAAGGATAACTAGTTTCTTGTAAATTCTAGGGACAAATTTGGTTCATTGAATTCAGATAATAGAAAATTGAGCCCATCACTGATTTGTGAGTACCAAAGATGCAGATAGCCATGTCAATGCACCCAAGTTTCTGAATAATCATGTGTAAAAGGTGCAGCTTTTCTGTAGAATTACATGGAAAGATTTCTGACCACAAGAACTCAATCTGGAGGAAATTTATACATTGAAGTACTTACACCTTGATAGCCCGGATGGGTTGGCTGTCCGGGAGGACCAGGAGCACCAGGAGAGCCAGGAATTCCAGGTACACCATCAGGTCCAGGAGGTCCAAATAAACCCTGTGAACGGTTAAGAATTAGGTTAAGAATGAACAATCTGTGCAGGTTTTGTAAGAAAATAACACGTCCATTAAAAGGTAGCCAGACAGAGAGTGGATATCCGGTCTGGCAAGCCTGAATTTCCGACTAAGTGTAATGACAATAATGGCGTTTACCAGCTTTTTTCAAAATGCTGATAAACACTGGTATCGGCATTGTAACTGTTTGAATCTTGTGAGCAGAAGATAACGAATAAGCTATACCAACCTTCTAGTGCACTAACTATTAAGAATGATGAAAGTTTTTTGGTAAACAGTTTAGCAATTTTAGTGACTTAGCGGTAGTGGCATTTTTACCCATTTTTTAAATAAAATTGGTCAGTAAAACGAGAGGGAAACCCACTGTTATAGAAGTGATGATAACTTGTCAGTGGTAATATAAGTCCAGGCGAAAGTGATGAGAAATAAAGCTGAAAAAAACGTAGCTGACAATCCCACTCACTCAAGTTAAGTACTAAAAACATTGAAAATGTGACTGACATTCAGATGATGCTCAATGGAACTCTAAGCATGCTCAATCCCAGAGCTTGGCTTTACTGAACGATGGCATGATGAATTGTAGGGCATGATGTAGGCTAGCTGGAGCTAAAGGTATTAAGCATGTGGTTGATTCATCATAACTCAACAGTTCAACACAGGCAAAGCTACTGTCACATTTAACAAACCTCTAAGCAAAGCACATTAATTAGTCCTAGAGTCCAATTAGAAAAATTAGAAATCTTAAAATATTGCAAAACGTTCTAAAAATATAAAGTTTTCTTATACAGGATCATGCAGGATTTAGTCAAAAACTCCATAAAATAATCATTGCATCCTTTATATCGACTCTACGAAAGGAAGGATGAGAAAATAAAGTAAATAAAGTGCAGTCAGGGAATGTTTCACGCACTGCAAACAGGAAGGAATGAGACAAAAGATCTTACATTTAAATAAAGTTTCTTTTTGTTGTTCCTTTCCAAATTCCATATTAATTTCCTGTTAAAATGTTGTGAAGTGGCCAGACTGAAATATCACTAAGCATTGAAAGGGAGCCTATCTGGGAGAAAATAAAACAGCTGGTTTGAAAATGCACATGATCATACCGGAGGCCCCAGAAACTGATCCGAGTGAACATTGAAATGATGTATTTATGCTGCATCTCACAATACTCCCCATATCTGCAAAGTCTGCCCCAAGCCAGATAGCTGAGAAGCCTTTTAAACGATCTGTTGCTTTATTTATAGAGAATAAATATAAATGTATGAAATTAAATTGACAGTCAAAAAAAATTGTCCCCTAAAGCACTGATCTGAAGCAAGGTTTCAGCAGTTGGCAGGAGACTGGGATGGGAATCTGTATCATTGCAGTTTGGTGAATATAACTTCCAGACTGAATTAATCTGGTACAGGATCTCTGGTGTTGTGCTTACAGGAAATCTCCTGAGATGCACTCGTCATGATTGAAGATTTTTATATTTCTAAGTACTGTTGGTTTTGTATCTGAAATGTGTCACAGGTTGAGGAGAGTTGCTAAGATGTGGTTTGTGCCAAAACGAACAGTCCCTTTAAACAAATACATTAGTGATATTTTCACTTTTCTCCCCAGTCATTAAAGTTTTCCAGCATTACTATGCGCCTGTTTATAACAGTAATCCCATTCCCATGCTTATTCAGCCACAGGTCAAAGCATACGTATCCTTTGCTTATCAAGAATAATCATACAGATCTTACTCACTCTTGGTCCCTTTTGCCCTTCTGAACCCCTTGGTCCCTGTAAGCCTGATGGTCCCTGTAAAAGGTACAAACAAATCAAGTTTTATTTTGTCAAAAAGAAACTCCACAATGATCAATGTGCCACTGATTTTTGCTTTTTAACCTTTAACATTGATTGTCGATGTACAGAAAAACAATACCATCATCGTGTTTTTCATACAATATCATTCATTTAGGTACTAGCAAACTTACTCTACATTAAATATAATCTGTTTTCTCATATGTTTCCATTACTGTATCTTGGTGACAAGTTAACAGCACCCACAACAATATATTGATTTACCTTGTCTACTCTCCTACTTTTCAACCATGGTGTGTGGCTCTGCACTGCCTTTAACCATTGCGATAAACATATTGAAACAACAATTGTAGTAAACGTTCTGCGATTCTATGAAGAACTGGCGTCTAACTTCCAAATTCAGATCTCAATTCAGCCCCGTGAACAAACAGAGTCACTGAGGAAATTTGTTGTTCCAACCTCAATTGATCTTTCAGCCCACATCTATAATCAGCTTTCTCTTCCGGGGTTTTTATTTTTACATAAGCCTACTTTAAGATTTCATATGAACACCATTCCCGTTAGACAAAATAAAACACTTAATCGGTGTTATGTTTAAAAATGGCACAAATATTCAAATTAATCTGATAAATTTATTGAGGGTTTGCAGATTTGATTTAGTGTGCTCAAAATGTTTTTCACTTTTTTTGAAACACAGCAATTTATCACAGGTAACTGTACTTACTTGTGGGCCTTGACGTCCTCTTATTCCAACAACCTGGTAAATATAAAAAGGTAGTGATTAATAAAGTGTGTTTAATCTTTGATGCCTTTAAATGCTCTATCTGTTCACTGGCTCTTAAAAAATATTTCAATCTCATTTCTTTGAAATAGAATAGTTTTGTCTACAATACAGCTTGCGAAGCATTTTGAGGTGTCTTCCTGACTTGAATGTAAAAATTATTATTATAGGTTTGGAAATGCATTGAAGCTAACACCGAAAGCACAAGGAGTTTATCTTTTGCAGGAACACTACACTCAAAAACATTAAATGAACACAACTGGTCTGTTAGCATTGATCACAATGTCTGATCGCAGCAGAGGTGGATTGAATCTCCGAGTTCCCGAACATTTACAAAGATGATAAACTTTACTTCTAGAAAAAAAGGGCTATTTTGACTTCATTTGAAGAGTTGTGGTTATTCTCATGTTAATTGTGGTTCTCTTCCACTGGGAATTTAAACTATGCAAGAAGCAGATCAAAACTCTTGATATCTTCCCTTCAAATTGACTTTGCGCAACAAGTAAACATACTGGAGAAAGGAGTAGAATGGAACACAGCAAAAGTAACTCAATTTAAACAACTTACTCTCCGGACTTCTCCTGGTTCACCTTTCTCTCCCTGCAGGAACGACAAGAAACAATAAGGTCTAATACTGAACAAACATTTTGAAAACACCATCTGTGTTAGTGAATGTTTCACTCAGAAAGCTCGACCATTGACCAATCATGGTACATCATACTTATTGCCTCCCCTAATTACTGAAGGCAGGGACTTTTGCCACCCCAGTTCCTGTTAAACCCTAAATCAGAGTGAACGGGTAGGGTGGTCCTAGCTGTCCAAGCAGCAGGAAGCTTGCCAGGCAGTGCTTTCAGTGGCAAGCTATGCAAATTATACTCCCGCCATGCCCCCAATGTACACGCTGGAGTCCCCATGCCTCATCTTTTGCTAACCTGTGCCTAATACTCTCTGGAATTAGGTAAACAGGGTGCGTTCCTCCAGGGAGACGGTTCACATTCAATTCCGACACAGGGAAATTTCCATGTATTGATGACATACACATTTGAAACTCTCAGTCTGATTTCAATATCTTTTACGCATGGTGATGGGTTTCAGCATATGTCAAACACCCAAAAACATCTCCCCGAATTCTACTTCCCGTTTATACCATATCCTTTAATATTTCTGCCTCCCAGAGTAAGAACGGCAAATGAGAATGTAATATAGCATTGTTCTAATTCCATCCATAAACTAATTTCAATATAATTTATTGTTTTACAGTTTTTAGAGTTCTGACGCATTAAGTTTGGAGAATGTGCTTACCTTCATACCTCTGCCCACTAGAAAAGGAAAAACAAATCATTAAAATATTTATTTGGGTTAATATGAATGCACTTTGGTGAACAGCAATGTTTGATTCTGGAAATATTTGGCAGTAATATCGATAAGTATATATTATATAATTTTATATACAGCATTTTAACATGGGATACAATGTAATGCAATACAATGTTGAAAAGCAATAATAACAATTAATGCATTACAGTTAAATTTATAACACAATTTACGTTTATGTAGTGCCTTTCTCATCGGGAGGACATCTCAAAGTACTTAATCTTTATATTGTGCTGTTTTATCACATTCTTGTCAGGACAAGGACTAGTGGTTTTCTGAAGAACAGCTTCAAGGATCTGTCCTGGAACAGACAGCTAAAATCTAAGGTTAAGGTCTAACAGAGGTCCTTAAAATTGTCTTTGTCCAGGCCAAGTATAATAGTAGAAAAGTAGATGGATTTGCCTTTCAAAATTAGAGAATAACAGTTGATACTTATTAAGCAACAGTGGATCTGATTTAGCTACAAGTTCCTCACATCAAGCCACAGTGCGCCTATTTGCTGTGCACATGTGACTTAAACAATAGTTACAGTACTGAATGTTTCTACTGCATTCTCTGGACTCAAAAGAGAAAAATTCAAAGCTGAACAAAACCTAAATTCTGTCCTTCGATCCCTCAAGCTAAGTCAGAGTGAATCAAGGCAAAAGAGTTCAAATTGAATGGGTATGCATCTTTTCACTTGATATATTAGGGGGATAGGTACTGTACTTACTGTTTGGATTTTGGGAGATAGACTGGCACACAGGACAGCATTCGCCGAATGGAATGACAGAGTTTTCACATCCAATTAAGTCATCGCAAATGATCTCATCACACAGTATGTTTCCTTCATCGCATACGCAGATTTGACAGGGCTGTGGCTTCCATACGTCCCTGTTTTGGTATAACTGGCCATTTTGAGTGCAGCTCATTTCATCTTCTAAAGAGAGAAAAAAGAAAAGTAAGGAAAAAATGTAAATCCCGTTTGACTTTGACTTAGTCTTAGTACAATCCTCCCAACCCATCTGCGCTCATTTTAAATAACCATAATGTTACTCCTCCATCACTTTGCTTAGAAGGTTTATTCCAAACATTGATAATATTGATGACACTTGGCATTCACGTGTTCACACAAAGTCTCTCACTGGAACACATTGGTGAATAGATGGCCCTTACTACAACTGTATTCAGTTACATTGCTATTTTGCCACCTAGTGTACGAGAAAGGTTTTTTCTTCATACATAACGTTGGCATTTTGCAACCCATGTACCTACCTTGTGGTAAAATTCTGGTGGTTCATAATAAGACTAACCCGAAGTTGATTGAAAATGGATCATACTAATATCTGATGTTGCGATGGGTTCTAAATATACAGTAGTTTTCATTCACTTTTATTCATCTGATCCCTACTTTACTGGTTTAATAAGTTTTTTAAAAATGTTAATAAATATAAAATGTATTGATCAGAAGAGGAGTTTTGTTCAATTTGACTGATTTACAACAATTTGCATCAATTTTACACAGTTGCAATGTTTTCTCAATTGGTCAGACAGTTTATTTTTGATCAGATGGGTGTGGAAACCCATCCTGATACTTAAGATGGAACCCAAGCAGCTTCAGAGTCCCATGTATGCTACTTGCACATGGAAATTTCTCTTTGTCTGGAATGGAGTATGCACTCGCTCTCCCTGCAGGGAACCAGTTCAGCTCCAAGGAAACCCGGCTCACCTCTCCCCAAGGAGGATAAACAATGAGAACAAGCCTTTTTTTAAATAAATGTGTACATTTTTTTTTAAAAAAACTCCTCGTACCTACAACATATTCTGGAGGAGAGAATGGTTTTATTCTTAAAGAATCCCAGAATCTACAATTCGTAATAGAAATCATCCGTTGTGTAAGTAAATCACCTAATTTTAGTACATTGCTCTATGTTGCTCTTTCAACATTGAATATCAGTATGGCTAATGTGTTGGATCAAAATACATTGGTCATTTTGCATCTTCTCAGGTTACATTTCACTTCACACATTTTACTAGAAATGTAAACAAGAAACCCGTTGAAAAACATTGAAAAAACAATCCTCGTCTCCCTCGCTGCTAACTCTCTTATATGTTTTGGGATCAGTCCCATCAGAGCTTTACAGCTGAGAAACAGATGGAGAAAAAAAAACAAAAAGGGCAGCCAAAACCTAAAAGAGAGAGCTTGAGGTATATGCCTGGACCAGTAATGTAAACTGAGCTTCAATCCTACATAACAAGTAAAAGAAGGAGGCATGCTGACTCCCTGTATGTTAGAGAATTTGCCAAGGGGAAAGGTGAAAGGGGTGCGAGTTGCAGGCAGCTGAAACAGTTTACCAGGAAGGATGGTACAATGTAATACAAAAGTACATTTGTTTGGCATCTTTCATATCGTATGGATGTTCCAAGATGCTGAACTAATTTAAGAAACAGCTTGATCCTGTCATAAGAATATTGTAATAATTGGCATTATGTAAGGATCAAACCATAGGCTGAAGTGCCCTCACCATGTAAACTTCTAATCAAAAGAATTATAGAATTATAAGATTGTTCAATTCTAACTGACTAGAACCTGCACTAATATTGGCCAATTGATTTGTGAGCAATATAGCTTTGACTGAACAATAATAACCATCTCCAGTGAAAATATATCATAATAATAATAATCCTTGCATTTGATATAGCGCTTTTCACATCGGGAGGACGTCCCAAAGCGCTTCACAGAACACTGTAAAGTGAATTGACTGTATTTTTTGTGGGCAAACGCGGCAGCCAATTGCGCACAGCAATGTCCCACAAACAGTCGTAGATTGAAAATGACCAATTTATTATTGTTTTTAGTTTTGGAGGGATTATTATTAGGCGTGTGGAGTAAGGAAACTTGCCCAAGGTTTCGCCCTCTGCCTGGAATTGAACTCCGGTCTCTCACTTGCAAAGCGAGTGCTCTAACCACTGAGCCACAGGACTCCAAATATAAGTCATACTCGGCTCTGAAATATTCCACTTAAAATACATGTTGTCTTAATATTTATTTTATTTTTAATAGGAGCTTTTATGAGTTTGAATAATGCTGCAAAACCTGTTGTTATTCCATTTAAGATTGCTGATTTTTCTTTAAAGACAAATGATTGTCACAGTAAAAAATTGTTAAAGAAGCATCAAGTATTAAATTGACAGATTTCAAAGTGGAACTTGATTTTATCAACAAATTTATGGTTTAGGTCAAATTATAGATCCTTGACTCATACAAAAATAGGTATAATAATAATAATAATAATAATAATAATAATAATAATAATAATAATAATAATAATCCTTGCATTTGATATAGCACTTTTCATGTGTTCTAGACGTCTCAAAGCGCTTCACAGAATATATTGTTAAGTGAATTGACTGTATATGTGTGGGCGAAATGCGGCAGCCAATTGCGCACAGCCTTGTCCCACAAACAGTCGTGGATTGAAGTGACCAATTTTTTTTTCTTGAGGGATTATTATTAGGCATGTGGAGTAAGGAAATTTGCCCAAGGTTTCACCTTGCTGGGAATCAAACCGAGGTCTCTCGCTTGAGAGGCAAGTGCTCTAACCACTGAGCTGCAGGACTCCACAAATATTCTAAGGAATTCTAAAATAGGCACAAAAACAAGAGATCTTTTCTCTATCCCAAAATTCAATGGACGCACCTCTGATAAGCACTCACTAGACATTTTACTGGACTGTCAGTCTAGACTATTAATCCCAAGACCCATATTATGAAAAATACTTGTTGAACTTCATCTCCAATTCACCTACAAATACAATCACTACAATTCACAGTAAGATCATTGAGACATCGTGACAATTTAATAAGGCTCTATATCAAAATCAAGCTCTTGCACATTTATGAGATCTTATCATCATCATCAACAAGGTGGGAAGAAGTAAAACCCATGTTGATGGTCACTTCCATTCTGTAACACAAGCCATCAGCTCAGTTGCACCGAAATTCAAGACTTTACAACAATATTTTCAAACTCTACTTATTACCAGTTGTTGGAAATGGAACTGAGATGCAGAGGTTTTTTATAGGATATATTGGCTAATTAAATTAATCAACAGATTTTGCATGTGTGAGTTTATATCAATCAAAGAATACATACTATCTCCGAGGCTCATTATTGGTATTAAGCATTACTTGGAGCCAAGCAATCTCCAACTATTACAGATGCCAATAGACAGGGAGTGAGGGAGAGGGGAGGGGGGTGGGAGAGAAGGAGGGGAGTAGGTGTTTGAGAGAAAATACAGCATTTCGCTGGATTGTTGAACCAGTAGGAAAGTATTGCCCACAGCTGAATAATAAGATCTCACAAGTGTGCAAACCTGAATATTTTTACAGATTCAGACCAGATGTAGGCTATAAAAAATAAAAATCTATCATAAAAATAATAAGCGAGGAGCAAGAAAAGGCATTTACAGTCAAACTACAATCTAGTCGAGCATGGAATCTGCACCTCCTGAGTAAAGATTCTGGCCTCGTGCCCCAAGATAAAGTAAGCAAGTCTCCAAAATACTGTAACCTATGATCCTACATGATTCATTCACCTTCAATTGGTTGTCTTTCCCTAGTAGTCACTCCAGAAATATTGTTCCACATAATAATAAATACTAACAATCCTTGGATTTGATACAGCACCATCGTTCACATCGGGAGGAAGCCACAAACACTTTGTAGGATTTACTGTAAAGTATAGTGACTGTTTATTTGTAAGCAAACGCGGCAGCCAATTTTCATACGACAATGCCCCACAAACAGTCGTGCAGTGAATGACCAAACTCCCTTCACTTATTGAATAGTGCCACAGCAACTTTAGTATCAACTTGAATAGGTTGACAGGAATCAATTAAACAACTCAGCTATTCTGAATTATATTACTCAGTCCTGTTCCTAATAAAATATTAAGTGGATATGCACCATAGTATATAAAGATTGAGTCTTGAAATATAGCCTTAATTAAGATGTTGGTCAGCATTGACCACCCACCTGAAAAATTGCTGACAGACTCATTACAAATATTCAGTTCCTTGACATAATATATCAGATTTACTCCTGAGTCAAACAAGTCGTAGAGATAAATTGAAGAAAATTGATGAAAAAATGGGAATCTTGAATAAAATTCCTACCTATCCTCCTATGTTATAGCACCCAAAACTGTACACAGTACTCTAGATGCTGTCTGACCAGATCTTGAACAATATCTCTGCGGATCTGAAATTCAACAGATCTGGCAATATGTTTTAATTTTGTTTGCCTTGTTTATTGTTGCCTCACACTGTTTTGACATTGTCTTTTCAGGAACAGTGCCAATGTCAGGATGATCTTGATGAAACACAAGTTGAAGCCAATACAATTCTTTCTAGCAGTTTTCCTAGCGATTAAGGGTTTGAAAGAATAACATATTTTTCCTATAGTAAAATTCAAATAATACAATGCTGAATTGTAATACTATATATTTAAGCAGATGCATTCGATTGTGTGGAGTAAATATCCCAAGTGGAGTAAGTGTACCAATAAATATAGAAACTGCAAGCTAAAGTATTTGGACCTGTCCAGTGTAGCATTTCTGAAACAGACCATATCAAATTGGATATTCCCACTGTGAAAATGCAGGACCAAATATAATCTTTACATTTGATGGCATGTCTGATTTGGGACATTGAAAAGTCACAGATTTTACTCTGTTGTGCAGTGAATCTGTACTTGGAAGTAAACAGGACAGCCAATCTGCTTGCAGTAATGTCCCACAAACAGCCCTGAGGTCTCATCTGGAGGATTCTTGGCCAGGAAACAGAGAGAAACTCCCTTTTCTTTTCTAAAAAGTATCATAAGGTCTTTCAACAGGACCTCAGGTTAACATTTCATCTGAAGGTTGATAGCATAGCTCTA